AATGGAGAACCCCGACCGATTCCTGGGCCCCTTGGGGCACCTCGCAAGCTGAAATTGCTCCAACTTGCTCTAGGTCCTCCAGATTTGAGCGGTTAGACTGAGGGTACCCGGGTTTGTTCTGTGGTCTATTTTAGTCGGGTCCCGAACCCTCCCCCAAAAAAAGAAACGCTAAATGTTGGCACCAATTGCTGGGGGACCTATTTTTCCTATGAACCATAGCTTTCCCCACTTCCTTTTAAACCCTCTCGCCCCTTACAGCCTTGAGCGCACCTTGTAGGACCCTGGGGAAGAAACATCCTCCGATCCCACCAGTCTTCGGGAAACCAGCGCTTGGACCCAAAACTATGCCGGAAGCATCAAACCATTCGACGGGAGTTTTCAGCCAAGGGGAAACCCATTGCTGAATTGAAGACACACATTGGCAAAAGAAGGCTCCCTTGCCTTCCCCTTTTAACATCCACCCCCAAGCCCGATCTCTCCCCTTCGCGCCTGAGTCTGACCTCATACCGCCCAGTGCCCACAGCCTCAGTGACTCAGCCCCATCCCCAAGCCGCTCCATGTGTCCACGCCCGCTCCATGGACACTTCAGTCAGCCAAAGGCCGTTCTTATAGGACCACTTTGTCTCCCAAGCAAGAAACATCAGCCGGATTCCGGAACCATGTTTCCACGTTTCCATGTTTAGAGTTAGGCCCAGTTATAGAATGTATATTTTATTGTTTGCTTCACATGGAGTCCCTGGTAAAATGTAAAAACTGTATCCCAAGTCTACCCCAGAATTTCCTCGGCTGCACAAAACACATCTGTTGGTTGCCCCCCATGAGTCGCTGTGATGCGAATGGGGGTTGTACACGTTTTATTCCAAGTCGGGGAAATCCCGGCTGAGGTTCCCACCGAGGAGTTCTCAGGGCTCCCAGGGTTTTCCCCCTTCAAACAGCACCACCAAGGGACATGCACCTTTCATGGTGGCCAAAAAGTTGTGATGTTGCAAAAATCGCAAAAAAATGGAAATATAGGGACCCCTGTAATTTGGTCAAACCAAACCACCAGTGAAGCTGAATATCCCGGCCACCTAGAAAAACGGGCCAAGTGGCAAACATGTTCACTCTGCTGGGCTGCCTGCCTTCGAAGGAGTCTGTATGTTTTTGACGGCTACCTTGCTTTGGGTTGCTTTACAAGGACACCGAAGGAAGAACGCCGCCAAGTGAACAACCCCCCATTCTTAAGACATACCCCCGATGCCTTCATGTGCCACATTGGGTTGAACGCCCCGGGCCTCCTTTGGCTCCCAACATCAGTTGCCCATTCTCTTCGCTGGGGCTCGGTTGCTTTTAATGCAAAACCCGGTCTCGGCCATTCCTACTGAGCGCCAGCAAGTTGAGGTTGAACAACATGTTCATTTCAGCAAATGGAATCCACTTTGTTGCTTTCTGCTCCCCTTCTAAAAGCTTAACCTTTAGGGGTTTGATGGAAAACCCATTAGTTGGCAAACAGTTAAAGTCCTAACATCCAAGCAAAATGCACCAAAGTGGGGTACACACAACAAATATCTTCCGACTCCGTTTTTTCCTTTATATACATAAATTAGCCTGCCCTAAAATATGAAATAGTCTTGGGGGAGACCCAGTTTAGAGTGAACTCGCCCTTTTTCGGCGTGTGCCAATTGGGGGCTACGCCACCCCGGAGAAATCTCCAGGATCAGATCGAGCGCCTGTTCGGTAAAGGCACTGCCCAATCCCAACAGGGGCAACTTGAGCGAGTAACAAAGCCTATTCGGGGCTCACATGGCTAATCCAGAACCCCCCCAATGGCTGCCCAATGGTCTGTGAAAAATGTAGGATCCCAGCCCCTGACCGTCTGACCGGCGACTGGACTCTTCAATGAAGGCCGCGACGCACTTGGCCCCCGGCATAACCAAACTTCCCTTAGATCACGGCACAGCGCCAAGCATCGCAACGCCGCAAAGCCGCCGCGGTATCCACGGCTTCCCAGGGGAAAAGACCAAGCGCTGGTGGAGGGCAAACATCAGCTGAGTGGGGAATTATGTCCTGGAAGGAGTTCCAACTGAAGTGAAACTTACCGTTATTTTATTATTATTATTATTATTATTATTATTATTATTATTATTATTATTATTATTATTATTATTATTTTTTTTTATTATTACTTATTATTATTATTAGTATTATCATTATTATTATCATTATTATCATTATTATCATTAGTATCATTACTTGTTTATTTATTATTATTTGTGTTTTTTCCATTTTCTCTTTTTTTGATCACTTCCTCCACTTCACCCAAAGTTCAGCCTTCGTAGGGTCTGACGATGTCTGACGTTTGGGAAGGGGCTTGGATCCCATGATTCTCGGCCACCCACCCCTTCTCGGGCCTGGGGGGTGGCCTCTTTGAGTGAGGCTTGTGGCTGGCCGAGGTGCCGATGAACTTCCATGGCTCGGAGCCTCCGCCAAAGGTCAGCGTCCCAGTTTGCAGCTTGCCTCGACTCGAGGCCGAGGACGTTCGCAGCGCAACATTGCTGGGGTCCCTGAGCAAAACCTGAACTAGGCCCTCCAGATTTGAGAGGTCGGAATAAGGGTGCCCGAACTTCTTTTTTTGCTGTGGTCCATTTTAGTAGGGGAAGCCACAACCCCAAAAATGAACCGGTAAAAGGGCACCTAGCTGGGGGACCTAGATTCTTTTTCTGAGGTCCTCCCCGTGCAAAACCGGGGGGGGGGGCCTTGCAGGCCGCAAGGCATCGATGGGGTGAAGGTGGCGGAAACAGTCCAATGACGGTCAGTGGATGGGTAAATAGAGGGCCGTATGGGGCCTTGGCCTATTAACTGTCAATGGGGCTTAGTGAAAGCCAGCAGGGCCAATTCAAAACTGATTTTGGTAACTCTGGGGATAATGAAACCATGGGCAGCTTGTGCAATCTGTCATCTGCGAGGCAACATTCCCACCGCGAATGCTATGCGCGCCACAAGTTTAGGACCCCTACCGGAGGGTTGCTTCACGTGCCTCGCAATCCTTCCCCCGAAAATGTGCGCGACAATGATATTCCATTTACCCATGTAGAAAACATGCTGAAAGTGGCAAAAAGGGCGGAGATAGCGGCTACCGCCTTCTCAGCACCAGCAACCGGGTTTGTAAAGAAGCATGTCTAAACATTGTCTACACATTTAATACGCTGGGTGCTAGATACATATAAATACGTGATCTGGCCCCTTGGCAAACAAAACGCGCTTAGAAATGGGCACCATAAAATGGGAAACCCAAAGTGGGAAGGAAGCGCCCACGGTCCCGACGAGCAGCACTCCGCACAAATGAAGCGCACGACCAGAATCGCCAGCAGGCTCTGGGTGCCTCTCAACAAATTTGTCTTTCCGGGAAAAAAAAAGGAAAAAAAAGGAAACAAACACAAACATGCATAATGCTCACCTATGACACCATGACCCACCCTTCAAGGGTGTGAGCACCTGATTGATGGGTCCCCATCCCTATGGTTTTTTCTTTGGGCAACTCCTTTTGTGTCACAGACTTCACTTCCTGAGTAGATTGGCCAAACATATTTTCGCGTTATTTTCCACACAATTGTCTTGAATAGCAAACAAGTAAAAAGTCCAGCAACTCGAGTGAGAGAAAGCGTCAAACAAAACACTTTCCCACCGGCCTATCTCTTTGTCCCGATTCGAATCGGCGACTTTGGAGCAAGCTGGAGGCTTAACAGTGTTACGGGAGAATCACGGAGCATGCCAGATCATTGGCGGAAGAAGTACAAAAACGCAAAAAAAATACGAGAAACACGGCCCTTACCCTCAGTTGCCCAAAGGACCCATAAAAAAAGAGGTTAACCTTTTGGGTGCATGACTAAAAAGGGACCAAACAGTTGAACCTTTTGAGGTCCAAAGGTTCGGATGTGGACAAGTGAGTACTTCACTCAAGCTTCACACACCATTTCTCAAAGACAGACTCGAGCGGCCCGGAAAAAAAAGAGGCTCAAGGCTTGGCATACCCTTTTTGGAATCCGAAATGTAGGGCGCATTCAGTATGTTGGTCTCAACACGGTAGGCTGCAAGGACAGCCATGGATTGGCAGATTTCTGTATGGCCATCCGTGCTACCCCCTTTTGCTTAAGTCTTATTAACCCAAAAGAAAGTCAAAACAATATGTCCAGTATCTAAGTTCCCTTTTTAAACCAACAAGGGAAAACAAAACACATTCTTAAGCCAATGGAAGGCTGAGCTTGAGATCCAAGACCCCCGCGAGCAGTCATCGTGCCGGTCGTGCCAGCCGAGTGCAGCCGATGCAACGGCAGGGCTGCCCCAACTGCACTTAGAGCCTAATGGCTGCGCATGCCGCGTCGCCTGCCGCGTCGCCTGCTTCGGCTGATGCTTTGAATGGCATGTAGGTGTAGGCCCTTAGGCTAACAGGTTCAACAATTGGGCCAGGGGGTGTGGCCTTCCCGGACATGTTGACAAAACGAGTCCGGCAACGTGGCAGGCTCCTTTTGGAAGGGAGCACGGAGATGAGATTCTCACTCGTGCACAGCGAGCCAACCTGTTGATCAGTTGATTTCCTCCTCTGGATCAGCTTCAGGCAATGACCCCAACAGGCTGTGGGCTTCCTCTTTGCTCTCTGGCCACGTCTTGGTTGCCCGACGATCCCCTTAATTAAGAGAAAAATGCTGTTCCAGAGCAGGGCTTCAAATAGTTGCTTGCTTTTACCTGGGTCCCAGCACTGAATGATCTGGAAAAATGACGCGCCGGGGGGGCGGGGAGGTGTCCGATTTGCGTTTTCATGGGGAGCCCTCTTTCCAATGGTTTCCCTTTGGTACAGGGAACTCGCGTTCACTCGCCCAATAAGCAGTGACGTGCAAAAGCCCACCTTGGGGGAAAGCTAGATATGCTTGCGCGTCTGCAAAAACAACCACTTCATATATAAAAACACTATGGCCCACAGCGTACCCCTCTCCTAGATAAACCCTACGCTCTGAGCCCTGCGCCTGTCCCTGGCTCGGAGGGAAGCACAGCGTCCTGCCGAATTTTCGTGAGCCGACGCGCCCAATGCCAGTTGACCTTTGCTTCTACGGTCCTAAAGGCTAGCTTATCTTGGCTGGAATTAGGACCCCAGAACAAAAAACATCTTTTTTGCATGGTTAATGGAAAACAAAAAGAATCCCAAAAAAGCAAAAACAAAAAAGGGGGAGCTAATTCTGGGGAAGTTATATGGTACGTGAGAAAATGGGGGGGAGCAACCAACCCCAAAAGGGCACTGAACAGAAAAACACACACTAACATAAGCCTTACCATAAGCCAATATGTTTGCAGGTGGTGGAGGCATCCACTATTAAGGTTTTGGGCGCTGCGTTGAGGAAACCAAAGGCTGGACCCATGGGAAGTTGACGGAAGGCCGTGGAAACAACGCACATGTGTCTTCCCAAGCCTTCCGTCCATTGGAAAGAGGACGGAAGTCATTTGACTTGAAATGAACACCCTCCAGGAAGGATCCTTCAGCCATGCCATCTTGCAGTGAATCCATCGCCCACAGCTGGGCCACCACGCCCTGAGTAGCTGAGGTTCCAAGCTGGACCAAGGCAAATGTCATGCCTGGCAAGCATCACGTCTGATCATACCGCGCACAAATACAAAACGTAGATAAGGGAGCAAAGCAAAAGACCTACATCATGGCCAGCAGCTTCAAAAAGTCAACAACCAAAGACCCCAAGTACAGGACTGACATCATGGTGAGCTGACACACTCAGAGACAAGGGATCCCCAAGTAAAGAAGCCTACATCATGGCCAGCAGCTTCTGCTAAGCGCAGCCTCCACGCCATCTTTAAGCGGGGGGGAGCCTGGAAAAAGATGTCCTATCTGCCCTTCCGGACCCGCCAGAACAACAGAACCGCCAGGTAGAATTTACAGCCTGATCTCCACACAGGCCACAAGGCCAGGACATGCGCTTATGGTTGTGTTCCTAGCAGGTTCTGCGTTGTTGGTCGCTTTGTTTGTGTTCGAGTCGATGATTTGAGTTGAGCCTATGTTCTTCTGAAACCCATCCTCTGTGAGCACATCTGGGGAATCCCCTCAACTGGTTGCTTTACATTTAGCTTCCATGAATTAAATCAAAAATAGGGCTGCACGAAAACACGCATCCATGCGTTCAACATTCCAAAACCTGCCGGCTGGACTGCTGCTTTGAGACGTCGCAGTTGGCAGCCAGGGTGTCCTGTCCATCTTCAAAGTGCGGGCAGTGACACTGCGCAAATAAGTTTATGACTCTTTTTAAGGGTATCCCTTTCAGGTGTAAGGAAAAAACTCGAAAGAAAAGCTGCCATATTTGCGGCCCCCGATACATTTTGACGACCCGGACCCGAATTTGCTACACTCGGCAACCCAAACTTTCTATGAACAACTTTGAGGTTGCAACCTCGTTTTCAGTTGGGTTGGATCTTTATAGACGTTAGCTTTTTGGTTGAAATCCATTGGGATTTCCGAACTGAACCCACAAAAAGTGATCGACTGGTTTTTAGTTGGAATCCAATCTTGGTGCGATAGCCATTTCTCGTGGCATGACCTGTTGTAAACCTTCCCCTCTGGTTTTCTTTGAGGGATCCCCAGCCATGAGAAATGGAATGACCCATTTTCTAACAATCCATTTCATATATGGCTTCCTTTATTCGAGGTCATTTCCTACCTATCGCGCCAGCAAGAAACGGCTGTTCGAAGCCCAGAAAAGCGACGAGTTCCATTGCGCGCGGTACATTTCGGGTGGGTCAAGTATCGGAAGGCAGCTTGAGTATGGCTAGGTCCCCCAGCTAGGTGCCCTTTCTCACCGTTTCTTTTTTGGGGGAGGGTTCCCCTACTAAAATAGACTACAGAAATATTGGGTACCCTTATTCTAACCTCTCTACTGGAGGACCTAGATGGGCTAGACCCGGTATCGGTTTTTTTTACGTGACACATCTGTCAGTCCATTCCCAGCCAATCGAACCCATAGGGGATGCTTAACCCCATTTCTCACGGCTATCGGCTATCGCACCAAGATGGTTTTTCATGTTTTCCAGCTGGCAACCCTTTTGTGCGCCCAACGCCTTATGGGCCGCAACGGCCAGCGGCCGAAGTACAACCGGCAACCCACAAACGGGTCGCTCTAATCGCTTCGGACTCAGCGGACTCCTCAAAGCTCTCGAGGTTCCGGCCAATCTCCAGGAACAGGATGACCTCGCCACGGGGAGCACTCCGCACATCGATTACTTTGTGGCACCGGAAAGGAGCCCGGGAAAAAAAAAGAAAACAAGTGATCACCTTTTGAGGCCATGACGAAAAGTGACAATTTGGGCTCCCTACATTTCTCAGTGGCATGCGTGACTAAACATGGGGACCCCAAAGAGGGGGACACCAAAAGGTGAGAAGGTCGATTCGCTTTGGGCACGTAAGGTGCCTCGATTTCGGACTTCCTCTTTGCCCCTGTCCTGTTTAGAGGAAAATTGTCTTCCATGCCAGTCAGCTTCCTGGAGCCAAACGCCTCTGATATGTTTTGTCTACGGGCACCTGGTTCCAGCCTCAACGGGGTTGACGAGGGCTAACATCAATACGAATTCGACATTTTATGTCCGCTTTCATGGCATCCAAGTGATCTTTCATCCTAGCATTGACAGGTTGCGGGGGCCCTTTTATTTCCAAACCAAGGGACTCCTGACTTAGGACCTCTGCAAAGGTCGACCGGTCGCCTGGAAGATGAGCCCCAGCGCTTGCAGCAACAACCACCTGGGAGATGACCCGCGCATGTGGCCCATGGATACCCTCCCGCCACCCAGTCTTCCACAAGGAGTCGGTGCAGTGGTGTGGGTTCCAGAATCATGGTTTTGGTTGCTTCCTCTTTGGCTTGCGCCTTCAAAAAGCTCAAGAAGAGTGACTAGTTGCGGAAACAACAGCCACGTTGACTGTGCCTACGCTGAAGATGAGTGACAGTTCATTCAACCAAAGCCCTGAAGCCCTAAGACCTCCCAAAAACAACCTAAATCCTGTAAATGGGAGCGCCCTGAATTGGAACACTTGTTTGGTTATTTGCCTTAAGGGCGCAAAACCAAAACAAAAACAATACCTGGAGGTATGGAGGGACCAACCCAATTTTCCGACACCCAAAGACCGATCTCCGCCCCCTGAGATCCGCCCCCACGCCGCCCCACAATCGACTCGAGGCACGCCAGCACCACCGGCGCTTTGACTCGGCGGGGCTTGAAATCGGTGCAGCAGACGGTGAAGCATTTCACCTCTGCCGAGTCTCCGCCATCCCGAGATTGTCGGGAGCCGTTTGGATCCCAAAGAAAATAAAATCAGAGGGGCCCCTGACCCCCCCACCCCCAACCACAGTACAGTAAGCTTCTGTGTCCCGAACAAGTGTTGGATCCAACGCATGGACCACATCCGACGTTGGGAACTGGCTAAATTTCGACTTTGCTCCAATTGGTGGCTTGGATTGGTGGTTTGGTGGTCAAGGAGGGGTTTCTAAGAACCAGGGCTTCAAATCAAAAACCACAAGTCAAAACCACCAACTAGAGGGTACCGGAAAATTGCAGAGTCCCCTTTGTTCCTCTGCTTGCTTAACCGTGGGGCTTGGCTCAGGTTCGGCGCAGGGTGAACCTCCACCCTGTTGTGTGGGCCCTCTCTGGCTGCAACACTTCGGCTGTCTATACAGGGGAGGTGACCATCCTACCAAGTAGAAGGGTGGGTTGGCCATTTGACAAATTGGAAAAAAGAGGAGCGACGGGAAAGCAGAACTATAAGGAAAGAAAGTTCAGCATGGGTGAAATTGGTCGCCCACCAACACATTGTGAGATCGTTATGGTTTACTCCTCCTGACACGGGTTTCCCATTTGCACAGCGACCGTGGTACATTTGCAGCATGTGTCTTTTGGGGTGGATCATGTTTGGGGAGGAACCCACCAAAACAATACGACGGTGCCTGTGCACAAGCTCCGCTTGCTCAAGGTGCTCTGGAACAACGTATTCCAGTAGTTAGAGGTTCAGCATGGAACATAAAACACTCCTCCTGTCCACTATCCTGGAACCTGCCTGAGGGCTCCTGGAGGACGATCTTCCTTACCAGGGGCCGCTTCCATGTTAGCGAGCAGGAGGGCAAGCACATGGAAGACAAGTGGGCTGCCGTGGATAAGCACCACCTGCTTACTTGCCCAAAGGAACTGGAAATAACAGCTTTTCGTCCGCAACATAACACGAGTCGCGCCAGCAAGCACGCGAAACACCAGTCCCGCGGACTGGTTCCCTTGCGCCTCACTTGGGCAAGGAAGGTTTGCAAAAGACGCAAATCCCCATCCCTGAGGATGGGTCGCACACCCACAAAAGTTCCCTACGGGAAGCTGGTGCCGCAAGACTTCACGACCCGGTTCCAGACCCAAGAAGACAGTCTGCCAGGACCTCCCACTACGCGTATGGAAAAGAGCAGCCATTGGTGCAGCGATTGTACCGTTGTAGCTGTGGGCCCGGCAGGGGGGACCAACCCCGTGCGAACATGCCACAGCAGCGCGATTCCCAAAAAGGCAGTCGTGAAGGTCTCGTGCGCTTCCCACTGCAAATCGGTGAAAAAGGTCTGCACGCCTGCCCACAACACGGCTGTAAGCCCATTTCCTGGGCGGATCCACCGGCAGTTCCAAGGCAAAGTTAGCCAGCATAGCCTCTGTCCCCACCCCCGGATCCTGAACTAAACATGGACCAAAAAGAGAGAACTAAAAGGTCGAAAGGTCGGCTTTGAACAACTGAGCCTAAGAAACCATAAAAAAAACCAATGATCGCTGGTATTTACAGGGGAATCATCATTCCGGCGTTTCTTGGGTGGTGCAGGATTTCATCCATCTACCGTAGGTCCTCCAGTAGAGAGGTTAGAATGAGGGTACCAACTTTTTTGTAGTCTATTTTAGTAGTCCCCCCCAAAAAAGGGGTTCAACGGCACTACCCGGGGACCGAGGGAAGACAAACCTGCGGTTGTTTTCACAAAGCCATCACTCCCCACTTTCACCGAGCGGCTGGGTCCGTGTCCTCCGATGTCTCAAGCCACCTAAGCTGACTGCAGGGGTCCTTGGGACCTTTTGGGGTTTGGGGTGTCTCAAACGGGGACCAAATGGTTGGCTTCCTTGTCCGCCCTTCAAACCAACCGAACAAGTGCCCGAACAAATCGTCACACCCAAGTGTGCTCCAAATAACAGGCGAATGCTACATTCGCTGGTTGCCTTTATAGGCTCAAACCCATGGCTTCCCCTTGAGAAATCAGCCGCAAGTCTGCAAGGGGCAATCAGAAATGGAATTTCTGAAACGGACCCGCATGTTCGTTCAGAGGCGAATGACATCCTTCCCAAGCCTAGCGCCTCCACAAGGATTTGCGGTTGCTCTTTGTTGAAGCCCCTCATGCAGAAACCCACACGCCAGCAACAAAAAAAAACAAAAACACGCGAAGAGCCACAAAGCAAGGAAAGTTGCCCTGCAGCTCAACATGAAAACTCCAACACCCTTCTTGGAGGAGCCGCCGTTTCAGGGACCCCCCCCCAAATCTTTCCAAGGGGGACCAACAAGAAGTCACCAAAGAACATGAAACGGGAGCCGTTTCTTGAGGCGGTTTGCCTGGAGCCAGCCCCCCCGCCACTGATCACCAAACGCTAGAAGGCACGGGTGCGTGTTGAAGGTGTTTTCTCCAGGGCTACTGCAAACAATTTGTTGGGGGGCTCACCTGTGTTTCTCATCTGCGCAGAAAGGACCTGATACCTGGACAAAAATCGCTATGTGGCTTCCGGAACCTTGGCTGTATATAAATGGAAGACAAGGGAACTGGAACCCAGTCTCGTCAGCCTCCAATGCCTCCACATGTGGAAAGGAAGTCAAAAGGTTACTCTCCCTACTGCAGGCATGGCACCTGTGGGAGGGTACAAGTACCGTGCCATGTTAGAGGGAGAGAGGGTAAGCAGTCGCTCGCGGACAACTACGCTCCCACCAACTAACATGGAAGTGCACACAGCCCCTGGCTTACAGACATGTTTCTGTGCACTGACACAAAGGGTCCAGACTTTTCTCTTGGATTCGGAAAAATAGAGGTTCAGCGCTTGGGGTACAGTGACCCATGCGCAGAAAAGGGCACAAACAGTCTGTGCACTTCCACATTGGTCGGTGGGGGTGGTAAGTCTTCAGACACATCTATCAGTCTGAGTTGAGTCCGACCCGTCGCCTGGCAAACTTGGCGGCGCCCTTCATCCATTGCTGCTCCGCCTTGACCTCGGCTTTATCGTGGTAGGATGTCCTTCTTCGAAGATGCAGATCCTGCAAAGAAGACAAGGGCCCAGTCCCTTTAAAAGGAAGTGGTCCAAGCCAGGACCCCCCGAACGTCAGGACCCATGATAATTGATGGGAGGGTAAGTGCCAGTTGGAAAATCAGAAACTCCAAACCTGAAATAAAGAACCCTCCTTCCTGGTTGGCAAGTTCCTTTCCCCCCCCCCCACCGGTGAGCTTACACGCAAATCAATGTGGATTCTATAGCGCCTGAAATTGAAATGCGCCAAGCTGAAGTCAATGGACTCCACAAAGTCTCAAGGGGCAGCCATGAATTGATAGTCCATGAGTGGCGGGGGCACGCAGTTTCCCGCGTCGAGAGTTGCCACAAGAGAGCCCCTTTGGATCGCCCGAGGCAAGCAGAGAAGCCCAGCTCGGAGCCGCGCGGTGCCATACAAGCCTGGTGACGGCGCCCCTGGCGTCAAGTCAGGTTCAGTGGCCATGGCTCTAGCTCTCCTTACTCTGAACCAAATGTGGACCACCAGCTCTCGGGAAGCCAGCATTCATCCACCGGTAGACGAATTCATAGCAAAAAATAAATCGAAATAAATGGGCCAACTGGGTGTGCCCTTTTTGAGGGGACCGCGTGTTTTTTTGTGTTTCTCCGGGAGGGGGGCTCCCCCAAACACAACACACATTCGGAGAGGGGGCGTGCCATTTAAGAGGGAATCCCTCAAAATGAGGAACCGCACCCTCTAAGAAGGGATGGGGTCCGCATTGAACCGAGCAGCGAAAGGCCGTTGAGGAATGTTTCTTCGAAGAACTCATCTGAGGAGGTTCATTCACACTAAGCCAGAAAGACAACTTACTCGTCTCAGCTTTGACGCAAGTGATTTTATTGGTTTCTTGCTCATCTGGTCAGACCTCGGTGGCTAATACCCAATATGCAAAATGTGTTATTGTTCCTGGTTTGCAAAACATTGATTCCGACAAGTGAAGTTGCTCTCAGAATCCCGCCCCTCAAATACAACAAGCCCACATTCCTCAAAAACTCAACAAACGCCCGTGCCGGCCGAAGCGTTGCGAGTCGCTCTTGCCTCGTTCCGCATCCTGCGGCGCAATGTTAATCCCGGACTAAAGGGTATGAGTCTGAGTGTCAATCGGGAACCCTTTGGTGCACGTCATTGAGGTGGGGGGTTCTGTGCACCGACCATTTGGGAGGGTGTTCCCCTTTCAAAATTCACAACCGAATAAACCCCTTTGATTGCGCGTTTGTGCGTGTGTGTGTGTGTCACCTTTTAGCTGGAAATCATCTTTTCTGGGTGCCCCCCTGTTAACAGGATCTCCTGGATTCCCATTCAATCCGAGATTGACCAAAAAAGTCCAAACTGTTTATCTACCACTAAAAAGTTTCAACTTGCGAGTACCTTTCAGGAGCCCTGAACTCAAGGAAAGAACCGAGAACTTCGGCAAAACGACTAAATTGTCCCAAACGCACCCTTGCTTGAGGCTCGTTGTTGCCCAAAAAACGCTGAACAAAAGGCAGAAAAGGGGCTATCATTGCTGCCTTCACCCCAAGGCTCACTAGAGTCAGCAGAGCTTCTTACCACCCCCTTCGGCCCACCTTGACTGAGAAAAGAAGTGGCAGCTTTTTGTCTTCGGCACCCTTTCGAAGACTAGCGGCAATCGACTTGAAAAAAGACGGTTCCTTTCGTTTGCCTTAAGCAACCAAAGGGGTTCACAAGCCATGCTACGACATGAACCAACCACCTCGAAACACAAAACCATGTGGGTGAGGCCGACAAGCGTCCCCTCTTACCTTTGCAAGCTGTTCACGGACAGTAGCTCCGCAGTTACGCAAAGGAATAACATGGTTAGTTAACCCTTTGCGACCAGGACGACACATGGGCCAAACAGGAAAAATATACATTGGACGCTAAGGGTTTCTGGGATTGCCTGATGACTTGGGAGCACTTTTGCGGACGGGGTTGTTTACATACTCCCAAGTCATTTGCACCCAGTATAGATCCTGTCCATTCGCTTTGGAGTGGACAGTAGCTGCACAAACGACACCGGCGCACCTCGCGCTGACGTAGCGGCTTGTGCTCTGCCTGGGGTCGCCGCTCCCTCGATGCATGCCAATCGGAGTCTTGCGCAAGGAGTGCCACGACATGTGTTTGTTTTGTTTGTTTGGTCGGTTTTTGAAGCCCCCCCCCAAAAAAAAACCAAAAAACTAAAAACACATGGGAAACCAAACGAACCACCATGCGAGTTCATCTATTTTTAAACACACCCATTCTCGGGTAAGCTGGGCATTTGTTTTGATACGGACCCTTTGGAGGACATCATGTAGGGATTGATGCCTGCCAACTAATTACTTTTAAGGCAGCCTCCTACGACAAGTGCAAACATGGCACGCGTCAGACATCCCCTTGTTTCTGACTTGCAATATTGGACATCAACGGAATTACAACTTTTCCAAGGGCATGCGACGTGGATTCCGACGTATGACATGTCATATGCCAGGTGTTGTTTAATTCACTGCTGAGAGGGTCCCTCGATTTCTAGAAGGTCCTTCTCAAGTTCCATATCAGTTTTTAACATTCCCCCCCACCCCTGCCACGTTAAAAAGAACCCGCCTGCATCATCGCTCACCGCGCGCTTGCCCGCCATGGCCAGATCCGGGCGAAGCCATCGGTGTAAAGACGTCCGGCCGATGTGATGAACTGGGAACAACACCAGCTCGTTGTTCTTGGAGTCCGTGCCCCTTTTCTTCTAGGGGTGCCTTCCATGTCCATTCCTTCCAGGGATCCGTTCTTCTTTTTAGGAAACCATCAAAAACCCAGGGGATACAGATCCCGCTTGAGGGTTGAAAAGAATGGACAAGGAATCAAGCCCTAGATTTCCGGTGGTGTCGAAGCTTAAGGGAAACCGAAACGGAAACTGAAGCCATTTTAGTGGGTTCCTCTTAACAGAAAGGAAAGCAACCCCACATGAGTGTGATTGTTCATGGATCCAAAAAAAACCTTTGGTGATCATATAGGTGGGGATCCATATTCAACCACTCTTGTTCTGTCCCTATTGAATTCATAGCCACACAAAATGGAGATACTCCCGGTGGTTTCCCTATGAAACCACATGAAACAAGCCTCAAAAGGTACCTCAAAACCGAGGGGCATGTTCCTCAAACTCGGGGTGGCGGGTATCTCGCTGAAGTCTACGAGCTGTCGGACCCATAAAGAACCTTCCTGGGCCTTTTGTCTGGCCGGCATTGTTGCATCGGATGTGTAGCTGCCGGCATCGAAGCGGCGTCTTTGCTCCATACGATCTGCTCTTGGGTTCAGCTTCGGCGAAGCCGCATGCCGGATGCATCTGACTTGCGGAAACGACTGAAAATAAATGCGACGAAAAGGGTCGACGTGACTCGTTCCTTGACCCTCTGGGGGGAAAACCCCGCAAGTTCACCAGCCACTGCCACTTCGAACGCCGACAACTTTCAACAAATAAATCTGCCTCAAAATTGGGGGTTCCCCGCCGAACCAGGTGGGTTCCCTATATTTCTCCTTAAAAAAACACCCCCCATCAAGGGGCACTCACCTTTGGGGCAAGGTGATGTCTAAAATCACCAAAAAGGACAATTCCTCGAGACCCCACCGAAGTCTTCTGTGCTTTCCCTTGGGTTCCTCTCCCAAAATCCCCCGGAAGAGTGGCCTCAACAAACCGACACATCCAAATGGGCTTTGGTTCCTGTCGCCTCTTGAATTACGCATGCAGCGAAGCGCTCCGGCGTTCTCTTTAGCGCCCGTGCGACGAGAGTCGGCCGAGTCAGTCGCCTGCATATGCGTTGCATGTCACAACTACACCCCATCAAACCTGCTATGCGCACGAATCAGGATTGCAACAGCTTTCTGTGTCCGAAGGGAGGGTAAACATTCAACCCCCCGCCCCACCCCACCCCACCCTCTCCCCCCCTCTTGTTCAATGCCCCTCCAAATTAACTTGGCGCATGGAGAATGCACTGGAGATAGCCCGCCTCATCTGCGTGTCAAAACAAGCTGCTACCCCCCGAAACTTGCAATTGATCCTTGCGGCTTCCCTATAGCCCAACTCTACAAAGGGGCAGGAGCCCCAAACATGCACCTAAAAACGCACGCACTGGCTGAGTGGGATTTCCCTCCCATATTGCTCCTTTCGTGTGGCTGATTCGACTCTTGGCCGAGTGGCCCAGGCGTGGATCCTTCGAGGGCTTCGGCTTGTCCCCTGAGCCAAGATCAACATGGGCTCCAAAAATAACAAGGCGTTTTGTTGTGGTTTTCTAACTAGAGCACCCTCAAAAAAAATCAGCACACCCGGGGAAAACATCATGCTCCAAATTGGTTGGAACTAAACTTCCACAGGCCAATCGGTCTGGGGATTCAGCTCTAAACTGGGATTTGTATGGATTTATTGGGCTCGGCCAATGAGGTGGCACCCCTTGCATGGCTCCCTTTACCCACAAAGAGGACAATGAATTACCGACCCCCTGCAAACATTTAGACAACTTTTGCTGTTTGAAAGGTAAAATGATGGAAGCCTGAAATAAGGCAACAAGTTACAACGGTACGCTAGGTCGGGCAAAGCATGGGGACCGGTGTTGTTGTCAAAGGATAGGCCCCTTCATCCCCCTTCCATACATCTAGGGAATTGGACCTCCTCTCTTTGCCCACTCGGCCCATGCAACAGCTCTCGGTGCGTTGCACCGTAAATTTGCAAATTGCTGCCCGCACGCCTCCTAGCTCCGAAGGTAGTCGGCAGCAGGTTGCAATGGCACCGTTGACATGGACCATAGCAAAAGCAGCGTGAGTTTAGGCGAACGCGGGGAAAGGACAAGCTTGCGAACACTTCAATCCGAAGCCAAGCAGCTTGGCCAAGTATCCCATCTGGCTTCCTCCTTAGCTAGAAGAAAGCTGGCATGCTTGCAAGCTGGGGTTTCGGGCGCAGCCCAACTACCAAGCTGGGACTGATTGACTGGCGATGTGACAATTGCAAAAGCCTTGCCCGAAATCGATTCCTTCTTGAAGCCAGCGGCAAGCAAAGGTTTCCGATTCGACTAATTGTGAGCTGCTACCGCACTCCGAAACCCCGAAAACGCCGTGCAATCGCTCAAGGCCCGCCGTTGGTTGCACAACATGGGCGAGCTACGAGGCTAAATGTCGCAAGTTAAGCACAAAAAGCTGCACCAGAACAAACACAACTCGCTTCTTGAATGGACTGGCCAAAAAAGTCTGAGCTTCTTTTGTTTAATTTGCCGCCAGCATGGTCTTTCCAAAAAGCTTAAAGTCCATGACCTCGGGAAGTGAGACAAAGCCCCAGCCACCCAAACAAACACCAGATCCCCCACTGAAAGTTAAACTTTTAGTGGGTTGAATGGAAACCCCCTCACAAACACAGGGCTGTCCTCAGATCCCCCACTAGAAGTTAAACTTTTAGTGGGTTAAATGGAAACCCCCCCACAAACACAAAAAACAAACAAAAGAAAAAGCTAAGGAACCGGATGGCTGGGAGCCGCGCCCCCCCCAAAAAAAAAAAAACACATAGCCCTCCCTCATTGGCCACGCCGCCGGTGGCGGCGGAGGGGGCGGAGCTGGCGGCGGCGGCACAGGCGGAGGAGGCATCGACCGCCGGGGCGAGCGCTCGCGGACCGCCGGGGCCAGCGGCGCCCGTGGTGGTGCCGGTGGCGGAGGAAAGGCTCGCCGGGGCGAGCGCTCCTTGGCAGATGAAGCTCCCAAATATGCGAAACCCTTGGCTCTGAAATGATGTGAGGTGTCCGTGTGATCGCTCTCTCGCTCGCTCGCTCGCTCGCTCTCTCTCTCTCTCTCTCTCTCTCCCTAAATAAGTAACAACATGTCAAATCCAATGTGTACTGCTTGCTGCATGAAGATGTACGAGGATGCGCTAGCGTTGTTTGGCAACTGCGCAGATTTATGAACGCACTATATCTGCAAGTTTGACAAGCACTCCAAAACCTGAAAAAGGAAAAGGACCTTAGTCATGGTTGAGGGTACGCTCTCCGTATGTGAGACAATCCGCATCTGAAGCAAACTGGCCGGCAAAAACATCCAGGAGTTGGTCGTTACACCCAGGTCAGTTGCCATAAAACAAGCAGCGCCTGATGTTTGCATTTACCAATATGGCCATGGGTCAAAAGCCCGTACCCCCCGTCAACATCCCACCCCCCACTAAAATATACTAAAATGGGTGGTGAATTCACCTACCTCAAAACGGTGCCATTGGTTTTGACCCACAGCCATACTGAGCAAGACCAGCACTTCCACCGGAACGATAGACCTGGCAGCCGGCGATAGATCTGGTCCCAGCGTCTCGCTCCTTCTCTCGCTCGCCGCGATCTCCCGGGCGAGCCTTCCAGGCGAATGTGGATGCCGATGCCAAGAGGAGTTGGCCGCGGCTTGGAACGAAATCCGTTCGCACCAGGTGGAAACCATGGGACACCATTGTTTGGACGATCATCATTCCAGGGTTTCGTAGGTGGTGCAGGATTTCGTCCATCACTACTTCGGCGGGGGGTCCTGAAATTGAAATTCGTCTCCCCAAACGGGGGAAGCTCAAAGAAGGGATGGTGTCCCGGTAGAATTGCCCTGAAGGAAACAATCACAACCACACATACACACAGACACACGGACACACACACACACACAGACAGACACACAACACACAGACACAGACACGCAAACACTCAAACACTCCGACACTCAGAGACACACACACACACACACACACTTTTCCACTCCCCAGGGTAAACTCAGTACACGGGTGTCTCCAGACTGTGTAACTACAGAACCAATGAAACACTTTGCCGAAGCATCCCCTGCAAGTCAAAAGCTGACTCAGGCCCATGTGTCTCTTCGTTGCTGAAAAGTGTAGCCTGGGAGATGAAAGTGACATCCGCACAAGTACCTGGAGTCTCCATGACCCCTGAAAAATGGGTCAATGACCTATTATTTTGGGTAATGACCACATTTTTAAGGGCCGTGGAGACTCCAGGTGCCCTCTACCCCTCTGCAAGTTGCAGAGGGAAACCGAAAGCTTGGGAGGCGATCCGAAAAATATGTCGGGTTCGCAGCCTCTCTTAGGGATCCGGAGGCTTCCGGGGGGGGCAGGGGGAGTCGGAACTGTTGGGCATGCCACCTGCGCTTTGCTGGAAAGCTTGGCCCGCCGCGTCTAGACAATCTGGCCTCGGGCTGTATTTCAGGGCGGGGTGTGGGTGAGCACAGCGACCCAGTTTGCTCGGGTAGTGCTGTCTGATTTTGCTTCCGCCTACGTTGGGCCGACTCCTTCAGAACCCATTTACTTGCGACTCAAAGGGACCAAACAAGTGTAAACCTTCTTGGTTGCTGTTAACCTCTGTAGGACGTATTTTTGTTGGTGGGTTTCATGGAAAATCTGGATTTCCCAAACACTTCATATCTCAAGATCCAACCCAATAGCAATGAAGCCTTGTCCACAAGGCAAACAAAAACAAGTGAACATGTTGAGGGGTGCTCAAAATCACGCGCCTTCGACGCCGTAGAGGGGCCCCGCGCACTTGACTCACTCCTGCGCAAAGACTTACCCCAAGCAGAAAGTTGAACGGACCTGTGGTTTAAGACAATTTTCCTCTCACAGCCCTCGTTTACTCTTCCCCGATGAGCGACGAGTCCGAAGGGTGGAATTCCGCTGCGAACATGGACCAAACAAAATCGACCGTCCCAGCCGGAAGTCAGTTCCCAAAGCCTCGGGATGCTGTTGGTTCGAACGAAACCAACCCTGGAAAATGGGATGGCGCTCAGGCGGAACACTATTAAACAAAAGCACTCCCTTAAAATGAACATGGACCCCAGAAACCACCCACCTCTAAACTCGTTTCCTGAGTGGACTGGCCAACAAAATCCAAAAATATTGTTCGCCACTAAAACGGTCCAACCCCACAAAAATGAAAAAGTCCTTGAACTCAGGAAGTGAGTCAAGGAATCATCTTTTCAAAAATTGGACCCCATTTGGCAAGTACTGGTGGAGCAACCCTGAGCAACAGGTCTTCCGAGGATTGGCCAGGGTTGGATACTCCTTCTTACTTCGAGGCTATACCCCTTTGCTTGTGGTACTTCGGAAACTTACCCCTTAAAACTCCAAGCCCTGGGGAAGTTTTCATCTTTTACAGACATATAGCCCATGTTACCCCCAAAAAGTTACGACAAGTTGTGTTTTTAAGAGGTAAGGAAAGCCAAGCAAGAAAAGCAGCTACATATGGCTGTGGCTCAAAAAGACGGTACCAAAATGGAACCTTAGTAAGTCGAAACATGGACCAACATCTGCGGTTTGCCCCTCCTGTTTAATTTCGAGCCACACCCATGTTGGGAACACGGTACCCTGTACCCCCCTTTAAACCAAACAAATAAATAACAGTTTGAACAGTGTAAACCTCCGGGCTATGGTTGCAGCCGATTTCCTGCGAGATCCCTGGCCGGTCCTCTGGCGGAACTGTGAGTTTCCTGCCACAAGGCCAAGCAGTGAGGCTGGGGTCGGAATTTGCAAAGACGAAAAACCGATTTCGAAACATGCACGTGGTGATTGCGCGTTCTGTGCGCAAAATCAGCCAACAGAACAAACAAACAAACAAACAAACAGACAGACAGACAGACAAACAAGCAAACAAACAACAAAACAAGCAATCAAACAAACACACAAGCCCACCAACCACCATCAATACAAACACAACAAAACAACAATCAAACAAACAAAACAAACAAACACCCAAGCAATCAAGCAAGCAAGCCAAGAAAGCCAAGCAAGCCAAGCAAGCCAAGCAAGCCAAGCAAGCCAAGCAAGCCAAGCAAGCCAAGCAAGCCAAGCAAGCCAAGCACAAACAAAGCAACAAAACACAGAAACAAACAAACGGCATGCACAACACAACACAACACAACTCAAATGATAACAACCCAAGCATAACCAAGCATATCAACGCATAGACAAACCATTAGGTAGGCCGGCAGGCAGCAAACAAGGCAAGACAAGGGAAGACAGCAAACAAGGCAAGACAAGGGAAGACAGCAAACAAGGCAAGACAAGGGAAGAAGACATGACAAGACAACACATGACAAAGAAAACGCACGCCCAGCTCCCTCTTTTAAGTAGCAAGGCTTGCTTGGAAAATGAAGCGTGGGAACCCTTTCGGCCAAGGTGAAATATGGCAAAGCCCCTTCGTGGAATCCACGCAGAAACCAAGTGACAGCGCCTGAAGCCCTTCACTGTTGTATGAACCAGTTTTCAAATTGCCCCCCGGTACGGGGGTGATGCTCAATGCGCGGTCGAGCCCTTGAAACACGTGTTTCCCAGCAAGGGGTGAAAAGCAAGCGGCAAACCGGAGATCATGCCGTGCATGATATGGAGCTCCCGTCTATGTGTTAAAGGCCTTGCTACCCGGAGTGCGCCGAAAACAGGAAGTAACAAAACCTGGGCTGTCCTCAGATCCCCTGCTAAAAGCTCAACTGTCAGGGAAACTACCACTAAATCATGTCAAAACGTTAAACCAACAAAAACAACGAAAAACACTAGGGGAACTTCCCGGCCACGCCTTGCAGAAGGGAGGGTGTCCTTCTGCACCCCTTGTGGATTTCAGTGTTGCCCACTAAAACGGCTTCAAACCAAAAAGGGGTTCCCCCCCAAGAAAAACAACAACAACAGCAGATCCTACCACTTCGCCCAAGCGCTCTCTCTCTCCCTCTCCTCCCTCGCTGGGCGTCGCCGGGCTTCGCCAGGGGGCGTCCTCCAGTCTCCGGCGCTCGGCGCGCTCCGCGCGCGGCGCCGAAGCCACGGACGTCGTGCGCGGGCGGCGCGGGGCGCGGGCGCGCCGGGCGCGCCGGGCGCGCCGGGCGCTCGCGCCGGCGGGGCGGCTCCTTCCAAATGCCTTGGCCCGTAAGCGAGGCATTTGCCCTGAAACGGGAAGCCGAAATGAAGATGATTGGAATGGTTGGACATGGTTGGACGTGGCCGTGTACGTCTACCCACACACGGCCTTGGAAGCACAGTCGTCTGCCAGGTGCGTCAAAAAACGATCATGCTGCTGCCCATGTTGGAAGACATAAAGTACCTCCAATTCTAATAGCCTGAACTATCTTTTGCTTGACGTGTTTCCCATCACAGCCTCAAGACATTTAAGACTCTTGCCCACGACTTTGGGGCTGCCAATGGGAGCTATTATAGGCCTAGTGAAGCCTCTGTAGCAAAATTGGTACAACGTGCTACGTCCAAAACTACCTGACTTTACGAGGGTAGGTCCTCCAGTAGAGAGGTTAGAAAAAGGGTACCCTTTTTTCTGTAGTCAATTTTAGTAGGGGAACCCTCCCCACAAAAAGGGTAACTACTGGATCCTGCAAATCAGCTTCTTGTTGCCCTGGCCGCAGAGCCGAGCCACCACGCGGCGGGGCGGCGGGAGCCCCGCGCATGGCCGCCTCCAGCGCTGCGGCACCCGCGGCCGAAGCGCCCGTCGACCCGTCGCCGCCCTCGTCGCTGTCGGAGCCCTCGGCGCCTGTCGTGCGCCCCGATTCAGCTTTCCTCTTCCTCCAGGTTTGAGGAAGTCAGAATAAGGGCACCAACCTTTTTTTCTGTAGTCTATTCATTCAAGTAGTGGAACCCTCCCCCAAGAAGGTTGGTAAAAGGGCACTACTAGTCTTATTGGGTGGTTTGGTTTGGTGGTTTTGGACGTTGAGGAGTACCTTTCCCAGTTGGTTTGTAGAAATGCCGGGTTTCGAATCCCGAAACCACCAATCCAAACCACCAACAAAGGCAAACCTGACCAAGGCAAACCTGACCGATGGTACTTTGAATTGTCGCATTTGCCAACGCCTTCAATCTACAAAAGCTGCCCGAAGAAAAAACACTTTCCATGCTACCAAGAGGTGATGCTCAAAGGCAACATGTAGGGAGCGCTGAACCATGGACAGCCGAGCATCTGTCGCTCACGTCGCCATCTTCTAGCTGGCCCACGGCTAGCTCCGAGGCGTCTAGGAAGCTCGTCTCCTGTTGGGTCTGGTTGTTGCTTGCTACGTGAAGCAACCCAAAAAAAAGAAGAAACAGCTCTCATCTCTTCAAGCCCTCCTTAGTGCCACGACTTGAAAGACCCTTTTGATGGTGAAGGGGAAAAGGCTCCCTTTTTACAGTGCCTTTTATTGCGCAAATGTTGGTCGAACACTTTTTGCAGGCATGGAGAAATGCAAGAAAAACGTTTAAAACAAAGAAACAACAAAAAATGTCCGCTTCTTGCAGGCATGGAGAAATGGTAAAAAAGCCAAAAAAAATGAAAGCGTCCAGCAGTCGCCAAACGTCCGCTCCCCTTCGCTCAGCCGAAGCGTCCCAAAAGGCCGCCGAGTCCGACTTGTCTCCTCCATGCCGATGGCCGCCACAACCTTCGAGCCCACCGTCGGCAGGTCCTACGTGCGACGTCTCGGGTCGGGTCTTTGGGTCGAGGAGCCGAGGCCTCGAGAAATGGGTATGGGTCAAAACCCAAATCGGTGAGCCAGTGAACATCACAGGTCCTAAAGTGGGTGGTGAATTCTCCTACCCCGAAATGGTACCATTGGTTTTGAACCATGGCCAAATGGGTATGGGTATGTCAAAATTAGAGCACCTGAAAACCGCAGGTTTTAATCCATGGTTCCAGACCAACAGCCAAATCTGGGGAGCTGGATCTTGGGCAATTTGTGGTTTAGTGCTTTCAAACAAAAATGGACAACAAGGGTAAAGCCCGGTCTGCGCAAATGGTACCTTCCTACCACCTAGCTTTGTGCACAGGAAGATGCAGAAGCCAGCCTAGACGTTGCGCGGAGGTCCAAGGGACTTTGAAGAACTTCGGCAGTGGCAAACCTGCCCACTACCAACCACCAGTCCGTTCAAATAGAGGCCTACACTTTCAGGGGGCACGCGTGATCCCAAGCAGGTCTCAAGGGGAAACTTAAAGATTCTCGACACTCCATGCTTTTACACCACGCACTAACTATGTTCTAACTATGTTTCAGGTGTTGACAGCCTTTAAATGACACATCTTCGGTGACCTCGTTGCTGAATAGGCGGCTTGGAAAAACCGCTTCCGAATCCGCTGTTTGATTCCCTTAAAGTAAGCTTGAAAATAACAATAAAAAAAGTTGGTATTTAGCCCCCTGCATGGAAATCTCATGTTTGCTGGTTGCTTGTTGTTTTGTAGAAACATGTATTATATTCAACCTCTGCTCCTTTGCGATTCATCAAAAAATAGCTCCAGGCATCAGGGAGTTGATCAAAAGGTCCTTTACATGGAATGACCATTGGAATGACCATTGGAATGACCATTGGAATGACCATTGGAATGACCATTGGAATGACCATTGGAATGACCATTGGAATGACCATTGGAATGACCAAAACGAGTTGATACTTCTCACATGGGAATTACTAAGCATGGTCAAAACTGGGGCCCTAAATGGAATATTGATCAACCCCCATAGTGTGGATGGACGAAATCCCGCACCAAAGTTCAGAAGCCCTGGCATGACGAGTCCTCTGTACATACCACCAACCCATGCTTCCAACCATATGTGCATGTCGAAAACTCGCGTCCTTCCAATATTTGATTCCTGGGCATAGGTGGCCTTCTGGAAAAACATAGATGGCAGTAAATGGAAGAAGTTCCATCCAAAACCAGTGGAACTCATCCAAAACTCTCACCCAATTCACCTTAGGACACCATTCGATTCCTGTCCTGCTTGCAGCTTTCCGTGGGCAGCACCACGTAGTGGGCCTTGCAGGTCGGCCCGAAGACGTCCACCACCGCCCCCAGCACTCGGCCGCCGCTGAGGCACAGCACGGAGCCCAGATCCAAGGCCTACCGAAGCTTCAAAAGTCTCACCTCCCCTCCGAGCGGCTTGGCCCAAAAACCAAACCGCTGGCTTAGCTCCCAAACGGGAGCTCATGAGCTTAAAAAATGTCCAGCAGGAAGAGATGTTTTTGTTTTAGACACCAACAAGGAACACACCTCTGCGCCAATGGAAGAAAACCGCAACCGGACGTTGTGCACTTTCCAACGGAGTCCAACCCCGAAAGTTGAAAGTCCGAGATGGAACTCAGGGAGGAAGTGGCAAGTGAGTTACTTGGCTGGGAAGATCGGGCCCCGGCAAAAAAGGATATGTGTTGCCTGGTTGGTGGAAAACAAAGGGAACCCCAAGAAAGCGGAAAAAAATAAAGAAAGGGGAACTAATTCTGGGGAAGGTGAGTGGTTTGGATTGGTTTGGATTTGGATTTGAAGCCCTGCTGCTGGGAGAGGGTAGATGGGCAACCACCCTCTAACCACCGAACCACCATAAACCACCAATCCAAATCACCAATTAGAGGGAAGCTGATTCAAACATAGTCAAGCACACATCTTTGAAACAAGTTGGAAAAAGGTCGAAGAAGCAAGGAAAAGAAGAAGCAACGCCAATCCCCGCGGCCCAGCCGGCCTTGCCATCCTCCTCCCCCTGCACGATGATGAGGTCTTGCACAACCTGGGCTGGGTGAGGGGCGATCGGGCAATCCACAAGTGTGGCATTCCAAAGCATCCTGGTCCTACTTTATGTGTCCTGTGGTAGTCCAAAAGGAGTCGGATTCAAAATAACCCGTCCTATCCAAGAAAAGGGGGGTTGCCCATTTGAATTGAAGCATCCTTCCAGCAAGCAGGCCAGGGCAACCTCCAGGCCTACAACCCATCCAGTCACCTCCCGAAAATTCGTGGTGTTCCCCGAAACTGCCAAGAAAAGGGAGGTGTTCCCCTGAAGTTCAGCATCCTTCTACCTAACGGGGACGTCCTCCAATCACAATCAACCCAGAGTCCTGCCGATTTGTTTCGCCGTGTTCCCCCGAAACTCGCCGGCGTGGGGCTTCAGCCGACCCTCAGACCCTCGCTTCAGCCAGGCAACGGACAACACCTGGCCGATGTGCTCCCTTGGCGCCGTCTCCTCGAGGTGCTCAGCGAGGTGCGCCACCTCGGGCCCCAAGCCCCGCCCAACAGACCCCTCCCCACCCCGAGCCCCGCACCTTTAAGCTGTCCTTTTGGAAAACAGATGGGTTTCTCTGATAGATGAGAAGAAACCACCAGGGAAACCAGGGATCGCCTTCTAATGTTTAAGCAAAACAACCAAAAAAGGACACCTATGCCCTGACCTTTAAGCTGAGGTGGAGGTTCAGGTGGGCTTCCTGTTCTTTTTAAAAAACATCAAGACACTCATCTTGAGAAGGGAAGGGTTGAAAGGGAAAACAAAAAAGGAAAACCCACCGTTTTGAGGACCCCCCCCATTTCTTCTTGTTAAACGTAAAACAAAACAAAAGCATTATGTTTTTCGTCGCAATAATAATGAGAAAATATTTCAAAAAAAGACCCGCGCTGGAGCACGCTGGCAATAGAACGAGGGCCAAGTCGCGGAGATCTGAGGGGCGCCCTCGTCTTCCAGCGGCGCAGGCCGCGCGGCCTGAGGACTTCCCCGGGGTCCTCAGAAGGACCCCGCACCAAGGCTTTCCTATTGCGACATTTTGGAAAAATAGATGGGTTTCAAAAGGTGTCAATAGCTGGTAAATTTCACTTGGCAAATTTCACCTTTCAAATTTCACCTTTTGTTCCCCTGGTAAATTTGACAAACCCATCTAAACCAACCAGTTCCATCTATTTTTAGCCAAAGCAACCTAAAAAGGGATCCGGATGCATTGTACACCTGAACATTGCAACTTGTCAATGGTGGTGTCCATTTCTTTTGGTGTTGAAAAAGCAACATGTTTCAAATGGGCAAAATGTATCTTTCATGGAGCCCTGTGAAACAAGGTGGGATTTTCCGTGTGGGAACATACGGAGGGGTAGTCCAGTAGAGAGGTGAGAATAAGTTGGTACCCGTGTTTTCCTCCTTCTTTTTGGGGTAGTCTTTTTTTGGTAGGGAACCCTCCCCAAAAAAAGACAAGGTAAAAGGCACTACTGGGGGACCTAAATACCAAACAGCGAGTTGGGAGTTGGGTGGAAATGACCGAGGCTGGACCGAGGTTGGGAGGTTGCCTGGACCCATTTCCGGCGCGAAATCAAGCTCTGCTCTCAACCCAAAACCCAAAAGAGAATTAGATGCAAGCAAAAGTGTCATCCCCAAACAACTAGGCATCAAACATGGCAGTCTACCACCTAACATGGAAGTGCACAGAGCTTTGGAAAGTAGTCGTGCGGAAAGGGTCCAAAAAAAAGAAAGGCAAAAGCGAGACCCGGCGATACAGCACATCTCTCAATGCCAGGCTGATGCGGTCGGAATGGATTCGATTCATGCAGAACAAGTGCTTCCTTCTGAAAGTTCGGAGTTTCTAAGATCGCTTGTCACCTAGTTCTAGTTTGGACAATGACTTCGAAAAGGGCGATGGGTCGCCATCTTTATCACTAATTGCCGAAGGAAAAGGAGACAGTTTGCAATCATGGATCTGGAAAGCCCCAAGGTCGCAAGCCCTGTTCGATAACCAAAAGGGTGGTCAGCTTCCCCAAATTGGCAAAGGCCAAAATGGGTTGGGTAGATGGCACAATTCTTCAATGAAGAAGTCAAGGTCAAGAGTCAACTCATGGGTTGGAATCTGCCATCTTTGACCCAGCTGTAACGCCCAGGACCCCAAAAAGAGCCCGACATAATGTTGGCCCCATATTATTGATCAACCCAGTGTATTACACATTTGTAAGGGGGGTGTCCCTGGCTTTAGTGGGAATCATCACTTTTGGAGGGGGTCAACACCCCCAAACATAAACTGGGTGCTTGATTAAGAGGGGTCAACATTACTCGAGGAATCCTCCCGCCTCCGCCTCCTTCACCTCCACCTCCACCTCCATCTCTGCCTCGCCGTTCTCCGGGTTCTCTCCCAGCTCCGCCTGCAACAAGCGGCGAGAGGTTCAGAGGTTCCCGGACTGTCGACAGCCGACGCCTGGCTCATGTTTTGAGGATGGCGCAAAATTGGGGGGGGGGGGACTCTGAAAACAGAAGGCCAGGTACTTTACTACCTCGGCCATTGCCCCCTAACAAAAAACATGCGATGTTTCGACTCTGTCAATTTGCAACCAGATCGGTGGAATCCTCAACCGCAACCCCCGGAACCCTTTCTGAGAGGACCACTCCTCTAAATGGGGCAATGACCCCAAGCTTCCAGCTGCGGCAACATTTGCAGCAAGAATCGCACTGATGGACAGAATCCATCCATCAGTTAGGTGATTTATCCCAATGCTCATAGGGGTTCATCAGTCGCAACTCTCTCTCTGTCTCTCTCTCTCTCTCTCTCTCTCTCTCTCTCTCGCTCTGCAGGCTGGTGCATGATGCTGTCCATCCACAATATGAAGAGATCTCAGTTGCCGCACGTTCGCTACAAATTTGCTCTGGAAAAGCCGTGCTTTGTACAACTGGGCTCGCCTTCTCCTTGCCCTCTTCTTCTCCCTCCTAAGACAAGGCTGGGCCGAACAGCTTCTTCCAACGGGTGAAGAGGGTGTGAGGTGTGAGGCAGGGGCTCCAGTGTGCGAGCTACAAATTGATTTCCGCTTCACCCCAATCAGGTGCCCAAAGCGGGCTTGTGCTGACCAGTTTCCAGGGTTGGTGGATTCTGCCGCCTACCGTGGAAGAAGTAAAAACGCCTGGCTGGATCCACCAAACAAACAAGAAGCACTTCATCTCTCGCGTGCGGGCACGGCCATTTTGCCCATCACATGACTAAGCTGTCCTCAAATCCCCTGCTAAAAGTTCAACTTCAGTGGGTAAAATGGAAACCCCCCACTAAACCCGCGAAGAAAACAAAAACACGAAGGAACCGGTCGCCCGGGAACTGCCAAAGGGCTCCTGTAAAAGGGCAAGCCTGTGACCAAGCAACCCTCTTGCCGGGGCGAAGGGCAAAAGCCGTTCACCCCAAATGGGATGTCGATCAAGAAATTGAAAGCCCACATGGAGCCCGAAAGAGGGCCCCAGTTGGAGGAAGATTGTCCAAACCTGAGGTCCTTCTTGTGCATCCTTATCCTTACCTGGAAGTGCCTCACATGAGTGCCCAGAACAAATTCGCTGCTCAAGAAAATTGAGACATTGGGCCCGTCCCCATTGGGTGGCAAAGCGTTCTGAACAAAGGGAAGGTATTGGGCACAACGTCTGCGAAATACCGGAACCTTTCAATTCCCTGAAGGTCCTCTGCCTCTTCCTTCTCCGGTGCCTGGCGAATTTGTGTGACACCCGGATGCGTCAACTTGGACCTGTGCCATGGAAGAAGGGCACCGTTCTTTCATTCGCTCCTTTGGCATGACTTGTCTGAGCTTCTCACTTTAGCATCTGTCACGGGTAAGGATATGAGCCGTTGTGTTCCCCACAAACAGGCAAATGTCAAAAGTTGTAGCTGCAGTGAAGGGACTCGTTGGTTTTACCGTGGGTATACATGCTCCACTTCAAACGCTCCAGTTCTACCAAGGCTACTGTGTAGCTACAGGCTTCAACCGTACGTGTGCCAGAAAGCCGGGGCATCACCAACAAACCTGCCCTGTTCAAAAGGGCAAGTTTGAAATGGGGTCCGCAGTCCTCCACCCCAGGATTCCCTTCTGGTTGCCCATTCTTTACGTGAACCCACTAAGCCAAAAGAAACTTGTTCAGGTATCCAGCGAACCTTCAGCTGCTAGGCTGTCCTCAGCTCCCCTGCTAAAAGTTTAGCTTTTCGTGGGCATGGAAACCCCCCACCAAACCCTTCAAAGCTATTGAATCGGACGGCTAGGAGCCACCAAGGCTATTCAGCATTTCAACCATGATTGCACCAAAAAGAGCTAGTGAGTGCCTCTGAACTGGCCGTGGCTCAAAGATGCACAAAATTGTATCTCGGCAGATGGAACCCCAAACTACTGCGTAACCCTACTGTGAATGGACAAAAATCCTGCACCACTTGGAACCACGGTTGAAACCATTGTTCGTTGGTCTTTACAGGGGAATCATCCTTCCAACTTCTCTGAGGTGGTGCGAAATGGATTTCGTCCATCCACAGTGGCTCTTTGATTTCGAGCCACACCCAACTCTGACAAGCGATCCATTAGCTTAAGTCCCCTGGTGAAAACAAACAAATAGTGATAGATTCCCTTTCAAACCAACAGGGGAAAAGAACAACAAATCTTAACCAAATGGAAGTAAGGTTTCGTGGCTTAGCCTCCGCTCCCAGCGCACCCCGCCTCAGCGGCCTCTTGCACAGCCTCCGGCTCAGCCTGCGGGCGGAGCGAGACGCGAGACTCTGGCGCCACCTCTAGTGGTGCCTCTGAAACCAAGACCCTTTAAACATTCTCTACAGGTGTTTACCGGCCAACCAACCAACCAATACCAACCACTACCAACCTAATACCTACCAATACCCACCAACCCACCAATATCAATTAACCAGCCAATACCAACCAATATCAACCAACACAGCCAATATCAACCACCCAGCCAGCCAACCAACCAATCAACGTGCGAATGGAACACATTACACCTTTCATCATGGGGAAGTGAGTTGCTTGCTCAAATACTGTGGATGGACGAAATCCTGCACCACTCAGAAACCATGACAAAACCATGGTTGAAACCATTGTGCGTTGGTATTTACAGGGGAATCGAATCGTTCCGTTGGGTTTCTTAGGTGGTGCGAGAAACGGATTTCGTCCATCCACAGTATGTCTCTTGGCCCATCTTTGCCAAATCCGGGCGTCGGACTCCGAATCCACCACTGCCCCGATGGCACCGGGCCTCCTCATCGGTGCTTTGCAGGTCCACTGCCACTGGCTCGCCCTCGCCCCAGTGCTCCTCGCCTTGCACGCAGGAAAAACGAGGAAATCCCTGAGGCGCGACCGGAAGCTGCGTGTTTTTTTGGTTTCAATTATTTGTTGGTGGGGGTTAGAGGAGTGCAATCGCCCACATCTTTCAGAGCAAGCCGGTGCCTGACCAAGAGTGGTGCGGAAAAATAGGGGTCCTTGGATTTCCCTTCAAAGGTTGAATTGATTTTTGGTGTCCAACGAAGCCGAATGAGCCTGCCACAGCCCAAAAAGTGCCCAAAACGGTGGCCAAAGCTTGAATGGGACCAATCTAGAAGTTGATTCCCCATTCTTTTCAACCATCGCTCATTCCAAGAACCGGCCGTTTTCCCTCGCTTGCCGAGGTTGTCTAGAACGACTCAGATCCCTGCACAGAATGGGGAAGCTACCCCTAGAATACTGTGCCACAAGCCAATATTATATATTGGGTGGTATTATTGAACATGCATACCTCCAAACCCAAGACCTGGAGCATGGGTTTAGCCTAGACATGCACTAGACATAGTCAAAACCCCCAAGGCTTACACCACTCCCATACCCTATGCCCTAGACATATGAGACCCCTCCCCTTCAGCCACAGAGCCCACAGGCTCCGCCGGCTCAGCCAGGTCCGCGGACTCACCCTCGGGCAGCGGCAGCTTGGTCACCGCCTGAGGAAAACAAAAACTGGAATAAGGGTACCCTTGTTCCCCACCCGACAGGAAGGGGTTGTTGGATTTTATTATGTTGGAATCCGCGTTTGCGATGCTTCTACACCACGCCCCCACCCAGTATCCCGCCAGCAGCTCGAAAAAAGGGGAGCCCTACCACAAGGTGCTGGCATTGTGAAAACGAGTGCCGGCGAATATGCCACAGCCTTCACGGGGAGGAGCCAAACCTCAAACATCCAATGCGTCCCAAAAACCAGCCCCAAAACAGCGATATTTCAGTTGGCTCCCCTACCGCAAAGCAAGGATGCTGCACCTCAAGGACACAAGAGAAATAAACAGCTACCCTTTTGGGGCCACTCAAACTGGATGAAGCAAAAAAGGAAACCATGGGAAAACAAAACGCCGAATTCAGGTCGATCGCTCTTGCTGATGCATCCACAAGGCCTCACTTTGTGAGGCAACGCGTACAGGCCTCTGCCATACTGTATTATGCCATATTGACAGTGGCCAACAGGTTTTATGTGAGCTGTTTTCCCCCGCAAAACCAACGGCTTCATTATTTCAGGATGACATTCGAGCGAGTCCTTTTTGCCGCCCGCGCGCCACCGGCCGGAAAAAGCCGAGAAAACGCCAAGAACCTTTTTCGGTTGGTTGGGTTTCAAGCGGAACCCCTTATATACCCCAACCACAACGGAAAACAGGGCACCGGGCAACAGAGTTCAGGTCGACTCCCTCCACACCCGGCGGCCGACAAAGGGGCGCCGAAGCCGGGGGCGAAGCCGGGGGCGCCGGGACCGCGCCTCCGCCGCGTGTTTGCAGGCCTCCCGCAGCTCGGGGCTCACGAAGGTGTCGAACTGCGCCGGCAGCGTGCCGATCTTCGCGGTGAGCCTCGGCGCTGGGCGCTGGGCGCTGGGCGCCGGGCGCTGGTCCGGCGGGCCGGGGGAGCCATGGAGTGAGGCCGTGAGCGGGGGGGGGGGAGGGGGGGCGACCGCTTTGGTTAGGGGGGGGGGGAGGCTGGAATTGGTAGGGGGGGTGTCTCAGGTCTAAAAAAGGCCTAGGTGGGGAAAACAGCCACCCTCCACAAGTGGAGGGTATTCTTGTGATTCCGGATTTGTTTAACCTTTGCTGTCACTTTGGTCGCAGTTTCAATCAAGGATATGTAAGCAAACGCAAAACAACATGAAATCGTACCAACGCTTGCTTCTGTTGGTTTTGAGTTCTGCCTTTTGCCAATCGGACTTTGGTTCAAATCCAGGACCCCGCTCTTGGATGAACGAAAACATCTCTAGACGTCCGCTTTCTTCAGACAATGCCAAAGAACAGCGTTTACAGGTGAATTCAATGACTGAATGCTGTGGGGAATACAAAGAAAGTGAGAAATCACCTAGGTCCTTTAGTAGGCAGGTCAGAATAAGGGCACCCTTTTTTCTGTAGTCTATTTTAGTAGGGGAACCCTCCCCCAAGAAAGGGTAAAAGGGCACTACTGGGGGACCCAGTCACAAGTCAAGAAGGGCGAACGCTTCTGGTTGGCACGGGACAAAAAACAAGTGGCCTTGTTCTGCCAAGTCGCTTGCTCGTTTCCCTCAGCAGCCGCAGGAGCTTCCTCGGCTGGCCGCTTGGGACGAACGTGGTTTTTGCTTTTAAGCTGCCTATAAAGATATGTCCAGCAGTCAAAGGTCCGCGTTTCTGAAACAGGGAAAACAACAAATATTTGTTTCAGCGAATGGACCTGTTTATTACCCCTCAGACCTGAAATGAACGACCCCAAGTATAATTTAGGATCTACATCATGGCTTTCGCTCGCCATGATCCCAATCCATAATCCGTAGTAGCACGGCGTACCACGGGACACAACTACAATTCGGTGAGACTTCAGCATTGATTTTGAATAATAAACAACTGGGTGTGGCTTTTTCGAAGGCGCCCTTCAACTTGTTTGCGTTTAGTAGCATTTGGTATGCTGCCACAACACTATGCCAAGCCAGTCTTTGGTGTATTTTCGGAATTCAGACTTTGTCCTGCAAGTGATGAATCTTAGACCGCCTGCCATCACCCCCCAGGCTGCTCTTGTCTTGCGAGTGCCCTTTGGTTGGCGTTGAAGGGAATCCAAGAGGACAAACAGTTTTTCAGACGGTTCCATACATTGTAAGGCACCGCATGCCTGTGGGACAGTAGGCTTCAGGGCAAATGTCTTTGCTACCAAGGGAATCCCATGAGGATGCCTTTTCCCATCTAAATCCCGTTGGTGTCCAGAAATCAGTGGTGACCTTTTTGCTGGCTGGCCCAACTTTTCAGAACCACTCCCGATGCCGAGACCGCTCCGCCAAACAAGCTTTCACTTGTTGTGGGTCCAATTTGGAAAATCGCCTTCCTTTTTCAACCAAACAACAAATGCAGTCCAAAAATCCGTTGCCAAGTGGTTGCGGTTGTCAACCCTGGCTAGGTAGTGGTTGGAAGGGAGCTGAGGAGCCGGGGGTATCCACATTTGCTGCTTTTTTTTTTGGGGGGGGGAGTGAAGCAGCTACAGTACCAGGCACAGCTGGTAAATGCAAACATGGACCAAAACCTGCGCTTCCCCGGTAATGAGGTTTTGACCCACCTGGACCTTCAAACTACCCTGAAAAACGGGAAATCATCCCATAAAGTGTGGGGCTATCAATTTTCAAGTTGGAATCTTGAATTTTGGTCCTGGCATACCCACATGGCAAGAATGGCACACCGAGGCTCTGCACGTCTTGTGCCGAAGGCGCGCGACGCCGCTCGCCTGTGCTGCCTACAGCTTCGAAACATTCCCAAAGCCCAAGCCAAGCCGTGACAAGGCCATCTTGGAACCACCTGGAGTCTCCATGACCCTTAAGAAAGGGGTGTCCACCAACCGCTTTGGAGGGCTTTTTTGATTACAATTCATGGCCAAATGGGGTCCTGGCCCAACATAAAGGGGTCATAGTTCCATTTTTAAATGGTCCTGGAGACTCCAGGCAGACTAAAAGCTTGCATTTCCAAGGTGATTCAGTGAGGACGGGTCAAAGAAAGTCCCTGAATTGAGGGCAAAAGAAAGTCCTTGAATTGAGGGCACACCCCGCTTTCCATAGTAGACTTAAAGTTCCCACGCACTGAAACACACAAATTCACGGCCGTTTTCAGTCCTTGACCAACCGAAAAGGCTCCCCAATTGCCTTCCTGATGCACGTGATGTTTCAAACAAACAAACAAACAAACAAACAAACAAACAAACAAGCAGGGTGTTAGGAAGTCCTCAGAGACTTGCATTGGGCCTGTATTAAAATAATCCAACAATGCATCTTTTATCAAACAAAAACACCCAATGCAAGTACCCCAAGTAAGAAGATCCCTACGGATTCTTCTGTTTGGCTTCAGAACCCCCCCCCCCTCCTCCCCTTCCCCCCCCCTTCCCTCCCCCCCTTCCCTCCCTCCCTCCCCCCCCCCCCCACCCCCTCCACCTCCCCCCACCCCCCACATGTTTGTTTTTTTCTCCATCCGCCTGCCGGCTCCTGCAGCACCTCCTCAGCCAAGGCCTCCTGCTCCGCGATCCTCTGTGCCACTAGCCTCAACAAAAAGGCTTTCCTCTACCCGAGGTTTCCGCTCTTTTGCTGGTTTCTTGGTTGCTGCAACTACCCCCCTGCAAAAAGTTGACCACTTTCGGGGGGTTTAGTGGAAAACACAACTGGGTTTCAACCAAAAAGTTAAAGTCTAAAGATCCAACTCAATAGCCGTCAAGGTTTGAATGGAAAACCACTTTCTGATTTTGGCTTTGCCAATTGTTTGAAACGTACTCACATCCACCTGTACAGCAAGTTGACATATGCATTTTTGATGGGGGCGCACCACTGATGTCTGATAGCAATTCATGCGCAGGCCCTTCACCAAACAAGTAATGACACAAATATCCAAACAAACACAAGGGGTCTTTTTTCAAAGAATGAAACTTTCCGAGAATTTTGCCGAGATGCAGGTCATCCACTTCGGTCTCTCCATCCTGATGCGATTCGCGCTTTTGATGGGTAAACAGTTTTCAGCCTGCGCCAATCAATGGACAATGCGCATAGCACCCAGGTCCAAATGACTTGACTTGGGGTCATCACAATGATTAAATGACATACCCGATCCAACCCAGTTGCCGATGGATTCCGGTTGCGAGACTCACACCTGTAACGTGTAATGAGTGCCTGTTGATTCAATCCGCTCCCGGCCATGTGGCAAGCTGGAAACAGATCCACAGGAGTGGATGCCCTAAATATTGCATCGGGAGCTAGGCAAATTCTCTACTTGATTACAGTCTACTATCTATTTTTGTGTGTGGTTGAGTATGGTTGGTTTACTTGCAATATTTCAGGCATCCACCATAGCCCCGTTGCTTTGCTGCAAGACATCTCAGACTAACAGTCAAATTCATGGGACGCCACGCGCGAGTACCCTCCCCTAAGCCTTTCCAAGCTCTGCATCCGAGCAAACTAAATCGGACCCGGCTGAGAAGCTCAATTAGGCATGACTCATCGGGGTCATGTCAGGGCTTTACTTCATTTCTTTAAAGTCCCCACCAGGCAACACCCAGAAACGCTTGTCAACTGTTGACTGCCGCACAAATCGGAAGGGCATTCACCATTCAAGTTCGCCCATTTCTGATCACAAGATTTGCAGGCAACCAGGGAAAGCCATCATGTACGAGGTAAAACATCGTTACAAGCGGCACATGGGCTCGCACTGGGAATGGCTTCGACCCGGACGTCCCCAAGTCCACAGTTGCAACCCCGGTGACGCCGGAGAGTCTGAGCCAAGGCTCGATGATCAGATCTTCGTCCTGCAGAGCTAGGGAGTGATTCCCGTTCTTTTGGCCATGGCTCAAAATCCAAATCGTACCCCCATTTTTTATCCCAATCCCCACTGGGTGGTGCACCTACCCCAAAATGGGATCCCATTGGATTTGACCCACAGCCATTACCCGTTCTCAACCATCGCTCTTATCAAAAAACCAGCCATCCTTTCGGGGTGTTGGCATGCTTCTGGAAATAAGGATCTGCTAAAACTAGCGCAGGTTTGGCCCGTCACATTGCCCTCCCACAGCATACCTATCTGAAGCCCCCTGGAAGACATGCTTCGTCAGGGGTCCTTCTGGTGACTTCCATCGGAAAAGTAGCTTCCATTTGCTTAAGCCCCCCGGAAGGAAAAAAACAAACACATCCAGTAGTGGTAGATTCCCTTTAACCTTAAAACCAACAAGGGAAAGTAAAACAAACATATATTCTTAAGCAATTGGAAGGTAGGGTCCTGAGGACATGTTCGGGGAAGCACTCGGCATCGCACTCGCCAGACCCCACCCACCCCAGCTCGGATGGCTCCTCACGCAGGTGCCGCACGCGCTGCTCCTCAGCGACAGACACCAGACGGCCCCTTCTGCGCACAAACAACTCAGTTGCCTATGAGGGACCCAGAAGTAAACGGTGATCACCTTTGGTGGCCATGACGATTTTATGGACCAACTAGGTCCTCCAGTAGCGAGGTTAGAATAAGGGTACCCTTTTTGCTGTAGTCTATTTTAGTTGGGGAACTCTCCAAAAAAACAAAAACAAAACAAGTAAAAGGGCACTGCTGGCAGACCTAGCCAACATGGAAACCCAAAGGTCAGAAGGTCAATTCGCTCAGGAGAACTGAGAACATGCCCTGGTGCGTCTTTCCTGAACTGGGCGTTCGGAAGCCTGAAACCCCGGCGATGTTCGGAAGGCCAAAAAAAGCGGAAGCAGCGGAAGGAAGCCGAGCAAGGGAGTGGCCTCAGAAGGGAGCTGCCCAAAAGAGCCCCTCCCGTTGGCTTCCCTACAAAACAGGGAACAAAGGAAAAAACAGCCAAACCCCAAATACCAAACTGAAAATAAGAAATCAAACTACGCAACCAATAACATCCAAATTCGATGAATTTTGGGTCAAGGTAGGGCTCCCTAATGGTTTCTCGGAACTCGCTCGCAAAGGATGGCCAAAGCTTCTGCGAAAATGAAACTATGTCAGCGCGAGTCCTCGTTTTCTTCCAAGTTACGGCGATTTCGCCCACGTGGGTATGAATTTTAACTGACGGGCCTTTTGGTGGACATCATTTAGGTAGGGATTTACGTCCAACCACTTTTCAAGGGGGTCCAACCATTAAACTTCATCGCCATGTCCCTCAAATCAAGTGGAGAATGGACTGCTAGGCTTTCTTCTTCTCAGGCCCAAGCAGCGCTCTCCGCCCCCGACGCGCCAGCCATGGGCTCAGCGACGCATGAGGCGACCCCCTCGGAAGCTTGCTTCCGGTTGAACGGGTTGGGGCTGTCCACATGAAATCAACTAACACCCGCGGAAACTAATTTTCATATGCGGCCATTTGAACTGCTGGGAACCAAATAATGGGCGATTCGGCCGAGCGTGCTACTTCAACTTGGTCGCCTCTGGTTGCTCTCCGGCAAAGCGCCCGGGCCCTGCTCGTGAGAAATCACCACTTAATTGTCCAGGCCTGTGAGCCAGCCCATGCATGCCATGGCCTGACAGAAGGCATCACGCCGAATGCCGCAAGGCCTGTCCCTTTCCAGCTGAGCGGAAGGAACACGAGCACAAGGGCAACCATGGAAACTGCATGGGCGTGGCCTTTGTTTCTCCTTTTTTTTACGGGATCCCAAACAAAAGGATTTCGGTTTCGCTTAGGTTTCCCTTCAAAAGCATGGCCACATTTTTCGGGGTCCCGGACCGAGCCATGTACTCAGCTTTGGGCATTAATTTTGCTCAGGAGTCCAGCCGGCTGGAGAGTCTGACATGGCGCGTTGCCTCAAAACTGCCCTCCTAAACCTTACCCCTTAAAACTCCCTGCGCCCTGAAGTGTTCATCTTTTACAGACATCTAGCCCATGTTACCCCCAAAAAGTTACGAAAAGTTGTGTTTTTAAGAGGTAAGTTCGAATTGTGGCCTAAAGGGGGCAAGCCCCAAAATGCGAACCCTTCAAGGAACCCCACCTTTAATTAAGAGGGCTAGGTTAAGTGCGTAAAAGATGGACATGTTCGGAGCACTAGCTCAACCGAGAATTTCTGAAGAACAAAACACATTGGAAGGGGACCATTGTTGAAACGCAAACTCTATCCTTTTCTTAAGCTCTTGGCGAGGATTTAGCGGGTGCCTTTCAGTTTCTGTCGCCCCCTGGTTGTTCATCCGGTGCACCATGCCAGTCATGCAGCGCTGGTTCCCCTTTTTTGTCAGAGTTCATTCATCTTAAAACTATTGCACGGCCCGTTTCAGACTGAAATCACTTGGACGACCAAAACAACAGAAACAACTAGACCCACACATGCTTTTACATGTTCACCATGTCAGCAGGTCAAAAAGATGAGTGCTCTGTCAGCCTGTGTCCAGCTGCTTTTGCTGCCTCTGCACAATCTTTGCCGATCAGAACTCGCTTCCGTCGGTTGCCTGAAAAGAGAGGGCAAACAAGGGATCGAACTAGGTAACTAGGTCACCAAATGCGCTTTCCCACAAAAAAAACACAGGGAGTGAGGAACTGAAAATGGGGGCAACATTGCAACAATCTAAGGCAACTTCACAGTATGTTTTCTGCTCGGTATTTTGCCACTGTGCTGTAGATTTCCCGCAGCAACCCCCAAACATGGTCATTCCTTTGAGTTTCCGAATACGGAAGGTTATCAATCTTGTTTTCTATTTCCCGCCAAAACATCCGACACATATGGACCCTTTGTAAAAGCAAAGAACCACCTCAAGAGTGGTTGCAGCACATTTTTTCATGAACCCCTACCTACATGATGCGCTCCAAAGAGTCCAGCCACTGAAAAAAAGAACACATGTCGTGCGACTGCGCTGCAAGAGCGCTGCCATGTTTGCTTTTGGGGGAGAGGATCTGGGTCCTCCCAAATTGTCTTTCCACGTCAAATCCCATGGGTGTTCCATTGCAACTGTGGATGGCGGAAATCCTGCACCACTTTGAATCTATGGCAGTTGCAGGGGGGTAATCGTCTCAGGTGGTGCAGGAGTTCGTCCACCCTAGTGATGGACAAAATCCTGCACCCGTAGGTGGTTTGTGGCCTCGTCCATCCCAAGGACTTGGTCCAGCCACAGTATCCCCTCCAAATGACTGATTTCATCATCTCTACTCTTGGTATGGGCTTGCAAAAAACTGACTGTTTTTTGCAGACCCCCAGTAAAAAACTCAACAGAACCAAAAAAAACAAAAAACCGAAAAACATGATCCAAGAACAGTGAAGTCATGGTTGGTTTCTTACACCTGTACACCCATCCCACAAAAAAGGCTCCCAGTTGTCCAGTGTCACCCTGGGCTGACCTTTCTCACTGTTCACCCAACAAAAAGTTGCACACCCTTGAAAACAAGTGCTGCTGGATAAGTGGGAGCCCGGCATCTGGGGTACACAACAAATACCCCTCCCTCCCCAACAATCTTGGACACCGACAGGAGAGCTTTGCGAGACTACTTTCCTTTTAGGGAAGCCCCCTGTTCACTTCCAGAGATGGTTGGACAGAGTCAATGGTGCAAGGCGATTCTGGTCCACATTTCGCCTGTCCGAAGCCCATCGAAGCAACTCCCAGTCCAGCTTCTGCTTGAAGCGTGGGTCTGGGGCAAAAGGGCCCACCGCAACGGCTGTCCTTTCGAAGGGATGTAGCGTCTTGGACTCGAGAACGGAGCTCCCTTTATGAACTTCCCCTTTAAATACCGTGGACGGACGAAATCCATTTCTCGCACCACCTAAGAAACCCTGGAATGATACGATTCGCCTGTAAATACTGACAAGCAATGGCTTCCCATGGTTTGAAAGTGGTGCGAAATGGATTTCGTGCATCCACAGTAATTTCTACCCCGGAAGGAAGCTCACCACATTGGCAACCAAAAACCCCGGCACCAACTGCCCTGCCTCTGCAGCCTCTGCAGCCTCCGCGGCCGAACCTGGCATTGACCAAAGATCCATTCTTGGATGGCCATTCTGGATCAGGGTCAGTGGATTTCCTGGTCAAGGGTTGGTTTTGCATGGACACGATCGCCATTTTTGGAGGCGCTAGGCCGAGGTCCACCTTCTGATGCTCACATGGAGCCCGGAAAGCACCTCTGGGTGTGGGAGGGGGTTGGGACCCGTAGTTGTACGCATCCAGCAAGGTTGCTGCCGCATTCAAACAAATTGCTGGATGAAAACCAGCGAAGCGGATGGCTCCCAAGCTTGTTAGCCAGAAAGACTTCAGCGTCCAGCTGGAAAGCTTTGGCCAGGCCTGAAGCTTTTGGCCTACCAACCTTCAACATGCCGACCATAAGGCAGCGGGAAAACCTTGGCTGGAATAATCGGACCCCGGCCAAAATAAAATGCCTGGTTAGTGGTTAGTGGAGCCTGGTTAGTAAAAAAACAAAGGGAACAACCCAAAAAGGCGAAAGAAACCGCAAGAAGGGCTCCGAAGAAACCGGCCAAGCCGCAAAACGTCCTAACAGGTCTTGTCTTCACCTGTGGCCCCAACCCACCCACCGCCGTCACATGTGGAGGTGCCCCCTGAGAACTCCACATGACCTTGCCCCCAAAGGCGGGGCAAGACCGCCAAAGCTCTGTAAGAATTGATCAAGTCTAGAAATTCACCGAGCCTGCCAGTCGACTATGGCCACCCCCCGTTTCTTGAAGGGCTCCATCTTGTGGCTTTCGGAATCTGAGCTACTTTTGGAACGCTGAAAACAAACTTCACTTTTGCAAAGTTTAAAATCATTTCGAAAGCTGATTTAAGGCTAAATTTAAGGGATCCCCAATAAAGGACTCTAAGTACTATCATGGTGACCTCGTTCTACCCCCGAATCAGTGAACTCGCATAAAAAATAGGCGCAAACCATTTTTCAAGCTATTTCGGGGCTCTCTCGGCTCAAGCCCGGCCTTTGTCCTTGCGCCTTCTTCTCCTTCGCTTCCCGGCGTCGCCGGCCGCCTCAAGCCCAAAACCAAGCTGCGTCGGCGCAGCCCTCGCGAAAAGCACGATGGCGCCATCTTTCCAAGGACCCCTTTGGGCGCCTTTGGGCTCCCTACCCCCTCGGGCCACTCGGAAAAGAGTGCGCTGTTTGTTTAAACCAATTGGCGTCTCTTTGTTTGGGGGTCGTTTGTTTCTTTGTTTTGCTTCTTCTTCTTTTTTGGGGGGGGGCTGGTTCTAACAGGAAGCCCAATCTGACATCTCTACTCTTGGTATGGTAGCGAAACACTTTGTTTTGTGCAGACCCACAGTAAAAATGAACAGAACCAAAAACTAAAAAACCGGGAAACAAACAAACATGTTTTTTTAAAGATCCAAGAACAGTGAAGCTGGAAAAACCCACATTTAAGGGGTCCCCCTATTTCAAGACGCGTGCTAACCCTATGCGACGAGTTCCGACGAGTCCGGAGTTCGGCCTCCTCGGCCTCACTCGTCCGGCCTCCGCTTCGCGTAGGCGCTTGAAACTCTTTAAGGGCGCAGCGGCTGCAGAAACACATGTGGCTCAAAATTTTTCAGAGCTAGGGTTACGCAGGTTTTGGTCGCTGCAGTGGCTCAAAATTTTTCAGAGCGAGGGGCAAACCGCAGGTCTTGGTCCATGCTTCTACTTCCCAGGGTTCCATTTCGGCACCGGATTGCTTTTTGAGCCATGCCCACATCAAAATGGGCATTTCTCGGTTGCCCAAAGGCCCTGGAACCAAAATTGTCAGTTGCCCAAAGGCCCTGGAAATAGAAATCTCAGTTGCCCAAAGGCCCTGCAAATAAAATTATCAGTTGCCCAAAGACCTTGAAAATAGAAGGCGACCACTCTTTGGGGCCATGACTACAAGTGGGACCAAAATAGGACAACCAACAGGTCAAAACGTCGGCTTTGGACAAGTGAGGTCTACAAGTGGATGATGACAACTTAGACCATTCATGGAGGATAGCACAAGATGATTCTTGGTGGATTGACCCCCCCCGACCTGTCGCAGGGACAAAGGTGCCAGCGATGTGTAACACCCTTGCCCGCGGATAGTATTCGCAGGAAGGGCACAGGGCAAGCGCCTTGAGAGGGAACACAGGAACAACGGAACAACGTAAAAGCTGCCTTCAACCAAATAGCCTATGTGAGATGGTTGCCTCAGCCAAAAGAACCACCCAGCCCTCTTTGTCCGTCCAAGGCTACCAGTTCTTGTGATTTTACCTTCGCCAAAAGGAACACGTTTGAGATTCGGCCATGGGTCAAAATCCCGCACTCCCAGTGATTATCCCAATCCCCACCAAAATAGGTTCTGACATGTGTGGTGAATTCACCTACCAACCAAAATGGGATCCCAAAACGGTTTGACCATTCCACAGCCACCTCAGTTCTGCTGATTTTACCTTTCCAGCCAAAAGGAACACGTTTTTTTCAGATTCCTTTTCAGACGCGAACCTTCCCGCCGGTCCAAGGCCGAGAGCCCCGGGCCTTGGTCCTTGCGCCTTGGGCGCCGTGAGGATCCCGCCTGGAACGCCGGAGCCAAACCTGCCTGCTAGGTGACACACACACACACACACACCCCTGCTAGGCGTTTTTGGACGGACCTGGAAATAGAAGGTGGCTCCCCCCCAAAAAAAAAGAAGAAGAAAAGAAACACATGAGCTGCTTGGGCTCCGTGTACATCTGCAGAGGCTGTTCAACCACTAAACCCCGGAACAAAAAGAAAGCAAAACACGAGCTGCACTTAGCTAGTGCCAACAAAAAACAACAACATGAGGCTGGCACCTCCGGCCGCAAGAATGCATTTGTGAGGCTCAGGATCAACCTTGTAAAGCATAGGCGATTCTCGGCAGGATCCTTTAAGGTGACTGAGCCAACGATTCACAATCCAACTAGAGGCTCCCCCCGTCTTGCCGACGTCAACGCGGTCAAGCCTCTCTAGACGAAACAAATTTGCGGGCTAGCTAATTGGGGGTTCTCACCAGGGTTGGGGCAGCCACCTCAAATATGTTTGAACAAATCCTCTTTTGTTCTTGGCTTGGTTGTTGTCTCACACCTTGCCCAATTCCCTTTCTGTCAAGCCGTGCTTTTTGTTTGCTTTCCGACTTTGTGGGGCTTGGTGTGAGGTTCGGCCACCAAACTCTTCTTGCAAAATGGAAGTGATGAATGCCATGTGGCCACTCCCGATTCCAAGTGCCAAACCCCACGGTGAGGGCCCGGTGAGGGTGGCCAATCGCATGGCCTCTGCCTCCTCCTCTGCTCCAGTTTCTGCCCCTTCTTCAGCCTGGCCTGATGCGAGGGCTGCGCAAGGTCTTGACGGAGATCGACAGGATATGACTTGGGGGGGGACGAAGGTCTGATGCATGGAAACCTCCCATGTTGCTAACCCCGTCGTTTTGCGGTGCGGGGGCTGACATGGGCTGAGTCAGCTCAAAACAGGTCCATGGCATCCGGAAATCGATCGTGCGCGGCAAGGCGGCAACGGCCTGCGTCTCTGTCCTTGCGTCTTCTGCGCCTCCTGCCGGCATCAGCCTGTGGCAGGGTTGACCAGCGGGCTATAGTCATGCTGCTTGGACATGTTCCGGTCATTTGGAGCACGACCCCCCGTTCACTAACAAACCCACAAACGCATCCGGAAACCATGGACACCCCAGCCAAAACAGATCACATCAAAGCAAACAAACAACTGCCCTGAAATCAAACAAAAGCATACTGATGACGCTATGGACACAAACAAGCACACCGCCCAAACTGATTCAACTTGCGCCTCTGCCTCCTCCTCTGCTTCCTCCTCTGCCCCAGTTTCTGCCCCAATTTCTTCATTCCGATCTGGCAAAGGTGCGAGGTCACAAAACAAATTGCATGCAGGGGGCTCGAGTCAGCTCATCAACATAACCCATCAAGGCAGCAACACAGTCCAGCTAGCCCGGCCGGACTGCAGATGCCACTGCGTGTCATCCATCGCAAGTCCGGACAACGGCCTGCGTCCTTTTTCTTGCGTCTTCTGCGCCTCTTGCCAGCATCAGCCTGTGGCAGGTGGGTTGAGCTCTGCCCGAAGTATGACGTGGCCAATGGATTGCCAACGGCCGCATGCCAACACATTGCTTCCTAACAAGTCTCGTGCTTCATGCTTGAGCACGCCCTGCCTCCTCTGCAGCCTCCGCCTCCTCCTCTTCTGCTGCAGTTTCTGCCGCTTCTTCATCGCGACCTGGCCAAGGAAGACACGCGTCAACATCTGAAGTGTCAAAAAGCACTGTGTGTTGGGGGCTCGCGTCCGCTCATAAAACCTCATCATCAAGGGCGCAAGCAACACATTCCAGCACTGCCAGGCCCATATACATATGGGCTTGGAGTGAGATTGTTGTTCCTCAGCGCGAGGACAATGCCAGGCCAAGGAGCCTGAGTCCTTTTTCTTGCGTCTTCTGCGCCTCTTGCCAGCATCAGCCTGTGGCAAGTGGTTTGAGCTCTGCCCGAAGTATGACATGGCCAACGGTTTGACAACGCCCGCATGCCAACACATTGCTTTCTGACAAGTCTCGTGCTTCATGCTTGAGCACGCCCTGCCTCCTCTGCAGCCTCCGCCTCCTCCTCTTCTGCTGCAGTTTCTGCCGCTTCTTCATCGCGACCTGGCCAAGGTGCCAGGAAGACACGCGTCAACATCTGAAGTGTCAAAAAGCACTGTGAAAAAGCACTGTGTGTTGGGGGCTCGCGTCCGCTCATAAAACCTCATCAAGCAACACATTCCAGCACAGGCCCATGTACTTATGGGCTTGGAGTGAGGTTGTTGTTCATCAGCAAGAGGCCAATGCCAGGCCAAGGAGCCTGAGTCCTTTTTCTTGCGTCTTCTGCGCCTCTTGCCAGCATCAGCCTGTGGCAGGTGGTTTGAGCTTTGCCCGAAAAATGACATGGCCAACGGTCTGCCAACGGCCGCATGCCAACACATTGCTTTCTAACAAGTCTCGTGCTTCATGCTTGAGCACGCTCTGCCGCCTCTGCAGCTTCCTCCTCCTCCTCCTCTTCTGCTGCAGTTTCTGCCGCTTCTTCATTCCGACCTGGCCAAGGTGCCAGGAAGACACGCGTCAACATCTGAAGTGTCAAAAAGCACTGTGTGTTGGGGGTCGCGTCCGCTCATAAAACCTCATCAAGCAAAACATTCCAGCACTGGCCCATGTACTTATGGGCTTGGAGTGAGATTGTTGTTCATCAGCACGAGGACAATGCCAGGCCAAGGAGCCTGAGTCCTTTTTCTTGCGTCTTCTGCGCCTCTTGCCAGCATCAGCCTGTGGCAGGTGGGTTGGGTTTTGTCAGAAGTATGACATGGCCAACGGTCTGCCAACGGCCGCATGCCAACACATTGCTTTCTAAAAAAGTATCATGCTTCATGCTTGAGCACGCCCTGCCTCCTCTGCAGCTTCTTCCTCCTCCTCTTCTGCTGCAGTTTCTGCCGCTTCTTCATTCCCACCTGGCCAAGGTGCCAGGAAGACACGCGTCAACATCTGAAGTGTCAAAAAGCACTGTGTGTTGGGGGCTCGCGTCCGCTCATAAAACCTCGTCAGGTGCGCAAACAACATTCCAGCACTGTCAGGCCCATATACTTGCGGGCTTGGAGTGAGATTGTTGTTCATCAGCGCGAGGCCAATGCCAGGCCAAGGAGCCTGAGTCCTTTTTCTTGCGTCTTCTGCGCCTCTTGCCAGCATCAGCCTGTGGCAGGTGGGTTGAGCTCTGCCCGAAGTATGACATGGCCAACGGTTTGACAACGCCCGCATGCCAACACATTGCTTTCTGACAAGTCTCGTGCTTCATGCTTGAGCACGCCCTGCCTCCTCTGCAGCCTCCGCCTCCTCCTCTTCTGCTGCAGTTTCTGCCGCTTCTTCATCGCGACCTGGCCAAGGTGCCAGGAAGACACGCGTCAACATCTGAAGTGTCAAAAAGCACTGTGTGTTGGGGGCTCGCGTCCGCTCATAAAACCTCATCAAGCAAAACATTCCAGCACTGGCCCATGTACTTATGGGCTTGGAGTGAGATTGTTGTTCATCAGCACGAGGCCAATGCCAGGCCAAGGAGCCTGAGTCCTTTTTCTTGCGTCTTCTGCGCCTCTTGCCAGCATCAGCCTGTGGCAAGTGGTTTGAGCTCTGCCCGAAGTATGACATGGCCAATGGTCTGCCAACGGCCATTGGCCAACACATTGCTTTCTAACAAGTCTCGTGCTTCATGCTTGAGCACGCTCTGCCGCCTCTGCAGCTTCCTCCTGCTCCTCCTCCTCCTCCTCCTCTTCTGCTGCAGTTTCTGTCGCTTCTTCATTCTGACCTGGGCAAGGTGCCAGCAAGATAGGCGTCAACATCTGAGGAGTGAAAAAGCACTGTGCTACTCCAAAATGGGATCCCATTGGTTTTGACCCACAGCCATGTACTTATGGGCTTGGAGTGAGGTTGTTGTTCATCAGCACGAAACCAATGCCAGGCCGGGAGCCTGCGTCCTTTTTCTTGCGTCTTCTACGCCTCTTGCCAGCATCAGCCTGTGGCAGGTGGACTGCTCTCTGACCATATGCAAAAGCAAAAGCCGATCGTTGACATCGGAGCCCACCAAACGGTTCACATCAAAACAACAAAACACTTCACTTGCATTTGCTCAAGCCCGCGGGAAAACGAATCCAGTAGTGATCGATCCCCTTTAAAACCAACAAGGGAAAAAACAAAAAAAACAAAAAAAAACACTATTCTTAAGCAAATGGAAGCTTCACTTGCATCCCCTCCTCTTTGCAGCGGAACTCTCGAAGCGGCAGCACGCGGTTTGCCAGCGGTAAACTTGTCACCCTGCATTTCAATTCATGTTGACCCCATCTTTATCAACCCCAGTTTATCAGTAGGGGGTTTAGTGGGGAATCAAACACTTTTGGAGAGCAACACCCCCTATGACATTATGAATAAACCGCTTGGTTGAAACTCATATGGGGTCAACGTGTGTTTTTTTCATGACGTGCGCTTCAGGATTCGTGCTCGAGCACTTTCGGCCGCCTCACCCTCATCCTCGGCAGATTCCGGCCCAGCTTCTTCAGTCTGGCCTGGCGCGGTCGCCCGAATTGCTAGACATGTGGATGTGTGCGAAATCCATTTGCTTCTTGCACCACCGTTCAGAAACCGTTCGACATGATTTGATTCCCCAGTAAATACCAATGAACAATGGTTTCAACCATGGTTTCCACCTGGTGCGAAATCGATTTCGTCCATCCACCGTATGTCATGTTCGAGTTGGGGAATTGGGGCCTGTTGGCAACAAGCAGAAGACCAGCCAGAACTCCACCATGTCACGTAATGTCGCTCCAGGGCTCTGGCCTGCGTCTTTGTCTTTGCGCCTTCTGCGCCTCTTGCCAGCATCCGCCTGTGGCAGGTCAAAAGCCAGGACTGCTGGCCTGAACGCACCCGAACAAATGCACCTGGAAGCCAACATAGGAAATCAGAGCTCACAAGCAAGCAAGCGCAACATACTCCCCCCGTTCAGTTTGTTGGCCCGAAAGCTCATGCCGCTCAGAGTGAAACCTACCCCACAGTATCACGCGGCCACGGCTTTGCAATCGCCTCTGCAGCCTCTTCCGCTGCAGTTTCGGCCCCAGCTTCTTCCGTTTGGCCTATCGAGGGCCAATTGTTCAATATCTCACTGAGGAGGCAAGACAAGGCATGGGTTCCATGAACCAATATGTCCTAGGCATGTATCTTCTTTATCATGTTCCGATTGCACGTTGGCTGGGAACGGAGCTGGGCAACCGCAAAAACAACTTTTAAGGTTAAGCATGTTTAGCGGGGAATCCACAAAACACAACAAGTACGTGCCCTCGCTTGACCAAAGGACCTATATAAAATTAAAAGGTCAACCTTTTGGGACCTGTACTCAATCAAAGTTTATCAAAAACGGAGCACCAAAAGCTTAAAAGCTCGATTCGCTTTGAACAACTCAGGTTCTTCGGTTCCGACTCATTGGCGATCGAATCAAGAAACTGGGGCCAATGCTTGCGCCAGCCTGGGTCTTCCGCTTTGTCTTTGCGCCTTCTGCGGCTCTTGCCAGCGTCAGCCTGTGGTAAACAGCCAGGATTGTTTGCTTGGCTGGTAGTTCTGAACACCAAATCCTCTTGGCATTTTCTTCGACCATTTAATTCTGAATGTATATTTCTTTCCTGTGGCTTCCATTCAAAAAGCAGCCAAACAAGGCACTCTCTGATCCTCCGCATCCACTGCTTGGCTGCACGCACCCAAACAAATGCACCTGGAAGCCAACAAAGGAAATCAGAGCTCACAAGCAAGCAAGCGCAACATACTTACTCTCTTCGCTCCTTTCATTTCCGTTCAGTCTGTTGGCCCGACAGCTCACCCCGCTTAGTGCGAAACCTACCCCGCACTATCACGCGGCCACGGCTTTGCAATCGCCTCCGCAGCCTCCTCTTCCGCTGCAGTTTCGGCCCCAGCTTCCTCTGTTTGGCCTATCGAGGGCCAATTGTTTAAAATCTCACTCAATAGTAAAGAATGTCTGCGGAGTCTGAGGAGGCAATACAGGGCATGGGTTTCATGAACCCATGTGTCCTAGGCATGTATCCTCTCTATCATGTTCCACTTGCACAGTTGCTAGGCAACCAGTGCTGGGCAACCCCCCCCCAAAAAGAAAGGTTTTTAAGGCTAAGCGTGTTTAGCGAGAATCCACCACATAAAACAAGCACTTGCCCTCGCTTGACCAAAGGACCTATATAAAACTAAAAGGTCAACCTTTTGGGACCTGTACTCAAAGTTTATCAACAACGGAGCACCAAAAGCTTAAAAGCTCGACTTGCTTTGAACAACTCAGGTTCTTCGGTTCCGACTCATTGGCGATCGAATCAAAAAACTGGGGCTAATGCTTGTGCCAGCCTGGGTCTTCCGCTTTGTCTTTGCGCCTTTTGCGGCTCTTGCCAGCATCAGCCTGTGGTAAACAGCCAGGATTGTTTGCTCGGCTGATAGTTCTGAACACCAAATCCTATTGGCACTTTCTGCGACCATTTAATTCTGAATGAATATTTCTTGCTTGTGGCTTCCCTTTAAAAGGCAGCCAAACAAGGCACCCTCACCAAAAAAAACAACGAGCATACAGCTGATCCTCTGACGCATCCACTGCTTGGCGGCACGCACCCAAACAAATACACCTGGAAGCCAATAAAATAAATCAGAGCTCACAAGCAAGCAAGCGCCACATACTTACTCCTCCGCTCCTTTCATTTCCGTTCAGTCTGTTGGCCCGACAGCTCACGCTGCTTAGTTCGAAACCTACCCCGCACTATCACGCGGCCACGGCTTTGCACTCGCCTCTGCAGCCTCTGCAGCCTCCTCTTTCGCTGCAGTTTCGGCCCCAGCTTCTTCCGTTTGGCCTATCAAGGGCCAAAATCTCACCGAATAGTAAAGAATGTCTGAGGAGTCTGAGGAGGCAATACAGGGCCGACTCATTGGCGATCGAATTGTCAGTTGTTCAGTGGAAAAAAGGGAACCCTTTTTGGGGAAGACCGTCTTTAGTGGGGCAGCTACCCCCCCCAAAAAAAGGAAAAAGGGTGCCCACTGAACAACTGAGAATCAAGAAAGTGGGGTCAATGTCTCGCGCGCCTGGGTCTTCCGCTTTATCTTTGCGCCTTCTTCGGCTCTTGCCAGCATCAGCCTGTGGTCAACCGCCAGGATTTCTTGCTTGGCTGATAGTTCTGAACACCAAATCCTATCGGCATTTCTTCGACCATTTAATTCTGAATGTTTATTTTTCCTGCGGCTGCCCTTTAAGATCAGCTTCCCTCTAATTGGCGGTTTGCATTGGTGGTTTGTTGGTTTGGTGGTTCGGGAGTGGTTTCCCATCTCAGAAACAGGGGTTCAAATCCCCAATCCACCAATCCAAACCATCAATTAAGGGCAGCCTGATAAAAGGGACCCAAACAAGGCACCCGCACCAAAAAACGACGAGCATACTTCTGATCCTCTGACGCATCCACTGCTTGGCGGCACGCACCCAAACAAATGCACGTGGAAGCCAACGAAGGAAATCAGAGCTCACAAGTAAGCAAGCGCACCATACTTACTCCCTCCTCTCCTTCATTTCCGTTCAGTCTGTTGGCCCGAAAGCTCACCCCGCGCAGTTCGAAACCTACCCCGCAGTATCACGCGGCCACGGCTTTGCGATCGCCTTTGCAGCCTCCTCTTCCACTGCAGTTTCGGCCACAGCTTCTTCCGTTTGGCCTATCGAGCGCCAAAATCTCACTCAATAGTAAAGAATGTCTGAAGAGTCTGAGGAGGCAATACAGGGCATGGGTTGGTTAGGCATGTATCTTGTCTATCATATTCCAGTTGCGCAGTTGCTAGGCAACCAGTGCTGGGCAACCGCAAAATGTTTAGCCAGGAGTCCAACAAACAAACAAGAACTTGCCCTCGCTTGCCCAAAGGACCTATAAAAGAATAAATGGCCAACCTTTTGGGAGCTGTACTGACAGTTGACCAAGAACAGAACACTTACCCCTTAAAAACTCCAAGCCCTGGGGAAGTTAATCTTTTACAGACATATAGCCCATGTTACCCAACAAGTTGAAAAGTTGTGTTTTTAAGAGGTAGGAACACCAAAAGCTTCAAAGCTCGATTCGCCTTGAACAACTCAGGCTCAGTTCGGTTCCGACTTGGCGATGGAGTCAAGACACCTCTCGGGTTTCGGGCGCCAGCCTGGGTCTTCCGCTTTGTCTTTGCGCCTTCTGCGGCTCTCGCCAGCAGCCTGGTGGCAACAGGCCAGAGGAGCCACCTGTTTGCCAAGGACATGTGCCATGTCGTTTAAACTAGCTGGAGTCTCCATGACCCTTAAAAAATGGGTCAATGACCCCACTATTTTGGGTACTGATCCCATTTTGTAAGGGTCATGGAGACTCCAGGTGCAGGAATATCGTGGATGCCCGGGGCGGTGCGGGCTTCCGTGTTGAGACGAAACAATCGGATTGCGTGCGAACAAAAAGCTTTGCAGCTCCCAGGCAAGACGCAGCGAATGGACGCCAAGGCAACCGTACAGTCCCTTAAAACTGCGAGGTACCTCCGATTTCGAAGAGTACAGCTGGGGTATACATTTGGGGCACATTCCCCATCTAGGTGTGGCTCAAAAAATCGGAATTCCAAAATGGGTTGCCCTGGTAAGTGGAAACATGGACCAAAAAACCCGCGGTTTGCCCCGATCGTTGAACTTTGAGCCGCAGCCATCTGAATCTGATGCTTTCCCCTGACTCTCTCCCGCACTTCGGAAACTGAGAACTGCCTGCCTCCTCTCCAGTTAGCCCGGCTTCAGTCTGGCCTGAACGAAGGGAAAGCGTGACTGGTCAGCTCAAAAACCGGTCGGCTTCGGCACCAGCTTTTCGTATATAATTGGGGATGGTCTTCCTTGTGGTGTCCCCTTCACACCAAAGGAGGCTTCTCCCTTGCCCAAAGGACCTGAAAATAGAAGGATGACCTTTGTCCTTTACTCAAAGTGGACCAAGTAGGGTAAATCAAGAGGTTAAAACGTTGTTGCTGTTGACCCCTCTGCAACAAGTTTAACTTTTTGTAGGTTTAGTGGAAAACTTCTTTTCCCCAAAAGTTAACAGTCTAAAGATCCGTTACCCAATAGCAGTCAAGAAAAGGTCGATTCGCTCTGAACAACTGAGGAAAAGGCATGGAGAGGCACACTTGAATGACGTAACGGGCCACCAAAACCCCCCGCCGGATCCCGCCACCCGGAGTCCCCATGACCCTTAAAAAATGGGGTCAGTACCCAAAATAGTGGAGTCATTGACCTATTTTTAAGGGACGGGAGACTCCAGGCAGATCCCGCCTTGGTCCTTGCGCCGCCGTCGCGGCGAAGTTTCGGCCTGGTCTGGGGGCCGAAGGCTCTCCTGATCGATCCTCCCTATCGCACCCCAGGGATGTCCGCCAGAGGAAAATCAAGAAATCCTGGACCACCCACATCCACCATGCAACGCACCAGAAAACCCCACGAATCACATGGCTATAAAACAAAAAACAACTACTCCAAACTCCCTCTTTCTTCAGGGTATCATGTCGACCCTCTACTAAAGGAGGTAGGAAAACCCCGGGAAAACCGCTCGGTTTTCCCAAAAAGCAGGGGGCAAGGGGAAGGCGTCCAAACCCTTCGGCTTCGGCCTCTGGAGCCTCCACACCTGGCCGACGCCGGATTTTTTTTGGCCTCCGGAGTGGGGATCTTTCTCTCGGCTGAGTGGGGACCTGCGACTAAAATTCTTACCCCTCAAAACTCCCTGCGGGTCTGGGGAAGTTCATCTTTCACAGACATATGGCCCATGTTACCCCCAAAAAGTTGAGAAGTGTGTGCTTTTTCTTTTTTTTAAAGAGGTAAGCAAAGGCTTGGTTGCTGCTGTTGACCCCCCTCTCAGTTGCCCAGTTTGGGACCCAGAAATAAAAGGCGATCACCTTTTGGGGGCTTTACTAAGAATGGGATCCCAAACGTGGGAAACCAAAAGGTCAAAAGGTCGATTCGCTTTGAACAACTGAGTTTTTGAAGGCCAACATTGCTTTGGGAAAAAACAACTGGAAAAAAAGCTTTCCTCTTGAACGGATCTGGAGATGGCAGAACATGTTTCGTAATTTTGACAAAAAAAAGAAGAAAACAAAAACGTGGCTAAAAGGCGACTAAGAAAAGGTCAAAAGGACGGCTGGGGAGGGCCGGCTTGACTTTTAAAGGGGCAAAGGGCACTGAAGGCTTGAGGCCAACCCATGCCTTTTAACGCTTTCCACTCCACCCGCCCCAGCCTTTGCGGCTTTCACTTTCGGCCTGCGGTTGCATACGGATCTTCATGGGTCCCAAACGTGGACAAAACAATACCTACCAAGCAAGCAAGCAAGCAGGCCAGGCCAGGCCAGGCCAGGCCAGGCCAGGCCAGGCCAGGCCAGGCCAGGCAAGGCAAGGCAAGGCAAGGCAGGCGAGCAAAGCAAGCACCTAACGTCCGCCAATAGCACATGCCAAAACAAGAAAAGCAACTCTGATTCCCTTGGCTTCCAGCCAGAAAAGCACACATCCAAAGCTCACAAGCCCTTCAAACAGCCCGCGCGGGAAAACTTGGGGCAGCCGCTACTGGTAGTACCAGCCCTCCCAGTTGGCGGGGAATTTGGGGGCGCACGCACGGGCTCCAAAAGCGTAGCTTCAGCGATCCACAGGCGATTGAAGCCCGGTGAGACTGGCTCGTTCCCACGCCATAACTCGCCCCGAAAGCTATAACTTGTCTCCGGCCTGCCCGCGGACTCACCAACTTTAGATGGGTCTTTTTTGAGGAATCGGACAAACACATGGCGCAATGGTTTTCCTTCTGATTTCCCTTCCCCCCCAAAAAACAATAAAGCCCACCACAAAACGGGTACCAACTCCCAAAAATGACTGGAGGAGCTTTTTGGAACAAAAGGCCCACTGGCCGGAAACACGCGAGCCAAGACGCCCATCCCACCTCGATCGCGTCGGGAAAGGTCACTTGTGCCCCTGCAGGCGAAACCCACCCCATTCCACGGCAAAACCTATAAGATCCATGCCCTAAACCTGGTTCACGTTGGGTTAGGGGACAAAAAAAAATCAAATCTTGGCAGTTCAGTGGATTTGGATTTAAACCACTGGACCACAATAAGCAAAAATGCAAAATGTCTCCCAACAACAACCATGAACATATTGCAAGAGAAGGGAAACCCTGCCAATTCCCAAGGCTTGTGGTTGATTTACTTGCAGCTTTTATGGGCGTCCACCAAATCCCACCAACCTGCAAGGCCATTTTTTTGGCGCACCCAGAATCCGGTCAAACAAGTGCGCTGCTCAATTGGAAAGCGGTCTTGTTAGCTATGGTGCGCCCAAGTCTGATCCACTCGCTGGAGATCAATGCATAGTTCATCTGGAAGGTCTCTGCCTTGTTCGGTCCCATCTTCGCCTTGATTTACTTGGCCCAGTGGCCAGGGGGAAAGAAAAGCATCCCTTTTTTGGTTGAGTTTAAAGGGAATCCTTCCCCCGAAAAGAAAAAAAGGGCGCCACTGGGCAACTGGGTAAGGAAACCAAAAGGAAGCCCTACATATACCCATAAGCGATGGAAGCGCCTGCGCGCTCGCCTGCATCCTTGTCTTTGCCTTTCTTGCGTCTGCCGGCGTGCTCGCTTCCATCTGCCTGGCATTGCCCAGAGTTGCCATGCATACATGGCAGGCGCCCAACACAAAGCGTCTTCCTGCAGTCTCCATGACCCTTAAAAAATTGTCACTGACCCCACTATTTTGGGTACTGACCCCATTTTTTAAGGGTCATGGAGACTCCAGGTTCCTCTTTGCACCCAACTTACATCAGTTCACCACATCGCGCACTAGCATGCGCAGAAGGCGCGTTGCCCAGGGCAACGACAAATTTCGGACATTCAACGCTCTTAGTGCCAGCCTGGTCATTTTCGGACCTACCCACTACCTAGATGAGACATGTGCCGAAATACGTACAAACACAGCGCAGGTCAAAGATGGTCAAAACATCGATTCCCTTCAAACTCTAACCACAATCCTCGCCTCTGCCGACTCTGCCACTGTTGCCGGCGCCACCTCTGCCAGTTCGGCTGCAGCAACTTCCACATCGCCTGAGGTGCTTCGCGGCATTTCAAGAAAGAAGGGTGGGCGTTCAACTCATTGCATGGGCACAAAAGCGGAATTTGGCAACCTTACCTGCCTCAACGTGGCTGTGAGCCCTCCCCGAAATTCATGTTGCGGATTGTTGCTTGGCAGCAAGCAACATGTCGCACCCTCATTGCCAAACTCGGAAACTTGGCTGCTTGGCGCACATCAGGGATGCCAGCTTCGACAAAACTGACAAAGCACTGCCATAGTCCTCACTTGCCGGCCTGATTCCCTTTCCTTTCCTTTCTTGCGTCGTCGACCGCTGGCTTGCTCACTTCCGCCATTGGCCTGCAAGGGGAGTGCTTTGGAGATTCAAGGTGCAAGCAGCCTCCACACGCCTCCATCTATGCCCCCTGAAGCAAGCACTTGTTCTTGGACGACATGATGGAGCATGCGGTTAGGCGCATTGCCCAGGGCAATGACGCATTTCGGACATTCAACGCTCTTCATGCCACCCTTGTCATGTTCGGCACTACCTAGATGCAACATGTGCCGAAATACGCACAAACAAAGCACAGGTCAAGTCAAAACATCGATTCCCTTCGCGCGAGAGACCCGTCGACATTCAGACCACCTCGCCTCTGCCGACTCTGCCACTGGTTCCGGCGCCACCTCTGCCAGTTCGGCTGCAGCAACTTCCACATCGCCTGAGGTGCTTCGAGGCATTTCAAGAAAGAAGGGTGGGTGTTCAACTCATTGCATTGGCACAAAAGCGGAATTTGGCAACCTTACCTGCCTCAACGTGGTTGTGAGCCCTCCCCGAAATTCTTGTTGCAGATGGTTGCTTGGCAGCAAGCAATGCCAGACATGTCGCACCCTCATTGCCAAACTCGGAAACTTGGCTGCTTGGCGAACATCAGAGATGCCAGCTTCGACAAAACTGACAAAGCACTGCCATAGTCCTCACTTGCCGGCCTGATTCCCTTTCCTTTCCTTTCTTGCGTCGTCGACCGCTGGCTTGCTCACTTCCGCCATTGGCCTGCAAGGGGAGTGCTTTGGAGATTCAAGGGGCAAGCAGCCTCCACACGCCTCCATCTATGCCCCCTGAAGTAAGCACTTGTTCTTGGACGACATGATGGAGCATGCGGTTAGGTGCATTGCCCAGGGCAATGACGCGTGTCGGCCATTCAACGCTCTTCAAGCCACCCTTGTCATGTTCGGCACTACCTAGATGCAACATGTGCCGAAATACGCACAAACAAAGCACAGGTCAAGTCAAAACATCGATTCCCTTCGCGCGAGAGACCCGTCAACATTCAGACCACCTCGCCTCTGCCGACTCTGCCACTGGTTCCGGCGCCACCTCTGCCAGTTCGGCTGCAGCAACTTCCACATCGCCTGAGGTGCTTCGCGGCATTTGAAGAAAGAAGGGTGGGCGTTCAACTCATTGCATTGGCACAAAAGCGGAATTTGGCAAGCTTACCTGCCTCAACGTGGCTGTGAGCCTCCCCGAAATTCATGTTGCGGATTGTTGCTTGGCAGCAAGCAATGCCCGACATGTCGCACCCTCATTGCCAAACTTGGAAACTTGGCTGCTTGGCGCACATCAGGGATACCAGCTTCGACAAAACTGACAAAGCACTGCCATAGTCCTCACTTGCCGGCCTGATTCCCTTTCCTTTCCTTTCTTGCGTCGCCGACCGCTGCCTTGCTCACTTGCACCATTGGCCTGCAAGGGAGTGCTTTGGAGATTCAAGGCCCAAGCAGCCTCCACACGCCTCCATGTATGCCCACTGAAGCAAGCACTTGTTCTTGGACGACATGATGGAGCATGCGGTTAGGTGCATTGCCCAGGGCAATGACGCATGTCGGACATTCAACGCTCTTCATGCCACCCTTGTCATTTTCGGCACTACCTAGATGCAACATGTGCCGAAATACGCAGAAACAAAACACAGGTCAAAGATGGTCAAAACATCGATTCCCTTCGCGCGAGAGACCCGTCGACATTGAGACCACCTCGCCTCTGCCGACTCTGCCACTGGTTCCGGCGCCGCCTCTGCCAGTTCGGCTGCAGCAACTTCCACATCGCCTCAGGTGACTCGCGGCATTTCATGGCATTTGCACAGAAGTGGAATTTGGCAACCTGACCTGCCTCAACGTGGCCGTGATCTCAAAAAGGCACGCGGTTATTTCAGTGCTCGCTCCCTCCCCGAAAGTCATGTTGCGCATTGTTGCTTGGCAGCAAGCAATGCAGGACATCACCCTCATTGAAACTCGATCAGGGATGCCAGCTTCGACAAAACTGACAAAGCACTGCCATAGTCCTCACTTGCCGGCCTGATTCCCGTTCCTTTCCTTTCTTGCGTCGTCGACCGCTGGCTTGCTCACTTTCGCCATTGGCCTGCAAGGGGAGTGCTTTGGAGATTCAAGGGGCAAGCAGCCTCCACACGTCTCCATCTACGCCCCCTGAAGTAAGCACTTGTTCTTGGACGACATGATGGAGCATGCGGTTAGGTGCATTGCCCAGGGCAATGACGCATTTCGGACATTCAACGCTCTTCAAGCCACCCTTGTCATTTTCGGACCTACCAACTATCTAGATGCAACATGTGCCGAAATACGTAGAAACAAAGCACTGGTCAAAGATGGTCAAAACATCGATTCCCTTCGCGCGAGAGACCCGTCGACATTGAGACCACCTCGCCTCTGCCGACTCTGCCACTGGTTCCGGCGCCGCCTCTGCCAGTTCGGCTGCAGCAACTTCCACATCGCCTCAGGTGACTCGCGGCATTTCATGGCATTTGCACAGAAGTGGAATTTGGCAACCTGACCTGCCTCAACGTGGCCGTGATCTCAAAAAGGCACGCGGTTATTTCAGTGCTCGCTCCCTCCCCGAAAGTCATGTTGCGCATTGTTGCTTGGCAGCAAGCAATGCAGGACATCACCCTCATTGAAACTCGATCAGGGATGCCAGCTTCGACAAAACTGACAAAGCACTGCCATAGTCCTCACTTGCCGGCCTGATTCCCTTTCCTTTCCTTTCTTGCGTCGTCGACCGCTGGCTTGCTCACTTTCGCCATTGGCCTGCAAGGGGAGTGCTTTGCAGAAGCAAGGGGCAAGCAGCCTCCACACGCCTCCATCTATGCCTCCTGAAGCAAGCGCTTGCTCTTGGACGACATGATGGAGCAACCACTAGATCATATCCAACCGAACCCATTCCAACCTCACTTCCGAACGAGTGGATTGGCCAACAAAAGTACACCCAAATTTTCTGTTTGCCCCCCGAACATGGTCCAAACCCAAGAAGTGACACCCAAAAAGCGACGAAAATCCGTCGTGAACTCAGGGAACCCAAAGAAGTGACACCCAACAAGTGACGAAAGCTTGGTTGACGTTGGAAGGGAAGCAACAATTGAATTTTGGCAATTAAGTGGTTGGATTTCAACCACTAAACCACAATAAGCATTCATGTGAAATGTTTCCCAACAACTCAACCACAAGGCGCCCTTTCCAAAAAACATGAAACGGGGGGGTCTGAGTGGGAGGTTTCGCACGGTTGTTGTTGGGAAACAATTTACGTTTTTGCTTATTCCCGAAAGCATTGCGAAGGGTTCTTCCGCAAAGAGGAGGAGATGCGAGTCAAGTGTTTAAATCCAGTAAGCCTGAAGAACCAAACCAAAGACTCAGCAACGCCCCCCGAACATGGCTTCAACCCAAGAAGTGACACCCAAAACGCGACTAAAATCCATGAACTCAGGGGACCAAACAAAAAGTGACACCTACAAAGTGACCAAACAACAAGTGACACCCAAGCGACGAACGTCTCAAGTCCATGAGGTCCCCAGGCTGTTCGATCCGCGCCTCTGGCGCCCCAACTTCTGGCTCGCTTGCACCTTCCGGGCTCCGAGTCCGGCGAGGTGCGTATGGGTTTTCTCTGAGTCGGGCCCGGAGTTCAGCCGGGCGCCAGAAAGCGGGACACGGGAAACCCATTTAGGCGAGGAGAACCTCCAGATTTGAGAGGTTGGAATAAGTTGGTACCAACTTTTTCCTGTAGGCTATTTTAGTAGGGGCTTGCCCTCCCAACCGAAGGGGTGAGAAAGGGCCCTACGGACCTAGTAGGAGTCCCCCGGATTTTGACAGCCGGCGGCAAAACCGGCGACTGCTTTGCGCGACTTCGAATGGGAAGTTCGTGTTTTTGGGGTTTCGCAATAGCGTTCCTGAAGATTTCTGACACTGGTCTTGGGGTTTCGCCAAGTCACCAAAAACAAATCTCTAGATGAGAGAGTTTAGCCTCTCGCTCACATGCCATGGAACGCAAAAGGGGGTGCGTGAAGTTTTGAGGGAGATTCCTACAAGCATGGTGTCCTCGAGGCTCCATTTGATGAATCCGCAGGGAGCATCTACTTTAAGTCTATGTCTCCGTTGCACTAGCAACCTGAGCCACCAGCCTACACCCAATACCCATTTTTTTCAGGGTATGGCGTCTACTAAAAAAGGAGGTATTTGCTCTGGAAAACCATGTTTTTCAAACAATACCCTGAAAACAGCGGGTATTTGGAGTAGGCGGAACACTAGGTCAAGAATGCCACGGAACGTCTGATACTGCAACCACATTCTGCGGGCCCGTAGTTCTTCAGAACTTACAAGTCAGCTATCGCCTTACTTCTATGTGGTGGTTTGGCATCACGTGGCTTCAAAAAGAGCTTGGGCCTTTGGATCCCAGCCACCTGTTAAGGGGTACCTGAAACATATCAGAATTCCAGTTTCAGCGGCTGTCTTTATAGGGAAAACCCTCAAAAACAAATGGATAACCTGGGTTTGATTCTTGGGAGAAGCCAATCCGCATGCCCAAACAAAGTACACATGCACAAACACATGCACAAACACATGCACAAACACAGGTAGAAACTCGCACACACACACAGACACAGAGACACACAGAGACACACAGAGACACACAGAGACACACAGAGACACACAGAGACACACAGAGGCACACAGAGACACACAGAGACACACAGAGACACACAGAGAGACACACACAGAGACACACACAGAGACACACACAGAGACACACACACAGAGACACACAGAGACACACAAAGGCACACAGAGACACACAGAGACACACAGAGACACACAGAGACACACACAGAGACACACAGAGGCACACAGAACACACAGAGACACAGAGACACAGAGACACAGAGACACAGAAACACAGAGACACAGACAGAGACACACACAGAGACACACACACAGAGACACACACAGAGACACACACAGAGACACACACAGAGACACACACAGAGACACACACAGAGACACACAGAGGCACACAGAACACACAGAGACACAGAGACACAGAGACACAGAAACACAGAGACACAGAGACACAGAGACACAGAGACACAAACACACAAAGACACACACAGAGACACACACAGAGACACACACAGAGACACACACAGAGACACACACAGAGACACACACAGAGACACACAGAGACACACAGAGGCACACAGAGACACACAGAGACACAGAGACACAGAAACACAGACACACACAGACACAGAGACACAGAGACACAAACACACAAAGACACACACACACACACACACCACACACACCCACACCCACACCCACACCCACACGCACACGCACGCGCGGCGCAGGGCAGGGCGCGCGCGCGCGCGCAGCGCGCGCGCACGCGCACGCGCACGTGCACGCGCACCCGCACGCGCACGCGCACGCGCACGCGCACGCGCACGCACACGCACACGCACGCACACACCCAAAAAAAACAACAGAAGATACACAACTACAATGCATCGTCCAAACGAACCACTCGTACGAACCCGCCTTCTTTGCTTTTCCCCTTTTTGCGTCGTCGGCTGGCTTGTTCACTTTCACCGTTGGCCTGTGAGGCTTGGGTGCTGCAAAACCGAAAGCTGAAGCAGTGCTTGACAGTCCCCAAGTACAATTCCTGGGCTCAGCTGCCCTGGAGAATCCCCTTCGTTGTTTTCTTACATGTGGGGCGATTGGACCACAAGAGTCACAATCAAAACCCGGTATTAGAATGGTGTACCCAGAGCCATGCAAAAATTAAGAAGGCGGCCGCAACTATTTCTGGCTGGGACTGCCCCTTACAAACCTTCATCTACCCGAGTTTTGACCGTGGCTTGACAATGCAAACAAACACCGTGAAGCGCATCAGCACCAGGATGGCCCAGCAACCCATCGCTATCGCTGAGTCCGATTCTTGAATTCCGGAGAAAGCTGTGCTCAGTCTATCACATCAATCAACAGACTCCTGTCGTCAAAAGCTTAAAGGATACTCCTTGAGATTCACCTGGCAGACGCAGAAACCTGAACACAGCTAGCAGCAGAGGTGGGTTTTCAAATTTGGCCAACATGTATCCTTTGAGAAACCCTGACGCTTTAAACATAGGGTCACCCCATTATTCTGGGTAACGACCAACCGTTTTCTAGGGGGCATGGAGACAGGTACAAAGATTCACAAGCGCAGTTTGGATACCCTCTTCCCCATGGCACCTCACAGGAGCCCTTGGCACAGGGGGGGGGTCCAAAAAGAAACTTATCTTCCAGGTACTCAGTTGTTTCGTGATTTTGGACAGAAAAAGTTGGAACCCTTTTAGGGGCTTGGACCCCGATCTTTTTTTTTTCGTGGGGAAGCCACAAAAAAGTTGGAAAAAGAATTGGTGCCACTGAACAGCTGAGGGTACCCTCCCGGTGCCATGGCAACGAGGGCACCAGGCCTCCGCCGCCTCGGCCGCCTCGGCCGCCTCAACGGCCGGCGCAGCTTCTTCCTGCAGGCCGATCGGGCGAGCAGAAGACGGATCACTCGGCGGCGGTGGAAATGGAATCCGCGAATCTGTACAACAAAAAGGGCCTAACCCCAAAGACTACCCTCCCAACTAACATGGAAGTGCACAAAGCGCTGGCCCACGGCCAAATGGACAATCGGAGCATCACGTGCCACAAGCCTTGCCGCACAACCGCTGGTCCCTGTCCACCAGCCCCCCCCCCGGCCTCCGAGGCCTCTGCCTCTGCGGGGGATTGTGCGGAGACCAAAGCCATCCACCCGCGCAAAACTCGAGGATCCAACCGAGCGGGGGGGGATCCAACCAGTTCTCCAGTTCTCTCGCTCTCTCTCTCTCGCCATCGGTGATCCAACCAGTTGGGTGTCCTTTTCTGGGATTTGGACCCCTCCAAACACACCTGACCCCTCCATTAGACACCCCGGGAATCGGTGTTTGGGGGTCTCAAAACCTGGCTGTTTGAGGGCCCATACATCGGGAGCCTCTCAATGACTGGCTCTCCTGCTTGGTTTCCCTTCAAAGCCAACCAACACAAGGCTCCAACAAAAAACAAAAAAACGCAACGAGCCACCCGGTTCTCCAACCCCTGCCTCGACAAAGGTGACCTCGCCTTTCGTCGCAACTTGACCTTTGCCCAGGTGAATTTCCGGGAACCGCCCGCGTGTTGTTTGTTTTAACCAAAAAAAGCCACTGGTTGGGTGCTTTTTTTTGAGGGACACCACTTTTCCGGTGCTCGTTTTGGCCTTTCGTTTTGCGGGAAACCGAAAGAACAGCTGAAATCCATTCTCGGGGCCCTGTTTTGGGAGCTCCCTGGTTTCCCAGTAGAACTGCTAACTCGGAGCAACAGGTCAACCAACCCCCACTCCATGAGTTGCCTACCCCTGTGACTCTAGAAGGGCTGGTCTCCAAATTTAAAACATCCAAAAGGCTGGTTTCCTGCTGCTCTCCTTTTGAAACCCAAAAAAGCCACGCCCAAATCTTGGCACGAACTCTGTGCTGGCTGCCTGCGCCCTTGTCTTTGCCTTTTCCGCGGCGTCGACTCGCCGGCTCGCTTTCGGCAGCAATTGCCTGGGAGGTTTCTTCATCTGAAAACGACTTGACCCACGCTCAGAAAGCGTTTGTGCTGGGTAAAAAACGCCACGCCCAACCCCAATGTCAGAGTGCGATGTCTTTTCTGAAAACCAACGATAAACTCACTTGCCCAATGGAACCCAAAATAGGAGGCTAATCTATGGGGCCACTACTAAACATAGACCAAACACGGGAAGCTAAAAGGTCAAAGGGCTGATTCGCTTTGGGCATGCTTTGGGCAAGGAAGAATGGGACTTGAATGAGGCAGTGCCAGAACCAGAGTAACGCCAATCCCAACCGCTCTTCTGCTGAATTTCTTTCAAGCAGGCTAGGGGCTGCCCTGCCTCTATTGGATCTGCCGCCTCCGGCTCTGACCCCGCCGGCTTTGCCTCTGCCTCCGCCTGAGTCAGTCAAAGCCCGAGTTCGCCTTATGCCAAAATGACTAGGCCCTCCAGTAGAGAGGTCAGAGGAAGGGTCCCCTTTTGTTTCTGTAGTCTATGTTAGTAGGGGAACCCTCCCCAAAAAGGGTGAAAGGGCACTACTGGGGGACGTAGATGAAGCTTTTTTTGGCGCAGCCAGCCTCTGCTGCCGCTGCCGCTGCTGCTGCCGCTGCTGCTGCTGCCGCCTCTGCTGCTGCGGCCTCTTCAGCCGCTGCTTCCGCTGCTGCTGCTTCCTCCGCAGCTGCTTCCGCTGCAGCCGCTTCCGCTGCAGCCGCTTCCGCTGCAGCCGCTTCCGCTGCAGCCGCTTCCGCTGCAGCCGCTTCCGCTGCAGCTTTTTCGGCCTGGCCGCATTGGAGATTCCAAGTGCTTTTCCAGGGCAGTAGACGGCTGTGAATATTGCATCCGAAGTGAGTATTGCATGCTTCCAGCCCAACTTTCTGGACCCCTATCAGGTCAACACCCAAGGTGACAGCGTCAAAAGCACAAGCAAGCGCCCAAGAGCGAGCTCAAAGTTTGACGGCTGCGGGGCATTCTGTTTGGTAGAGCCAAAGGGCTATGTGATCAAACCAACTGGAATCAGAACACCTTTGAGCTACCTAAAACTACTTGAAAAAACAGAGCCAGCCACTGTTGGGTGTCTTCCGGCCAAAAAGGGGGGAGAAGGTTCCCCCCAAGATATCTGTCAAAATGGTCCAAATCCCAACAATTGATTTGCTTCCGGCTATCGTTGGCCTAAACCAGCCAAGCACACATGTACACAACCGAACAAAAATAAAACACATGCCTGGAGATTCATTCTCCGGCCTTTTCCTAGGCGTTTTGGTTTTCTGGTAGTTTTGGGCGTGTTGGGCGTTTTAAGTGTTTCTTGGGCGGGGGTTGGCTACCCATCCAAAACCCAATCCGAAGCCAGCCTCTGCCTGCCGCTGGCGCTCTGCCTCTTCCTCCTGCCTGGAGGTCAAGCGCCCCTGCCTTCTGCATGTGTCTTAGTGAGACATCCTCATGACTCACCCATCGGGCTCTCAGCTGCCCAGCGGCCATGGGGAAAGGGCGTCCTTTGTTGGTTGGTTGAGCTCAAAGAAGAAAACAAAACCTTCCCCCCAAAAAAAAGGGGGGAGAAAGAACGGCGCCACCGGGCAAGTGGGGGGTTGAGTTTGAAATCACCACAAAACAACAATGAAATGATGTCTTCACCTCCGAACCGGCTCGGCAAAACAAATGCCTCACGCCCACCATAGGCCCATTCGGGAGAGGCCTAATATGTCCGAGCTGCGGAAAAACAAAAATGCTCCCTAAATTGAAGGTGTTCAGTCTTGACTTCCGATACAGCCTCTACAAGAACCAGGGTTCAAACCCCGAATCAACAATAAGCAAACCAGTGAAGGACAACTTGGTGATATGGCTGTGGGTCAAAACCCTGTACCCCTGGCGAACATCAAAATAGGTGGCAAATGGATGTTCATCCATCCCAAAATGGAGCCATTGGATATGCCCCATGGCCATACTGTGGATGGACGAAATCCTGCACCACTTTGACACCATTGGAAGCCATTGCTTGTTGGTATTTACGGGGGAATCATCATTCCAGGGTTTCTTAGGTGTTGTAGGGTTTCGTCTATCCACAGTATGGACCCCTGACATAGTTTCAGAAGCCCCCTCAGCCAGCTGGGCTCTAGGTCTCTATGTCCTACCACATCCGCCCAACCCGCCTCTGGCGTTCGAGCTCTCTTTCCTCAGGCATGGAGCCCCAAACAGCATGTTGCCCAAAGTAATCTCCGTTTGGGGAATCCCTGCTTGCCTCCATTTGCTGAAGCCCCCTGGAAAAAACAATAATAATTCCAGTAGTGATAGATTCCCTTTAAAACCAACAGGGGACAAGAAACAAATATACTTAACCAAATGGAAGCTTGTGTTCCACGTGCAAATTTTGCGGGGAAGCATCTTGCCCCGCAACAGGCTGAAGTCAGTACCAACACGAGCAGATTCTGAGGTAATCTGTGCGCTTGTTCCTGATGCTGCTTTGGTGCAACGGACCCCACCCCTCACCCATTGTGGAGGTTTCGTATACCGTATACCCTTTTAAAGGGCTGGTTCTGACACATCCCTTCTGAGAGAACTCCCAGCAAAATGTTAGTGTTTTGTTGGGCGCACGCTTTTCAAAGGGAACCGAGGCACACCTAAGGGTTCCCCATTTTGCACAATTGGATACTTTGTTGTGGTAAAGCGCTGCGTAGATCCAGAGGGGGCCAATCTGAAACAAACTACAGAAAACTACAAACAACAAATGGGTGTGTATGTGTGTCTGTGGTTAGAATGTAGTAGTATTTTTTCAGATTGGTTTGAAGGGAAACCACCGTGTTTTTTTTTTGGGGGGGGGGAGCCTATCTTGACACCTCCTGGGCTTCATTCGTAACACGCAAACATCACCTCTTCCAAAAGGTGTACCTCCAAATCAGCCAGTAAAAGTAATTTGGACAATGGCCACTGCCGTTTCTACAAAGGGACTCATCCCCAAAGCCAAGGGACACACAGCCAATGCCGAGCATCTCTCCTAGCTTGCGCGTCCCTGTTCAGGGTAAGGAAGTCGTTCATGCCCATACCTGCAAGGCTGCGTTCGAGGTCTTGCCCGGTTTTCGTCTTGCCCGGGGTTCAAACATTGCTCAAACAACAAGTTGCTGGAATGCGTCACATACTGCATTCATGGTGGTACTGTTCTTCAGTGGGTGAAACTGGAGTGCAAGACTTGTCCCAAGGAATGTTGCTTACATGGTTGCCCTTTTTATAGCAGCCAGGAGGCTGTCTGAACAATGCAGGGTTCAACTCACAAAGCAAAAAATCGTGCTTTCCCAAATCGGTGATGTGTTCGCCTTCTCGCATTTGAACATCAATCAGTTGAAGCTCAAACAACAGCAAGCTCAACAACACCAAGATGACTGAATCTTGGTTGCTGTTGACCCCCTGCAAAAAGTTTACTTTTTGGGGGTTTAGTGGAAAACCCCTTGATTTCCCAAAAGGTTAAAGTCTAAAGATCCAACCCCACAGCAGTCAAGGAATGAGGGGCGTGTTTGCTTGGAATCCAGACCACTCCTCCCCCACCCACCCTGCTCAGGTGGACCCACCTGCGCGCTCAAGCACCAAAGCCTCCATTTTGGCCACCTCCCGCCTCCGGAGCGTTTCTCGGGGTGCAACCGGCCGGAAAAGGTGAAGGAGTTGTAGAAGAGAAAATCCGTGACATTTATTGATATGTTCTCTGCATATGTGGGTATGGCTCAAAATTAATGAGTTGGGGTTACGCGGCTTTTTGTCTTTGGTTCCATTTACCAAGGTGCCATTTTGGTACCACTTCTTTGAGCCACAGCCATGTGAAATTTATGGCGGTGTACACAACACACAGTGACTTGCCCAAAAGGTCCCAGAAATCAAAGGTTAACCTTTTGGGACCTTTACCAAAAATGGACCAACCAAATTTTAGGCACTCCAAACTTTGCCCCCCGTTCATTTGAGCTGGGCTGTCCGTTTTCAGATGGTGACTTGAATGGAAGCCCAACCACTAAACACTAAAAAACTGAAAAGCTAAGGGGATGGCTGGGAGCCACCAAGTGACAAACCGAGATTTGTAAAAGGATGGCGGCCATTTGGGGGGCTTAGCAAGAGCTCTTTTTGCATTTGTTCAGGGAATATTTTAGGGCGGCTTTACGCGGCTTTACAGGAAGCAAAAGCTGCCATGATTTTCCCCTGCCTGGAAACCAGCACATGTGTGCCAAGGTGAAAACTCTTCCGTCAAGCATGGTCATGGCTCAAGTAAATGGAACCCTCACAATTATCAGCTAAGTAAGTAAGTGTGCGCGTGTCTCTCTGCCTGTGTGTGGTTGTGTTTTCGCGTGTTTGTGTGTGCGCGCGTGTTGGCGGCTGCGCATTGGATACATGGTTTCATGATGCACATTTTACCATGCTGCCAAAACCTCAAATAAGGGATCCCTTCAAAATGGTGAGCATGTTGTAGAGCACCTCCAAATCTGTGAGCGATTCGGAACGTGCCGCCGATTTCCTCCTCTCGGCCGCATTGAAGTCGCAATCCGCAGCCGTCAGGAATCTAAAAGGGCAAACATCTATGGCCGCGTGTGTATGGCCGCGCTTTGGCCCAAGCAGGTTTTCTTTCACCATGGTCCAAACCCAAAAGCTGAGGAAAGCTAGACTCACTGGCTGAGTGGATGGCCCAAAAAAAGTCCAAACTTTATATTTACCACTAAAATGATCTTCCCAAAAAGTTTAAAGTTCATGAACTCAGGAAGTGAGTAGAAGCTCGGGGTCGTAGTTGGGCGTGTGTCGGCCAATAACAGCAGCCGTCTTAGAGGACCCCCTTGCAAAGCTGGTGCTTGTTGGAGTATTCTGTACTTGGCCCATATCTGTACAAACGAATCTGGGTTGCTTTCTGCTCCCCTGCTAAAAGTTTAACTTTTAGTGGTTTAATCGAAAACCCATGAGTTGGCAAAAAGTTAAAGTCCTAACAGCCAAGCAAAATGCAACAAAGTATATATATATATACATATAAATCTATAAAATTTGTTGGGTCTCTCCCGCCCCAAGGACCTCTCCCCCCAGCTCTGCCGGCATCGGCTTGAGGCTTCCTCGGCGCCCGCGCGGCCAGGCACGGGCGTCCTCCTCCGCGCGCTGCATCTTCGAGCGCTCCTCCTCTTCCAAGCGCCGCAGGTACTCCGCGATCTGCGGGGAGCGAACCCCGAGCCGCGTCCGCGGGAGCCGCGGAGGCAAAAGCCGAGTCTTTTCAGGAAATCCGCGAAAAGAACCCGGAAAAGAGCGAGGGTTGAAAGGAATGGGGAATCAACCCCAGATGGGTGGGTCCGGGTGAGAGCCCGCCTTTCAGGTGATGACTGAGCGAAGCTGGTCGAGTTCAAGCCCGCTTAGCCGGCATCAACTCAAACCTTCTTCCACCCCTTTTCACAACCGTTCGACCTTCGCGGGGTTGGTTTGGACCACGTTCCTTTTAAAGGGACCGAGTCTCAAACGTCAGGTTCCATGTGAAAAAGGAAGGTAACACAAAGCAGGATCCTACCCAACCATCCCCCTTTTTCTCTAGAAAAAAACACCCATCGCTTGTCATCCTTTTGTTTGCGAATCACTTTGCTGAAAATGCCCAGCAAGGGCTATTTTTTGTACCGCATTCTCTGAGGGCTATTTAGCACCTAGAATTCTTGGCTGGAATTAGGACCCCAGCAAAAAACTATATGTTTTGCCAATAGAAAACAAAGGGAACCAAAAAAAAAGAAAAAGGGGAGAACATCTGGGGAAGGAATGGTTGGCCAGCCCAGGTTGGTCAATTGGAACTGAAACTTCGTTTCCGAACTGCCGTCACCGGCTGCTTGGCTAGCCGCGCTACATCAAAACCTGTCTCCCGCCTCGATCAAGCGCTGCTCCTCCCACCGCATGGCTTTCAGATTCTTGGCCTCCAACCTATGGCACACGCGCGGCGTCAGGCGCGGGCCGGTGACTACAATTCGTGAGCAGGTTGGCTCGAAACGTCGTGCTCAGGTGCCCAAAGGGCTGAAACTAAAAGGTGATCACCTTGGTTGCCATGACGAACTAGGAGCCAAAATTGAAAAACCAAAAGGTCATTTCAGGTAGGAACAAGTAAATTCGCCTTGAACAACTTTTCCGGCCTTTTTGGACATGTCGCGCTCGATCGGCCTCTCGCGGAACGCACTCTCCACACTGGGCTATAGCTTATACAAGGAGCAGTGATGTGCAAAGTGCGCGTTGGCGCTCCAAAGGCGGCCAAGAACAGCGTGCCAACCACATTGCGTGATGGGGCGCCGCGTGGCAACCGAGATATGCAAAGCAAGCGCGTCGGCGCCACGGCGTCCCAGAACATAGCACTGCAATGTGAACCACGAGCGCTTAGCGCTCTCTTGAGGTGTCCAAGAACAGAGCACCCACTGCTTCGCGCGGCTGGGACGCCGCAAGGTGAACCAGGAGAAATGAACGCGAGAGCACCACATCCCATACGTTCCGTCGTAAACGCGCCAAATGCCATGAATGCCGGTAACCCAGTTTGTCCACCAGTCTGTACAACCCTATAGCGCATGATCTCGGTCATGCTGGCTCAAGCAAAAAAACTGATGGCCCGTCGCCCCTACCCAAGTTCAAGTCACTTCCAGAAAAACAGGAAGAGGGAGCCGGCACTGAGGTAACCAACGCTGTGGTCGCATCAGCACCACGGGGAGAAAGCAGCCCCCTTGCTCCAAGAAAACTTGCGCCTGCACTTCATATCACCAACAAGTTCCTGGAACACACAGAACTCATACGTGTTCAAAGCGGGCAGTTTCAATTTCTCCTCAAACCAAATGCTTTTGCCTGGCAACGCCTCCCTGGTATCCTTCGCGGCATGTGAGGCAAGGGCGCACAGGAACTGGCACGCGCGGCTAAGAGAAGCATAGTCAAGCATAGCCTCCTCTTGATGTAGGCAAAGAAGAGCACACAGAGCCTGCGAAGAGCCCACGGCAATGAACACCAGACGGATCAGCTGCCGCACCCATGAACCGCTGCCCGCGCTCGTTCAACTCTCCAAAATCACAGAAATGTATTGCTGGATGCACGCTGCGCTCAAGGCACCTTGCGTGCCAGCTGCTCGAGCATCATGACCCTGTAGGGAAGCTCCAAGCGGCGAAGCCGGCAGACACACGATCCCGACAAAGCACGGACGACGGTTTGCCAACGCTGTCAAGTTGTCCCACCACGCCACGATGCCAGATATCCGGCACAATCCAAGAACTGACACCTGTGATTCCCTGCTGAATGAAGCACCAACGGGTGAAGCAAACTGCATCTGCCAGCGCATGAAAGACCAGGACGACGAACAGCCACACAACGTTCCAGCAAACATGCGGGCCTGCATCTCCATCTCGAAGTAAGACCTACACCACGGTGCACCCACCCGGCAGATCATCGCAAACCCGTGTCCATGGCGCCCCGAGCGATCGGCTTGCACGGCCCATTTTCTGGTAGGTTGCTTGGGCCAGGCTGGCTTTGAACAACTGTGTTTGTGTACCACGAAAATGGTGCAAGCCCAAAAAGTGGCGAAAGCTCCAGAAACCGACAGAGTAAGCTAGTTCACCTCTCACTGACCCGGATGTTTTTCAGCATCTACAACCCTATGTGGCGGGCTCCTTGAGGGCCCGAGCAAGGTTTTATAGAGGCAGGCGGGCTGGGGCTTGTTTTTCAGAGAGAAGGTCCTTCTTCCAGATCCCCCTGATGAATGGATGGCATCCCCACATTTGGGGACTTTCTGGAAATTCCAAAACAACTTCAGCCCGTTGGATGAGAAACACGCTCAGTCAGCCTAGGGTGACAGCCTAGGGTGAGAACTAAAAAGCAAACAGATCGCAAACAGCCAAATCGTCATGCACCTCCCAAACGATGATTCTAAGTGGGTGCCTTTGATGGAACACATTAACTCTGAGCACCAAGCACTATCAAGGGTGCCTTAATTAATATCAATTCATAGCCAAATCAAAACCAAGGACATGCCAAGAACAGGTTTCAAAACTCAAGGGGGCATTTGTTCGACCCCCAACCTCTTCTTGTGGATCCAAAATACCAGTTAGGTTGGATGGCGTCCAAAAACAGATTCTCTCACGGGTTGGCATGGGAAACTCAGCTTCCCCCTAGCTTGTGCTATGGATTGGTGATTGGGAGGTGAGGGATTGCTTGCCATTTGCCCTCTTCCAGAACCAGGCCCCATAGCAAACTTCCATTTGCTTGAGCTGCCTGGGCAAACCACAACATTTCCAGTAGTGATAGATTCCTTTAAGACCAACAGGGGAAATATAATCAACATATTCTTCAGCAAATGGAAGCAATCTAAGAGGTTGCAAAACCGATCTGCAACCCCAGGCTCGGCCGTAGGCTCAGTGTGACCCTGGCAGGGAACCATCTGGACTACGAGCGAGCCCCACTTTTGATAACTGACACGCGAGTGTGAAGTATGACTTGCTGGAATGGAGTATCCTGAAATCTGGTACCCTCCTGGACACCATGGAACCGAGTCCTGTTTCGGACTAGTTTCCTTTAAAAGGGACATTTCTCTGGTGGGTTCCATGTGGTCAGGCGGGTAAGTGACGGCTTCCTCACGGGAAGGTGCTGCCAATTTCGCCTGGACACCTCCGGCGTCTCCCCCGCCAACCCGGCGCCTCAGCGCAAGATCCTCGGCTTCACGGGTTCGCTGCTCCTCTTGGCGCATGCAGTTCAGCTCGAAGCCCTGCGCGATGCGCAAGCAAAAAAAGCCGAGCCCGATTCAAAGGGAGATACTTGCAAAGGGGTGGATGTTGTGGTCTAGGGCATAAAAACAAAAAACTGGATCTTCCAAATCATCGGAGATCAATGTGAAATCAGGAGACTACCAGCTGTTTAAGGGTCTCAGCTGATCCGTGACTTGTCGAAAATATGTCAAGCTCCCACGGCTATGCAAGCTAAACACGTTTTGGTGCGACCAAATATTGCCAACCAAATGTCGCTTTAATTTAGCCTTTGTTGTGACCCTCCGGCAATGTCAATCCTTGGAACGGGTGCATCCTGAATTCGTTCAGCTGCTGATTTTTTTTAAGTCACACACCCCTGAAGGAGACTCCCCCAAACACCACCATGAGAAAGACTAGCATAGACAAATGTTGGAGGTGTGTTGGGGGGTCCTAGGAAAAGTTCTATGACTTACCCTCACTCCCACTAACATGGCACCTGACAGGGAGTCCCTACAAGAGGAAAATGATCTTGGAGGTACCCTCCCAAAAGTGCTATGTTACTGGAAGGGAGGGTACTTTCTTCAAGCGTTATGCTACGAGTGAATTCCCTTAAGCAGCTAAGCCGCGCTGCCTGTGCTTCGGGATTCGGGAAAATGGACCTCCGAAATGTCTCCGGAATGGCGCAAACTTAGACCATGGTTCAGCACAATGGTTGTACAATAGGCTCTGAGGGCTTGATGTGGCCATTCTACTCCGTGACTACCCCAAGATAGACTTAAACCCAGGGTTCTCCGTTTTGGGGAATGAACCAGGTTCAAGTCCACTCTGGGGTCGTCAAAACCTGGAACCCTGGAAGTGGCCCCTATGAAACAAGGTGGAACATGTTGCTGGAAGTCAGCAATGGCAGCGCCGCAGTGGACACGGAGGGGCAGCCTGAAGAGACATGGTTCTTGGCATTTACCCCTTCTCTGATACCAAAGCTGTATGATTCCCATCCCAAAGCATTAAATGATCACCTTGTCAGTTCAAAGTAGAGGCAGAAAGTGGGCCCTGCCAGATCCGTTCCTTGCATTGGCCCGTCCGTCCAGAACAGATCAAACAATGCCTTCCTGACGATTTATTTGCACGGAAGCAGCACAAACATGCAAAAACCTCAGCTCGTTGTGTTTCTGGTGGTGAAAGGGCACTACTGGGGGACCTAGGATCCTTACGGAGAGAAGATTGTGTCAATGTGCTTGCAATGAATAAGTCAATGTTTGTTCATGTTTGTTCCCTCGCATTGATGTATACAGGGTTCTATCTATTTAGGGGTCTGGAAAAAGATCCAAATTCACCCATCTCCTTGTTGATATCCTTTTTGAGCAAATTAAACTCTATAGGCTATTTAGCACCCAGTATAAGGACACGACTGCCTCTTGCCCCGCTTATGCAAATAAGGGACCCCCTCCTTTAGCAACCTGGCTCCTGCGTGCCCAAATGGGTCTAACAGAACAAATACTGGCAAGGACACTCCATGGAAAAACGCGCTTGGCTAAGGCAAGAACAGTATCTAAGGGGCTAAACAACTTACATGACTGCCCAATTCAAAGAGGCCTACAACCCTCTACCTGGACCCTCAAAACTCCCCTGAAAATGGGTTGTAGCCCCAAAATTCTGGGGTGGACTCCGGATTTGCTGGTTTTTTACGGGTAGTTTGAGGGTCCAGTTGGGAACTTTGTTTGCCCCTTCCAAAAAAAGCCCTGAGAACCACCGGGCCTCTGAATCCTGCAGCTGCGCCGCGACCCGCCGCTGCCGCTTCTCCTCCTTTCGAAAAAGATGCGCTTCGCGCGCGGGACATGCGGTGGATGGTTGCGAAACCGTTGCCCAAAGGAGGATGGAACCAACAGGTGATCACCTTTTGGGGCCATGACTAAACATGGAAAATTGGAAAATCAAATGGTCAAAAGGTCGATTCGCTTTGAAGAACTCCATTTCGCACCACTTGGCTGTGGGTCAAAACCAAGTCCATCCACGGTATCAGGAGCTTGTCATTGGCTGAGTGGTTCTGAGCGAGGAGCCAGAAAAACGAGACAAGAAGAGAGAGGGTGACTCGCTACCTGTAAACTCATCATGTCTCTGCCATTCCTCCCCATGGTTGTCCTTAGGTAGCCTCTAGATGTAGGATACGAGATTGAGGACGAAATAGAATATTAATGCACATGACTCTCTTTTAAGTCCTCTATTCCACCCTTAATCATTCCATTCCTATTGTTGGAGGATATTTTAAAACATGACTCAGATAGTGACATCTCCAGATATGTTCCTTTCCCTTAAAGCTTGAACATAGTTTATCTGGAGGGTGCGAATGAGAGTGTCCTTCCTGTCCCTTTTCTTACCACACCCATCTGTGAAAGAGTCGGGAATGGACGAGGTGATTAAGCAAGTGAAGAAAACAGGTAGGATATGAAGAAAGCAATGCTTCTAGTCTAGGTTTTTCTTCGGCGGAATGTTTCTCCCCCTTGTCCATAAATGTCTCTGTGCTGGCTGGAAGTGGAGAACAGTCACAAACCTAATGCTCTATCATTCATTTGGGTGGTGTTTTACACGGGGGCCCAAAAGGCATCCATTTCGCAATGTCAGCAACATATTGCTCCTTGGTCCAGACAGGCCCTGCAGCAAAACCTGTACGACTAAAAGAGGGGCTGACAGGGAGTTTTAGCAAGGCTAAACCGACAATCCAATCCGATAATTCAAACCAAAGCCTGTTCTATCACAAATTTGGTGATAAGCAGATATCAGCAACTGTCTGCTTAACCTCCAAACTTGGAATAAGGCCTCCCCACTTAAGGGACCTTGCGGAGGTCGCTTTGCCAGGCAAGCCTGCCATAGCTGGAAAGAGATATTAAACCTTCGCCCGGAACTCTGACGGAATCCTGCTGCATGCGCTTCAGCTCGTCCTTCTTCAGCTTCTTCCTGACACCCTCCCATCCACACCCACCCACACACACACACACATTGGAACCTCGCAAGCGTCCCTGGTTTGGAGAAGGCTTCCTCCTGTGAGGACCCCACCTGCACCTGCCCGTTCGTAGCGGTGTTGTTGCCGCTTCCCACCCCACCACCCCACCCCACCCCACCCCACCCCACCCCACCCCACCCCACCCCACCCCACCCCACCCCACCCCACCCCACCCCACCCCACCCCACCCCACCCCACCCCACCCCACCCCACCCCACCCCACCCCACCCCACCCCACCCCACCCCACCCCACCCCACCCCACCCCACCCCACCCCACCCCACCACCACCCCACCCCACCCCACCACCACCCCACCCCACCCCACCCCACCCCCACCCCACCCCACCACCCCACCACCCACCCCACCCCCCACCCCAACCCCACCCCACCCCACCCCACCACCCCCACCCCCACCACCCAACCACCACCCAACCACCCACCCACCAACCCACCACCCAACCACCCACCACAACCACACCCCACCAAACCACCCAACCACCCAACCACCCAACCACCCAACCACCACCCAACCACCCAACCACCCAACCACCAACCACCCAACCACCCAACCACCCAACCACCCAAACCCCAACCAACCCACCACCCACCCACCCACCCACCCACCCACCCACCCACCCACCCACCCACCCACCCACCCACCCACCCACCCACCCACCCACCCACCCACCCACCCACCACCCACCCACCCACCCACCCACCCACCCCCACACACACACACACCACCCACCCACCCAACCCACCAACCAACCAGCCAGCCAACCAACCCACCCACCCAACCCACCAACCAACCAGCCAGCCAACCAACCAACCTGGCTTTTCCATCGGCAACGTGGGCCCAACCCAGGACCCAGGCCCGTCATCCACTTCGCGAACCAAGCAAATGGACATGCCCAGCCCTGCCTAAAATTCCATCACCAGGGGAGCCTGAGTTGTTTTTGGCTTTCCCAGTTGGTTCCACTTAAGCCCGCTGGCTTTTCCATCGGCAACGTGGGCCCAACCCCCCGGTTTGGGTTCCCTTCAGGACTTGGGGAGCCCCTGGAGGCCCGTCATCCACTTCGCGAAGTGGATTCCAAGCAAATGGACATGCCCAGCCCTGCCTAAAATTCCATCAAAAACGGGGCGTCTGGTTTTGAGGGGAGCCCACCCCCCAACATGAGTTGTTTTTGGCTTTCCCAGTTGGTTCCACTTAAGCCCGCTTCACCTGGAGTAGGCCGCGAGCCTCTTGCTTCAATAATCCCGCCGTTGTGGCCACACCCCCTCATAAATCCCCCCTCTAGCTGGTGTTTCGGAGCCGAACCGGTGGTTGGGGACAGCCAGAGCTTCAAATCCAAATCCGAACCACCAGCTCGAGAAACTCCCCAAGTCCATTTCTCTAGGCTTCCCCCAAGGGAAACACGTTGCCACACATGGAAATATCCAAAATTTTCCGCTTTTTCCCCAATTCCATAGACTGGACAGACAAAAACACTGAGTGATTTTGGTGGCTTACTCCCCCTTCTCGATAGTCAATCAGCCAAAGTCGACCTATGGTTCCAAGCATCATCCGTCTGAGTCCATCCCCTTTTACACATCCCTTGCTCGCCCTAAACAGCCGAAGTTGTGCCCAACAGGCGAGTCACCCAGCTCATTGGCGAAAGTGATTTGATGACTGCCTTTCTTTAGGCGACCCCCCACGAATTTTGGTTTTCCGGGTGCCAACTCCAAAGAAGCAAAGGGAAAAGCCATTTGTTGGGCATTGTACGATTCTCCCAAGAATCAGCACGGGAACTCTTGGCTGATTTGGGGTGGTTGAGTAGGGCGATTTACCAAACACCACAACACGAGTGTCAACCAAACCCTGGAGATCCGCAAAGCTGAATGGCCCGATCGATCGGCCAAATGCATCAAAGGCTCATGTGTTCCTTTTCGATCCTCAGGTGAGCAGGCCAACTTATATTTTGCAAGTCTTTTGTGGCCTAAAAGGGGGCACCCTTGGTAAGGGGTCCTCTTTAAGGGCCGCCCTGCTTCAAGAGTCCTAATAGTTGAGGCCAGAAAACTGAGACCCACCAGGACAAAGAAGGCCTAATTCCATTTCTGGTAAACCCACTGGACCCCCCCCCACCCGGCAAACCCACAAACTTCCTTTAAAGATGACTTTGCCTAGCTTCCGCGTTGATGTTTCAGGATCTTCGTCAGCCAGAGGTTGACTAATCTTGCTTGCTCTAATGTACCCTTGCTTCGTGGACGTTACATAACCCCTACGTAGAGGACACAAAAGAGATAGCGATTCCTGTTTGGGTTGCATGCCATAAATAGCCTATGGCCGCATCCCGGCTTCTGAGCATTTTCTCTCATGGAATTCAAAACGCTCGGGGCAAACTCCCTCAAAAAAGGCTTCCTCGGAAAAAGAGAAGTAAGCATTGCCTTCTTCCCTGACCTTGTTCTCAGAAAAGCCCATGGACCAAACCGTGCAGAAGCCTACTGGTCAATCGTATTGCATTACCTAACCATCCAAGTTCAATACATAAAAAAGATAAACATGATTCTTCACCAATAACATGTTATAAAATAAAACATGGTTTTTACCCGGAGTTCCCACCGATCTGCCGCATCTTTTGTTGGTTCTTTGGCCAGAGCGACACTCCCAGACCCCTCCATCGGCCGGATGAGCCGCTGCTGGCGCGTAGTCTCCAGGAAGTCCTCCCAAATGATGGGGACAATTGAGCTGAACCCAGCTCAGGGCTACGAAAAGTTTATTATTCCCCTTGCTTCCATTTGCTCAAGAATATTGATTAATTGCCCCTTGTTGGTTTTAATTAAAGGGAATCTATCACTACTGGAAATATGTTTATTCCCAACAGCTGAAAGCTTAGGGGTCTCAGCCCAGATAGGCTCCGGGGTGGTCCGGGGCGGCCCTGAGGTAAGGTTCCACGAGGGTTTCACCAGAAGTGGTGCGAGCGCTACAAAGAGCACTGCGTGCTGTTGGGGATATCACCTGAGCTTATGACCCCAGCCATCCTTTTGACCCGTGCCTTTTGGAGTTGACCCAAAGAAAACCCTTCCTAAATTCCGGAACCTGGCCATGGAGAAAAACATGGGCGTCGGCTGTAAATGAAGTCAGCCATCGCCACAAGGTCTATGGCTAGGGTATGACTCAATGACGTCCGGGTCCCTTTTTCTTGACATCAGATTTTCCCTCCAACTGGTCTTGAGCAAGCCTCAAGATGTCTTCCAAAAGCCGACTATGGCTGGGGCTGTCAATATGAAGGAAAGTAAAGACCTTCTTCCTATGACAAACTCACCAGGTAAATCCTCTACCGAAATCATATGCGATGTAACTGCGTGCCCGTGCCCCTGCAACTGTTCCCCCTACCCCAATCCGCCCCAATCATCTGAGAGGCGTCCACACCAAGTCTTGAGGATCCCACGTTACATTCCATGGATATGTCAAATATCATTAGGACAATTATTGGCGGACAGCATTTATTGGTCCAAAACGTCCAAACACAAAGTCCAAACTTGTTGGTTGCCACCAAAATGGTCTTCTCAAAAATATTGTAAAGTTGGGAACTCAGGAAGTGATATTTAACTCACTTGCCCAAGGGACCATGAACTAACAGGTGATCACCCGTTGGGGCCATGACTAGATATGGGATCCCAAGATGGGGAAAACAAAAGGTCATTTCAGGGCGATTCGATTCGCTTTGGGCAACTGAGCTAAGTATTCATGTATGCATTCTGTTCTATCTCCGAATCTTACCATAAATCAAAAAGCTGAATAAAAAATTGGATCCCCAAGTAAAGGACCTGTATCATGGTGAGCTCGCTCGTTTTACACCCGCATCGGTGAGCTCACTATGAAATACGCAGGTATATAGTGCATATATAAATATATATATATATATATGTGTACACATTATATCGTATATACACATGTGTATATCTATATATTGACATACATACATTTACTACTATTATTATTCATATTATTATTAGCATCATGATGATTATTATCATTAGTAGTACCTTTATTACTACTAATATTATGAATTATTGTATATCTATATAGATATACATATATATATATATGTGTGTGTCGAATTTGTGGGTTCCGCCCGTCCTCGTACTCGCGCTGCTCATCCTCTTCGCGCTCCATTGCCTGGCCCGGTTTGCTCCGGGAGTCCGGACGGAACGCTGGTGGCAGGTCCAAAGCTTGCCCGTGGTGACTTCAAAGCGTCTAGGTGAGCAAGCCTGGGTTTATCTGGTTCTGCTTTCATGACTGTATCTTTTGCCGTTTGGAGCAACTTGTGTGGGGATTTATCCTGTTTTGCTTTCATGATGTTTGGGCCCAATGCGCCTTGAAGTGAAGTCAAACCGGACTTCTTGCTTGGCTTTGCGCGAGGAGCTGTTGGCTTTGAGCAAGGTGCTTCCAAAGCAAAGGGCGGATTACGTCCTTTAGCTGACTTCTACATTGAGTCCTTCATGTGGCTGGCCACCGAGCATTTCAGAGGAGATCCTTCACTTTCGGAGGAAACACCACCGCCTACGCCGGTTTATCAATCCGGGGTCCATGTTAGCCACAGCCGGACTACTCTCTCGGCACATTGGCACTGATCACGGCCAGTGGCCAAGGGGAAAAAAGAATCGGCCATTTTATGTTGGTTGAGTTTCAAAGGGGAAGCCTCACTCCCCCCCCCAAAAAAAAGGGGCACCACTGGGCTTCCCCTTGTTGGTTTGGCTGGGGTTTGGTGGCTGGGGGTTGGTTTCCCACCCAAATTGGCCCGGTCAGCTTCGGGGTTTCTTACCTCTAGGTTTACAGAAAGCTTCCCTGGACAACTGCGAAAGTTGCAACTGAAAGGGGGACGATGCGGAAGTTCGTCGTGGATCCCCTTTCAATTGTTTCAATCCATCCCAAAATAGGGCGCCGTCAAAGGAAACACAAATACACATTTCACCGACCAAACAGGAATGCCGATGCTGCCTTCACAGGGGAGCTCAGTAATTGATCCCAAGCCGACCTTGCAAGAAACCGTGCTGCAAAGCCCATGTGCAAAGACACACGCACATTCCCATCCTGTAAGGGATTCCGGAGAAAATCGAGTCTCAGCCGGGCAAACAAATGATGGACAATCCTGCTTCGAAGGGTCAAATCGAAGGGTTCTGAGAACCACTCCCCGGAAAGTATGTCTGGGCGTGTGTTGCTGGGGGTACCCTTTTTTCAGGTGGGTTTCTGGCTTAAAGGGAAGCCAAAAGGAAAACCAAAACCCTCGCCAAACAGTGAGTTCAAGCTCCCATGTCTCACCTGGGCTGTCCGTTTTCGGATGCTAAAAGTGACGAACTTTTAGTGGGTTAAATTCGGAAACCCAACCACTAAACCCTAAAAATCTAAACTTGGTTGACGTTGGAAAGGGTTGACGTTGAATTTGGATTTCAACCACTAAACCACAATAAGCAAAAATGGGAAAGATGTTTCCCAACGACAACCATGTAAAAGTACGTCAGGGGTCCCTATGTAGGGGGGGATGGCGGTTAATACCCCCACTAAACCAACTAAAAGTCCAAAAACCAGTTTAAGTCTTGGTGGGTGAAATCCGGAAACCCACGCACTAAAAGTCTAAAAACGTCTACAAACGTCTAAAAAGCCTAAGGAGCCGCACTGGGAGAGCCACGTCACCCGCCAGTCGCCCGGCCCAACCGATTCGATTCCCTGGAGTCCTCCAGGGCCTCCGCCTCCAGCCGGGCGTCCCTGGGATGCGAAACATCGGGTCGTGGCGGTGGGGGTTTCCTCCTAGCGTCTAGTTGCCCAAGCCCCCGGGCAAAAAACGAGAAAGAGAAGAAAAAAAGAGAAAAAAAAACATGAAAAAAAGAAGAAGAAAAAAGAAGGAACAAAGACCAGTCGAGAAACTGATCCCCTTTTAAAGCCAACAGGGGAAAATAACAAGTATTCTTAAGCAAATGGAAGGCGTAGGTGTGCGCTCGGGTCGTGTGCCCAAATGGTGCCATGTAATGCAGCACCCCCCCCCCGGCCAAAAGCAATTCCAACCTCCCCCTGCAGTCCAAACACGGGGGAAGTGAGGAATCCCATTCTCATGAGACGCTGACAAGGCCCAAGAACCGGATGGGCCTGCCGGGGAAGTAAAGTTAAAATCACGAAAGTAGAGGCAATGTTCAACTGGCCCCAAGGTCCGGCCCAAGGTAGGGGCCCAAAACCGAATCCGGTACATTTTGAGAGAAATGTGGCCCTGCCATTGGCGTGAGAAAGAAAAACACTCGGAACCCCTTCGCCTTCCCAAAGCGAACCACAAAGTTAACATTGCAAAGAGAGCAGGGGTATGTCGTGTCAAACTAGGAGGGCCCCCCAAAAAATGGCTTCCCTTTTCCTAACCCTGCCGCCAAGCTGGCAATTACCCTCAAAAACAAAAATAATGTGCGCTTCCATGGCTTTTGGCGGGTGCCTAAATCTGCAAGGGAAACAGATCGACACTCGCAGAACATGAAAACAGTCGCGGAACCACAAACACCCCAAGTCTTCCATTTCGGGGTCCATTCGGGAGCTTCCCATGTTGGTCGGAGGTTGGCTTAGAGCCCGGGATGTTCCCAACAGTTGACCCTTCCCACAGGGCAGCTGTATGTCCCATCCCCCCTACCATAAGGGGGAGGGGGGTGGGGTCCCAAATTCCAGCTATCTAGTCTTCCTACAAAGGAAATGGAACCATAAATGGAGATCTCCAGGGGTCACCCCCCTCCCCCAATTCCATAGTTAACAGGGATCCTTACCTGAGCATTTCAACTTGTAAATGGCGGCTTCCCTTTAGTTTGGTGTTGAAAAAGCAACATGTTTCACATGGTTGCAACCATAGGTGGCCTTTTGGAAAAATAGATCCTGGTAGATGGAAGAAACCCCACCTAAACCAGTGCCATCTATTTTTAATCAAACTAACCTAAAAAGGACACCTATGGTTGCAAAATGAATTTCTTTTAAGGAGCCCTGTTTTTATCGGGGTGGGGGTCCTTCGGGGTGGGGGTCCTATGTCCCACAGCTGAGGGGCCATTCCTCCACTGCACGCTGACGCTCCTCCTCCTTCTGCATCAGCTCCAAGAACATGGCCTGCACCAACATGGGCAGGGGAGAATCCAGTAAAATCATCTATCCTCATGGCTTCAGGATTCAGGGGGTAGACAAATCAAAAGAAACAAAAAACCTGTTTCACACAACACGGATGCTTGTAGAGCTATTTGCGCATGTTTGCCTCAAACCGCCACAAGCCTTTCAAATATCGGGGCCTCATCGTGTCCGTAGTGCGCCTTTGCCTTGACCCAAAGTTACGCAAACGCTTCAACCCCAAGCATCACAAACTTCGTCGAATCCCCCGGCCCCATGGCTCATTGGCTTTTTGTCCGCATTGAGGGCCCCGCAAATTCTGCCCTTTGAATACTTCCCCGGCCCGGGCTTTCCAATCGCTGAAGTTCAGGGGTAGTCATAGATCCCCCGTAAGCACCCACAGGGCAAATAAGAAATCATCTTCAGCAAATGCATCAGGGATCCTTGCATTATACACCTGAACATTGCCTTGTAAATGGTGGTGTCCCTTTATTTTTGGTGAAAAAAGACATGTTTCAAATGGTTGCAAGATGTGTTTTTTTTTCAGGAGCCCTGTGGATGCACCGTCCCATCCGTCCAAACGTGTCTTGGCCAAATGCCGTCGAACTTCCTAGCTGAGCTGTCCTCGATACGCCGATTGGTCTCATCCACGTTTTTCTGCTTGAACCTGAGACCGCGACCGCAACACACGCCTTTCGCCCGGAGTGGTTCTAGGCCCCGTTAAACAATCTAAGGGCAGATACGAGGATGACCAGCAAACCACACATCCATCAATCAACCAACCAACTGCTAAAACAAAACAGAAAGACCAACCAACCCAGCCCAGCCCAGCCAGCCCAGCCCCGGTCACACACTTGTGGGTGCTGTGGTTTCCCTTTTACCCACCAGAGGATGTCAGTTTAATGGACGCAGTCGTGTGTACCTGGACATGATCATTGCCCCCGTTGGTGGTATATGTTCAGGGCATCTACCCCAAAGGCCGATTTGTTTGGACCTTTTCCATGACCCAAATGTCAATGGGTGTCCTTGTTTCGCCTGGGCATCAGTGCTGGTTGCTAATTTGTGATTTTCGTCTGGCGGCTTCCAATGGTTTTCACCGTACGGAGGTCCCAAAAGGAAAATTATGAGGAACACCTGTTCGAACCACTGAGATTATCATGGCTTTATCTCCGGTGAATTTTCTGAAGAGTTCAACTGCCCAAAACCCCAAGAATATTCCCGGAATGGAGCCAACAACTGAGATTTTGAGATTTGTTACCTTCGGGAATATCAGCTCCCAACCCAGCTTCCAGATCACACAATGAAGGCAATTCCTGAGCCGTTGAGAAACCGGGAATTGCAAACCCAACTGGCATTGCGAAGCAACCTCCCAGAATGGAGGGACTCCACAACAGGTGTGTATTTTTTTGGTTCCTTTGAACCAAGCCCCACAAACGCGGCACCCTTGCTCCCACAAACATGGCACATGAAAGATAAGTTTCCTCCTGGGAGCGGGGGATACCTTTTCAAAATGGAGGGACCCCACAACTGGTTGATCCAACTGCAACATGGAGGACCATGTCAGTAGGGTTCCCTGTAAACAAAAGCAAACAAACAGCTACTGCGGATGGACAAAGTCCATTTCGCACCACCTGAGAAATCCTGGAATGACATGATCCCCTCCAAATACAGTCACTAAATGAGTCAGGGCCTAGTACCAGGAGGGCTCATATCAGCCACGCACAATTATTCATGCAAGCAACTGCACCAAAAATGTGAAATTTTGCAAGTTCATTCTGGTCCCTGCCTAATCCTGAGCAGGGGTTCTTACATTATACACCTGAACATTGCCTTGTAAATGGTGGCTTCCCTTTATTTTGGTGGAAAAAGCCATGGTTCAAATGGTTGCAAAATGTATCTTTTAACAAGCCCCGCTGAAACAACTGCGTTGCCATTCTTTTGCACTCTAACTCTTGTAGCTCTTGACGGGAAGTCTTCCAGGTGGGCCATAAGATTCTCAGGAATGTGTCCTGGGCATAGGTGTCCTTTTAGGGGGAATAGATGGCCCTGGTGGATTGACTAAACCACCAGGTAAACCAGGAATCGCCATCTATTTTTCTACAAACACAACTAAGAAGGACACCTATGGTCCTGGGGTTTGCCTCTTTGCCCTGGGCAAGGGAAAACTCTTCTAGGTCCTCCAGTAGAGAGGTTCGAATAAGGGTGCCCGAGTTTTTCCTGTAGTCTATTTTAGTAGGGCCCTCCCCCAAAAAAGGGGTGAGACAGGGCACCTAGCTGGGGGACCTAGTCTTCTCTGCAGCTGCCTACAATGTCACACTTGGCCTATTAGCTTTGCTGCCACTCACACCTCCAAATATGGCAACAAATCCTGAAACCTTGCAGAACCTGTTCCAGATTGCCAAACACGCACCAAACACTTCACAACAATGCCAAAACATTCTGCAAACTAGCAACACATCCTGAAGAGCTCCACACCATACCCAAAAGTGAAAAAAACTATCGCAAAAAAAAAAAACGAAAAATGCTAAAACACAAGTCGTTAATCTTCTGAACACTTAGAAAGCATTCTTAAATCTTGGAAAAATCAAATTTCTAAAAAAAAGTCTAAATATCTTTAAACAACAATGACGGGCATCATTGTTTGATGGAGCCTTCCCGCAGTTGCCATGCCTTCTTGAGAACAAGGTTAGATTTCTTTAGCTGTCATGCATCCTCATGGAGGTTCAAGTAGTTTTCATCTCTGAGTCCCTGCCTCTGGTATCGATCCCTTTGATAAATGGACCCCGAAACGCAACCAAACTATACGTGGCATCAACCATGGTTTCATGTCGTGCGAAATGGATCTACCACCATGTCCTGCCAGAACTCCTGGTAGCTCCTTAGCTCCCTCTTTAAAAGCAAGTTTGGATACCCCCAGCTCCGAAAGGCTCCCTTCCAACCATCAGCTAGTTTAGGAACCATCCACTGCCCTTCACCGGACGTCCGGTTCCTGGGGTTCCTGAGGTTCCTGGGTTCCGGGCTCCTCCTGTGCCATGATCCTCAGCTCTCGCGCCCTTAGCTCCGGCTCCTGGAATTCGGGGGGTTTCGGCCGGGGCGCTTGACAGTGACTCAACCATAGGTGTTCTTTTAGGGGAAATAGATGGCCCTGGTAGATGATTAAACCACCAGGTAAACCGGTGCCATCTAAACAACCAAAAAGGACACCTGGCCAGCACCCGAGTCCCAAGCACTGCTTTTTGGACACTTGGGATCAGTTGGTAGCAAGGGGCGCTGCAGATTGGAATCAATCTTGTGGGGAATCACCCCCGGTTTGGAAAATGTTGCAACCTGTGGCGTGGTTTTTCGTTCGTTTGGGGGGGGGATGTGAGTCTCCCGTGTCCTTGTGGGTGTTTTAAAAGGAAACCAAGGGGGAAGCCTCTCTTTGCCGGGTTCCCTCGAAAGACATATCCAAATTGCTAGTTTCCCCAAATGGCATAGGAACATGTGTGTTCCGTCCTGTTCTTTAGAGGGAAAATCATGTTCCTCCCAAGTCCTATCCCACGCGCAAAACTCATAGATTGTCCTCCCCAAACCCACAAATAAATCAATGTCCGCCAATTTACCACAAAAAAACAAACACAAAAAACGTTGGGGGGCTTAGGGAGCTACCCAACGCCTATGCCGTGCAAAACCAGTAGGGGAAAGCCCGAAACTGATACCCGCATTATACAATCCGTTGCTCGCTTGATTTTGACCGGACCCCTCTCGTTTGAGATTGCAAGGGACAAAAAAAAACAAAACAAAAAAAACACGGATTTGTGGGGGGTAGGGGGTACTTACAACCCAACCTTCGCCATGATTCTTGGAAAAAACACTATGTAGGTAGTGGTAAGCATTTTGGAACTTATGTTGCCGGCGCCACCTCATTCCCAGCCCTGTCGACCGAATCCCCGGTCCTGCTCGTGCAACTGGTCCCACAGCCGGACTTCCCTGGCCCTCGGAGGGTTCGCTGAGCTTCGATGGGTTGCATACCTATGATTCCATCGATGTAACCCCGAGCTGTCCTGAACAACTACATAAAACTACGCAGAATGGTGGGATGCAAGCATCGGCAATCCATATCTCGACCAACCCCTGGATTTGCAAAGTCGAGATGCTTGCGAGACAAGGCTACCCTGACAAAAACGATAAACAAAAGGATTAGCCAGCAGCTCTCGTTCACCTTGCCTCTGGGCAGCCCTTGTGTGAACGCCCAAGCATTACCCCAAGCCACCTTTCTGGAAACCTCATGATACAAGGAATGGACAACAAACCTCTTAGGGGCCCTTCCGCGCAATCTCAACAAGCTCAAAAAAATCCTAGAGGCCTGAAACAAGCAAACAACCGCAACGCCCCCCCCCTCTCCGGCCCTCCCCCTCTCCCACCCTCCCACCCCCCGCTCCCGCAAACGCTTTGGCCCGCGTCGGGTCTCCGGGCAGCACGTCCTCAGTGGCCAGCACTCGGCGCTCATTGGCCTCCAGCTTGGCGTTGTGTCTCTGCACCTGTTGGTTGGCCGGGCGATGGGGGGTGGAGAGGTGGGGGGGGAGGGTGGGAGAGGGGGGTGGGTAGTGTAGGGGGGGGGTTTTAGGCGGGGGTGGGGGGGTTGAAGTGGGGGTGTTTTAAGGTGCCTGGGGGGGTGACTTGTTTTGGCTACTTGCATGCTTGGGGCTTCCGGGAAAAAGAGAGAAGCAACCTCACACTGACCAACGGCGGCCTAGCCGACTAAGTATATGTTCTAACTGTTCAGCCACCCAAACAGGGGAAGCATACGAACCCGTCTGTGTGTTTGCTTGGTTGTTGGGCTCTTTGTTTGTTTGTTTAATTGTTGGTTTGCGTGCTCATGTGATTGATGTTTAATTCATTCATTGACTTGTATTGTGTTGTATTTGATTGCTTTTTGTTTGTTTGTGTGCTCGTGTGCGCCTGAGTTTGTGTGGTGGCTTTCTTGTGTGCTTGTGTGCCTGTTTCCTGGACGCTTGCTTGCTTTTGCTTGCTTGTGTGTGTGTGCTTGCGTGTTTGTGTGTGTGTGTGTGCCTGCGTGCTTGCTTGCTTGCGTGCTTGCTTGCTTGCTTGTTTGGTTGCTTGCTTGCTTGCTTGTTGTTGAGGCTAGGTACCGTTTGGCTAGGTACCAATTGGGAAACCAATAGCACAATTACCAAACAGGGAGTTGCCCCAGTCCGACACGTAGCCAAACTGCTTCAAAACGCAACACCGGGCCTCCTTTTAAAGGAACACTGCACAGTTGTTATGGTTGGCAAGTTCAAAGGCCACCCCTTCCCTTCACCTGACTCCCTAATTCTAGCGGTGAGGGGTTTCTCATCTTGAGGCCGGGTGGGGTCTGAAGTCTGACAGAAGGCATGGGCTTGCTGCACATCACATGGCCATGGGTCAAAAGCCCGCCCGGTGAACATCCCAATCCCCACTAAAATAGACTAAACAAATGGTGCACCTACCCCAAGAATTGGTACCCTTGGTTTTGACAACCACTGCCATATGTAAAACGGTAGCACGGGGCAAAAACAAAACGCATGCAGCACCCGCCCAGCTCAGCAACACCCCGAAAGTGCCACGTTCCTGCCAAGGCGACCTCCGGGAAAAATGAAAAGAAAACCAAACCTATCCAAACCAGCTTCACCAGAGGATCCCCTTCATGCGTGGGTGATTCACTATTTTTTTGAGGACTGGCCCCGTTTTCGGGACCAGTAATTTGTAAAGACAAGTGGCCATTCTGGAAGACCCACTTCTAGTGGCAAGACGCCACAAATATGGCACTTGCTGTCATAACACCAAGGATCCCAGGCACCACCACAGGCTACCCAGGGTCCCAGGCACCACCCCAAGATCCCATGCACCACCCCAGATTGTACTAAACTGCTAAACCCTGGTGACTTTTTGGACTGGCCATTTTCAACTCACTTCCTGAATGGGTCTGCCACAAAAAGTAAGCACACTGCTTGGTTGCCGCCTAAATGGGACCCCGAAAAAGTGATAAAGTCCGAAACTCAAGGAGCGCTCAGGGACTTAGAAAAGGGGCTCGAATTCCAGGCACCCCAGGTAGCAACCCCTGGTGACCTTTCTCACGGGGCACGACCCTTTCATCAGCTTCCCTCTATTGGTGGTTCGGTGCGGGTTTCAAATCCATTGAGCCTCTACAACAGCCAGGGCTTCAATTCCAAATCCACTTCCCACCGGACTCCAAACCACCAACCTGCCGGGTCACCGGACTTTTTCAGGCGCTCGACATTCCGGGTACCCCAGCAGTCAACTTGTTCACTGGCCAGCTTCTTAGGAAGAAAAACTCCATATACTTTTTTAAAACTCGTTTTTCTGTCTTCTTCTTTTTTTTAATAACACCAACAAGAACAACTTGGAATGGCTCCTGGCTCCGACTCGTGGCTGCGTCGGCGTCTTCCCTCGCCTTGCGCTGCTCCTTCTCTGCCGCCCTCATGCACTGCTGCTCGAACTTCTCGGCGGCTGCGAGGACCTCCTTCATGAAGGCCTCCAGGAACTTACCCCTTAAAACTGCAAGCCCTGGGGAAGTTTTCATCTTTTGCAGACATATAGCCCATGTTACCCAAAAAGTTGAAAAGTTGTGTTTTTAAGAGGAAAGGAAGAAAGAAACACGGAGCTCGGAAAGAAACAGGCTGACCTTCGGGGGGGAACACGGATAATCAGGATAATCCGTGTCTTACCTTTGGGGAGGGGTGTCTTTTTTTTGGGACCTTTCTGATGTGGTGAAACCCCCGATCAGGACCCGAGTGGGAAGACTTGATAGGGGGGGGGGGTTTTGGGGCAACCCTCCTGTGGTGAAACCCCTTCTGGATGTTCGATGGGTACTTCCACAAATAGGATCCATTTCAACTAAAAATGGCTAGTTTCCGGGTGGTTTTGGAGATGATCAACCCATCTGGGCATGGGTCAAAATTGAACCACCAGGATATGGACCACAGGTGTTGGTCCATGTTTCCATTTACCAGGGCAACCCATTCTGAATACCCACTTTTGATCCACTGTCTGCAGTGGTAAAACCCCAAACCCTTGTGGATGTGCTACGGGTCTCGATGTCCGATAAAATGAGTGGGTGTTCGATTGGCTTCTTTAAACACCAACCAAAGAGGTTGAGCATTTGTAGAAGCACCCATATACTTACATGGGGGTCTTCCCCTCCAAAAGTGGTGCCCGCGGGTGTGATCACGAGTTCCATCCCGCGAGGCAAACACCAATGCCAAAATGGTAGCATTCACATTCGGGAACACTCAGTGGATTGAAAGGGTTCCCATTTAAACACCAATGCTGGACATGCTAAGCGCAATCCGGGAGCCATGGCTGCTGATGTGATGATGCAGCTGTTTCGAAACATGCTTCAAGACTTCTTTGGCCCAAGGCTGTGCAAGATCCATTTGACAGTCATCACAAATCAAGGAGATGTGCAGTTTACAAACTCCGCACGTCCAAATTGTGTGTACTGAAAAGGGGACACCCTAGCAGTTAATCAACCATCCGGGTTTCCCCATTATTTTGGTCAGCTTTCTTCTGATTGGTGGTTTGGAGGTTAGTAGGTGGTTGTCATTAACCTCCCAAGCCTAAAGCAACAGAAGCTGCCCTGGCTTCTAAGCTTTGTTGAAGCCAATGTTCTGGAGTTAGCCTACGCACCAGGTGCACGCCCCAAGGAAAAGGACACACTTACTCCCAAAACGAGGCAACTTCGGGGGACAAAACAATGGCGACCGCTCTTTCGGAATTTCTCAAAATGGCGGACCCCTGTTTGGGTGGTTTACAGGGAAACGAAAGGACGCTTCCCATTTCGGTGTTTGCCTATTTGGGGCTGTGTCGGTAATTACCCTTTTCACCTTGGTTTAGAAGGAAGTGAACAACCACAATTTCAGGTGTTCAAATGCCGTTTGCCGCATGCCCATCCCTTCTTCCATCCAAAACTGAGACAACATGAGAACCACCCCTTTTCCATCCCACAAAATCCGAGCAACAATCTGCGAAACACCCCTTTCCATCCAACTAAACCCGCGAAACGCATTGAGAACCCCCTTTCCCCTGCAAATACCTTGACCCTCAAACTACCCTTAAAAAGGGAATTCACCCCAAAAAGCCCATGGTTTTTATGGAATTTTGAGGGTCCTGGTCTATGTTTCTTTCACTGCGAGTGGTTTCTGCCATTTCTTCCGCCTCGTGCTTGATCCGCGGGTCCTCCCGGAGCATCCACTCGCGCTCCTTGGCCTCCTTCTCCGCGCAGAACCTCTCGCCCTTGATCTGCCGGAACTCCTCCCACCGCATCCTCGGAGTTCCGCGAAATCAGCGGTCCATCAGCTCTCTTGGAGCGTGGCACGATCATGAGCTTGGACGCTCATATGTGTGAATGTCCATCTTGTGTGTTACATGCTTGTATTGATCCTAAGTGTGGTCCACCAGCGCGGTGGAACATGTTCAAGGCAAAAACTGAGGAGACAAACATCCACAAAGAAGCCGCTGAACTCAAACGTGGGCGAACCCACGATCGAAACCCACCAAGCCTAAGCTAGCCACACCAGGTTTACAGAGCGTGTGATCCCAAGTGTTTCGATCCCAAGTGTTGGGATGCGCGAGCCCTCTTTGGTGTCCGAAATGGACCCCAGACCCGGAATGTTCAGGCGCAAGGTACTGTTGGGTTCCAGAATCAAACTGCTGCTTTTGGAGGTCCAAGAAGGGAAAGAAGCAGTCCCTGTTCTTGGGGTTGGCTTGAAGGGAAGCCGCATCCTCGGTACCATGGTTTTGTGCGTCAGTGTGGCAATTGGCTTACTTGCAATATCTAGGGCACCAATCCATTCGACTTTTCCAGTCTTCCCCAGAAAAGGGAAGAATATACATGGAATTCCCAAAGAGATAATGAACCTATACCCCCTACTCCAAATACCCCCATTTTTCACTGTATCATGTTGACCCTCTACTAGAAAATGGAAAACCGATCGGTTTTCCCCAAAAAAACAACTGAACAAAAGCGGGTATTTTGACTTGGGTGCTGTAGATCCCCCAGCAAAAAGTGAAAAACTGTTTGCTGGTTAAAAGGAAATATGAAGGGAATCCAAAAAGCTAAAGTCTAACGATCCAACCCAGTAGCGGTAGATTTGAGTAGGGGCTGCACGGAGTTACAAACCTCAGGGGCTGAAACTGGGAGGGGCAGGCCTGGGACGTCCCCCCTCCCCCCATGGGCGCCTTTTGGGGCCAATGGAGCGCTGCCCGAACCAAATTGAAACCAAACACCACTCCCGCAAAACTAAACGTAGAACCTTCAAACCCAGCAAGCTCCTTTGGGCTTTTCGGAAAGGACACTTTTATCTTCCTTCAAAAAGGGTGGTTTGGATTGGTGGAGTGGAGGCTGTGAAAAGTTGATGATTTGTGTGGGGAAAGATCAAAAGATCCGGTACCAAATCACCATACATGGCTAGGCAACCAACCATTTGTCCTTCTGGTTTTGAAAGGGTGGTTTTCTTGGTTACCTGCTATATGGGTCTGTCTCAAAATAGGCCCCACCCAATTAGGCTGATGACAATCCCAAGGTAACAATGGATATTAACCACCAAATAGCTCGCAACTTGTTTTCTGAGTGGATGGCCCAACAAAGTCCCAACTGATTGTTTAATGTTAACCCCGGGTTAATAAACCCCGGGTTGATTTTGATCGGGGGGTGTCCCCTTTTAGTGGGGATTCAGACCACTTTTGGAGGGGACACCCCTACTAAAGGGACGAGTTGTTTAATCCTGGGTCAACATTACTCACACTTGCCCAAAGGACCCATAACCTTTTGGGGTCATGACTAAAAATAGACCAAACCCAGAAAACCAAAAGGTCAAAAGGTCGGTTTTGAACAACTGAGTACTACGAAAATGGCCCAAACCCAAGTCTCAAGTCCAAAAAGCTCGGTGAGATAAACACAACACCGGCAGCCGCGCAGACTTCGCGTCACTCTATGCCATTGCCCAGCGCTAGGTCCTCCAGATTCGAGAGGTTCGAATAAGGGTACCCCTTTTTTCGGTAGGGGAACTAGAACCCTCCCAACCAAAAAGGAAACGGTGAGAAAGGGCACCTAGCTGCGGAACCCAGCAAAAGTGACGAACTTTTGGCTTAAATACGGAAACCACCACGAAAAAAACACCCAAGAAGCACAAAAAAAAGGCTCAGGGGCCGGATGGCTTGCTGCCAAGAAAGCCACCGGCCGTTGACCTTTCTATCCGGGTGGACACCACCGGCCGCTCACAGCCTCCCCCTGGGATCCATGGGGTCCAAGGAGCTGGCGCAGCTCCTCGGCCTCCATCTGCTCCCGGTTCAGCACCGCCGCCTTCTTGTCCACGATGCTGCCTGAGCATCGTAACAGGCCCAGGCGAAGACGCCGTGTCCGGTGCATTTTTTGGTTTGTAGCAGCCGGAAAACAAAGGGGGTGTCGCAAGTTGTTCTTTTTGTAGCTTCTTTCCGTGATTGTTGTCTGCTTCTTTCTTGTTGATCTTGTTTTTGTTTGTAGCTTCTTCCCACTTGTTGTCTGCTTCTTTCTTGATCTGATTGTTTTGGTGGTTGTTTTCTCGTTGTTTCCCCATTCTTGTCCGCTTCTTTGTTTTTCACTCTAGTTATTTTGTTGCTGTTGTAATTTGTTCCTTGAAAATTTGGGGCCGGACCACGAGGGTTTGCTTCAACCTTTTGAGGTTGGCCTTCAGGGACAGCCAAAAGGAAAACCAGCCCTCCTATCAGGGGCAGGGTTGTGGAATCAAGGGGCTTGTCCCCACTTCTGTGATACAAGGGAATCTCCCCCTGTATATGGGGTGTTAGTCTTTGGGAAGCCCTTCGTTGTATCACAGAAGTGGTCATTTCCCACAACCCTGATCAGGGGTAATCACTGGTTTAGTCCCCACGGAATCTTGGTTGACGTTGGGTTTGGGGAGCAAAAAAAAACGAATCTTAGAAGTTAAGTGGATTTGGATTCAACCACTAAACCACAATTAGCAAAAATGTAAACATGTTTCCCAACAACAACCATGGAATGGAATCAACCCCCCCACCCCCCATGGTCCAGGGAACCAAAACGAAACACGAGAACTCGGCATGCGCAAAGCTTCAAAGCTAAGGGTGGGCGGGCTTTCCGAAACGCTTCAGGAAACCAAAACTCACTTCGTCCTCCTCACTGGTCGAGTGGATCGAAAAACCGTCCCAAACTTCCGGTTTGCCATGGTCCCAACCGGGAAAAAAACAACTAAAGCACTTCGTCCTCCTCACTGGCCGAGTGGAAACCAAAACTTTCTGTTCGCCACGAAAATATGGCCCAAACCCAAAACAGCATCTAAAGCTCCATGCACTCGAGTGACCCGCCCCCAGGTCCCTATCTAAAGCTCCATGCACTCGAGTGACCCGCCAGGTACAACCGCCCCCAGGTCCCAAATGGCCCGACAATCTGTGTGTCGCGTGGCGCTCGAAGTCGTCCCTCTTCTCCCGAAGCTCTTCGACAAATGGCGCGGTGATGGCACCTGACTCCGGGGAGGGTACTTGGAAGCTCAATTTCCGGTCAAGGAGCCTGGTGCAGGTTAGTGGGAAGGGGAGCATAAGCTCGACAATGAGACACGCGCACATTCTTCACTTATAATCATGACCTAATCCCTCTTTCGTAGTTAATGGCTTGGAGGCCAAGGTGGAGACCTGGAGACCTGCCCTTTGCTCATTGGCTTCAGCCACCGCAGTTTCCTTGGGAGGAGCAGGATCCCGAAACTTGCATTTGCTTTTTCGGCCCCTGGCAAAGATCAACATATTTCCAGTGATAGATTCCATGTCAAACCAACAGGGGAAACAAAAAACAAAACAGAAATGGAAGTAATCTGAATGGCCAAAGCTATCCTTGGGCACCTTATTGGGAGTCTTCTTGGGTTCCCCCGGTTTCCAGTCCATCGAGTTGCTGGTTGAAGGGTTCCCCATTTTGACTGGGGAAAACCACCCAAACTTGGGGGGGGGTGTCCAAGGCGCGCAACAGGGGAGGGTCCGGAGACGAACCGGGCTGCCACTGACACCCAGCTACGGCAGATTTTCATGAACCCACTAGTTATGGCTATGCTTGCAGACCACTCATGGGGCCCATCCTATCTGGATCCAAGCCAGCCTTGGATGGGTCAGAGCCTTGGATGGGTCACATACGGCCCAGGCGCTGATGCACTTGTCGAGCTCCACGCACTCAGGCTCCGCCAGCGGTATCCTCAGTGAGAGCCTCCCTCCACTCAACCCACGAGGTTCCAAGGTTCCCAGCCAAGCTTCAGCCAGGTTCCATGTAGATGAGAGGCTACATGGGTTTCGATCTTTAGGGGATCTTTGAAAAAAGGAAGCCAAAAAATGGTGCCCTCCAAAAAAAAAACCAACCTACATGGTTTGCTCTTGTTGCGGGGATCCGTTTGTGCCCCTTTATTTTTGCGAGGGTGGCTTGAAGGGAAAGCAACGGAAATTGCACACCACACACTTGGAGTTGGTACCTGTTTTGAGGGGTAGCTAAAAAGAAACCAGAGGGACGCCAACGAAACACTACGAGTACATGATGTCTGTAGTCATGCTTCCGCTTCGATACCCCCAGTTGTTTAGGCAAAGCCTTGAATCATCTGGCGCGATGATGATGATGATGATGATGATGATGATGATGATGATGATGATGATGATGATGGTGATGATGATGGTGATGATGATGACGATGTGCACAGGACTGAACATGTGTGCTTTACCCTTTTGAAGCCGGTTTGAAGGACCACACAAAAACAAGCCATATTTCCGGCGCTCCATCTATTCTGACACATACCAACATACCCACGTTGACCCCACCATAGGTGGCCTTTTGGAAAAATAGATGGGTTTCCCTGGTAAGTGGAACAAGACCCATCTAAACCAGTGGAACCCATCTATTTTTAACCAGGCCCACCTAAAAAGGACACCTGCGGACCCCACTCATGCCCGCATTGATCCCGTCCCCGTACACCCCGCAAGCTGCTTGGCTAGGCGCAGCTTCAAACCGATCACCTCCCTCTGCACGTTCTGGCGCGGGGCGAAGCTCCGAGCGGGCGCGAAGCGCCGAGCGCTTTTAGGGTCGTCTCACGGCGGAGTGATGGGTCTCTTTTGGTTTGAGGCCTGGTGCCCTGTTCGGATTCAGCTTAACCCATGCTGTGAGTGGTATTTGTTTTTTTGGCGGGGGAGTCTTTGGATTCGGTTTGAAGGGAAACCCAAGCTTACTTTGTTGAAAGGACCTGAAAATACAAGGTGAACCTTCCGGGGCCATGCAGGGAACCAACAAGTCATGTCAGGTCGATTCGCTTAGGTTGCAAATTTTCGCATACAGGGAAAACCATCATTTGAGGAACGTGATTTTAATTGAGGCCCAACGGAAACTACCCGCCTTCAAGCATAATTGAAACTGCGGATTGGATAAGCACAATCTAGGAAGCGGTGAAGTCGGAATGGATGAAACTGGTACTTCCGCTAGGTTGTTTTTTTTTGGGGGGGGGGCGTTCTTAATCGGTAAGCCAACGGGTTCGGGGCTCCCGAATCAACGGATTTGGGGGGGGCTCAACGGCCCAACAGCCCAACAACCCAACAGCCTGGGCCAAAAGGGCCGGATTCTGATGTTTACAAAGGTGCGGCCAATGCTTCGGGGAACGCGGCCGGACTCCTCAATGGTTTGGGGGCCAAGTTTCGACGGAGCGCAAAACCATCGGAGGCTTCCCATGCGATCAGTCGGTGGAATTCCCGAGAATCCGAATCGGTCTGCCATCTCTTCAGCTTGTTTCTCGTGACGTGGAAACACACACACGGCTTGGTTGCTGCAACGACCCCCCTGCAAAAAGTGGACAACTTTTTGGGGTTGTAGTGAAAAACGCCTTGATTTCCCAAAAAGTTAAAGTCTAAAGATCCAACCCAATAGCAGTCAAGCACGAAGACCGCTAATTTGGAGGATATCCCACGCTGGCGCATGGCATCCGATGCATCTCCCTCGGGAGGAATGAAAACGAAAGCAGCTTCACAAGAACCAGGATCGAGAGCAGTCTCGAGCGGTTGCCTGCAGAGGGTTGGTCCAGAAGGCCTTCTCGTGCTCGTCCTCCTCTTGCCGTTCCTCTTCCTGGGCGATTCTGGCTGACTGTATCTACCCCTTTCGGCCCCTGGAACGCATGAGAAAATATGTCGAGTAGTGAACTCCATTCCCTTGAAAACCAACGAGGGAAGAATGAACAACATATTCATTTCAGCAAATGGAAGGCATGGGAGTTCATTTCACACGTTGCCAAACGTGAGAAGCATTTTGGCGAATAAGGGTACCCGATTTGTTTTTGCTGTAGTCTATTTGAGTAGGGGAACCCTCCCCAAAAACAGGGTTGAGAAAGGGCACTACTGGAAGACCTGGCAAAAGTAGCACGCTCAAAACACAGGGGAACAAAGAGTGATCAGCTAAACCGCCAGCTGGAAAGGGACGGGAAACCTTGCCGATTCGCCAAACAAGTGGCAGTCGATCCCCGTTGAATCAAGTGGCAGAAAAACTCTTGGAACACCCAATGGCAAACCAACATGGGAAATGGGAATGCTAGCTCACTTCAAAGGGCACCTTTTGGTATCACAAAAAGGTTGGGATTTCCCACCCACCTCACCCACCCACCCGCGCCTCCCGCTGCCTCTCGAATTGGCCTTTTGCCTCTTCTTCCTTGAGGCGCTCTTGCCTCGGATGGGCTGCGGTGGATGGGCCGCGTTTGAGGAGGGGTTTGGTGGGTTCCGCCTTGGCGCTGGGCTTAGGTTTTTTGTTGAATGAATTGTTTGCAATGTCTGAACTGTCTAAGGGCCCACTTCCACGTTGGAAAGGAGGTACCAGTAATGAAGCTTGATACCCAAGCGAAGGTCCCCCTCAAAGAATTGTTTGTTCTTGAGCATCCGGCCCGCACTCCATCGGGTGCCGTTTCACTTGACTTCATCAATAGAACCCGTTTCTGCTGGTCTGAGAGTCGGAACCCCTGCATCCACGGCCGGTATCTGCAGCTACTCGCCCCGTCAATTCTTTCTCACGAGGTGCTGCATCGCAGTCTCAAAGTAGGCCTTGTTCAAGATCTGGTCGTCCGACTCAGTCTTCACCGCACCGCCTGTGAAGTTTCCGCACTTAGCAGCCTAAAGGGCCATGATAGCCGAGCCACAGTCAACGAATCACCTCATAACTTGCGTTCATGCCGTTTTAGGTGCTTCCCTTTTCGTTTTCCGGGGCTTGGGCATTTTGAAAGGGGTGGGGGGGAGAGCGGAGTCTCTACTTTGGGAGACCCCCTTCCAGCCATGGGGAGTGCCCCAGTTTCGGAATACATGCTGTGGATGGTTGCAGAATCCATTTCGCACCAATTTGGAACCATGGGAAGCCATTGTTTGTTGGTATTGACAGTGGAATCATCTTTTTAGGGTCTCTTAGGTGGTGCAGGATTTCGTCATCCACGGTATTGGAGGCATGACACATTCCCCTTAAATTCCGTGAAACGTGTATAGCAAGAAGTCTAATTAGTTGGCCTCTCCCTCTTAAAATCATCAATGGCAAAATATACAGCAAACGGAACATGACCAGTTCTCCTGAAAACCAAACGGGCCATGGAAAACGTCGCTTCCCCCAAAGGGGGCAGGTAGGTACCAAGGTCGCTGTGGATTGGGAGAAATTATATGGGTGTGTCCATCTGTAGGGGGCCCTCCAAAATGCGTGTTTCCACTTGACAAGCACACAAATGGGGCAACCTCAAAAAAGACCCACCCGTATATCTTCCCTTGTGTGGGGGGGGGGGGGGTTTGGCTCTTTCGCTCCCAACTAACAGTTGGGCTGAGTGTTTGTTGCTTTTTAGTTGGGTTTGGCTGTCCATGTTGCTTTGGAGTTTAGTCCCTGGACTCTTAGTGCAAAAATATATTGTCGCATTTTTGTTCAAGCAATGGGGGTCAATGCAAGCACAAGTGTCTAGCTAAGGGGTGTCATCATCTAAATTGGTCAACAATTGTGTAAAAGGGCTAGAACCCTACAAAACCACCATTCAAGTGCCCACCCAAAAAAGGCCTCTTTTTCTTTTTAAACTTCCTTCAATAAAATAGGAAAGACACCAGGACGAGAGCCACCTACTACTGGCTGCTGGGCACGTTTTGGGCAGATCTGGTTTGAGGGTGAATGGTGAGAAGACCCTTTCCCATCACTACACACCCATCCCTCCCGCTGGCACTGACAAGGGGCCCGTTTTAGATTCCGGGGTCCCCTAGAAGATCCTTCTTTTTTTGCTATTCTTGAAGCACCCTCAAGCGCCCAAGGGCTCGAGTCCCCTCTGAGCAGAGAGCAGCTGGATAATTACATGAGAGTGCACAGGTGGCCTTTTGGAAAAATAGATGGCCCTGGTAAGTGGAACAAAACCCATCTAAACCAGTGGAACCCATCTATTTTTAACCAGGCTCACCCAAAAAGGACACCTATGTGAGCGCTTTTTTTGGTTCTTTCTGTTTTTGGGAGTTGGGGGGGGGTGGTGCGGGGGCCCTTTCACTGTTCAGAAAAGGACGCCCAACAGGCGGGGGCCCACTAGCACTCGCTATCACTAGTTTGACACATGTGGGTAAAAACCAAAAAAACGCTCGGCCTACGATCACGTAAAAGTTGAAGACCATTGTGCCGCAGATGATGCTCACAATCACCAGCACCAAGACATCAATGAGAGTACCTCAATCCGGACGGGCCCCCGACAGCGACTTTAAAAAAAAAGCCGAAAGCCCAGCTTCCCAGGCTCACTCAAACAAAGCCCAAACTTTTTGGTTGCCACTCCAACCTGTCCCAAACCCAACAAGACAAGCCCAGGAACTCAGGGGGCGAGTTCCAAAAATCGACCCTTCCAGGAAAAAACCGAAACCCTCTACGATCCGTCGATGCGTTGCTTTGTGGTTCTTTTGATCACCGATTTTTCTGCCTATGTGCGATCCCTCCCCGTCCAAGAACCACTTACTCCTTGAGTTCCTGGACTTTAGGCACGTTTTGGGCTAGTGGCAACTCACTTCCTGAGCTGTTTGTCTACCACTCAAATGGTCCAAACCCGAACATAGTTTCAAGTCCGAAACGGAACTCAGGAAGGGAGAAGACAAGTGTGGTTGGCCACTTGTTTGGCCCAGTCAGAAAGTGAGACCAGCCAGGTTCCCATGGCTCCGTGTGCCGACCAAAGCTGAAACCTGCAGCTTGCCATGTTTTAGGAAGGGACCGTTTCTTTTGGTTGGCTCTTGGATTTTTAAGCTGGAACCAACAGGAAAACCACAAAAACAAAGCTTGCTTGTTTTTTTTTTTGATTTCAAGACAAACCCACGTGGAAACAGACATTTCTGAAGTCAAACAAACTCTTGTCGGTGTATCCCCGTGTTGTTTCCATAGAATTTGGTGGGGATCACACATTGATGAAGCGAATTTACTGATGTAACTGGGCTGAGCGGCTGTCCGTTTTCGGATGCCCCGCGCCAAGCTTAACTTGTGGATGAAATGGAAATCCAACCACTCAACCTTTACAAAAGATCTAAAAAGCTAAGTCTCAGTTGCCCAAAGGACCTGCAACTAAAAGGTTAACCTTTTGGGGCCATGACTAAATATGGACCAAAACGGAAAAACCAAAAGGCCAAAAGATCGGCTTTGAACAACTCAGAAGTTGAAGCGGATGGCTGTCTCCGCCTACGGGCGCTTCGCATTGCGAGCTATCGAGCGGCTGGTCGCGTTGATGGTGCCCTGGTACTGGCTGGCCCGGTTGTGCTTGGACACCATCTCCTGCGTTCGAAAATCGAAGATGGTTTCCACTACCCCCAGACTTCAAATTACCAACCCAGGGGAGAACATGGATATACCCCCTTATGTAGTGGGTTTACAGTGGCTGAATGTTCCACTAAACCCTGGAGATAGTGATTTTGGGGTAGTGAAAGCATATTTTACAAAAGGTGCGGAAAAGTCGCAGGTGCTGGCATGTGCTGGCACGCTATCTGTCAGGGCCATGTGGATGGACAAAATCCAGCACCAGTTGGTAGGTGGTTTGTAGAATCATCAATTTCAGCTGGCCATTGCAACCTAGTGGTGACTATTTGGTTGCAATCAGGGGCCAGCAAAGACCATCTAGGCCGTCCGTTGGGATCTTGCTATGGCTCCGAATCGGCATTGCACAAAAGAAACATCTTTCGCAATGAATAGCACGCTTACCAGCTCAGTTACAGGAAGCCCCGGTGAACCCATGTGAGCAGCGACCCATTGACTCTTCCGGCCATAACCGCAATTCAACAGGGATCCTTACATTATACACCTGAACATTGCCTTGCAAATGGTGGTGTCCCTTTATTTTGGCGGAAAAAGCCATGTTTCAACCGGGCAAATGTATCATTTAAGGCGACCTGTTCAACTAGGCAGTAAAACCTACAAATGCCCACAGGCAAGGGCTTTGGGCGCTGCTCATGTCGGACTCCGCAAGTGAGCCTTTCGGCTGACTGAGGCTCTAGTTGCGGGTGAGTTCGGAAACCCCGTGGTTTAACAAGACAATATAAGCATCTACAAGCAAAAGAGCCACCTGCAACCCAGGACGCTTCCCCCCAGGGTCAAATCCAATCCGAAAGCTGTCGGACCATTTCCCGAACCCTCCGCTGGCCTTGAAGGCAGCCATGAAGGTCAAGAAGGCCATGCACCCGGTGAGCACGGACTCCTGAGTGTAGTCAGTTTTCCCGGTGCCTGCAATAGCTTAGGGGAGATGGAGAACACCAGATGGGGAACAAAAATGCTGCCGTAGCCTCCCATTCTCCTTTCAGCCTGCCTTTCACTCACTTCCCAAAAGGAATGGGCTGGATCCCAACCAAGAAGTGGACCACACTTTTGTTTTGTTTTTGGCCACGATATTTTGTGCCAACCAAAAAGTGACTGAAGTCCAGGAACTCAGGGAGTGCGTTTGAAGGTGAGGTGCCCAGTGTGTGTGTGTGTGTGTGTGTGTGTCGACCACCTCGACTTGCCCAATCCCAGCAACTCGCCCCACCTCAATGTTCAACAGCCTGGCGTTGTAGGGGAAGAGCACGATCAGTGCCTTGGAAATGTCTTGGAGTCAAGCGGCGAGCCGGCAAGCTTAAGGCAAGCAAATGTTAACAGAAAAGCCTGCAAGGACCAGGCCGTCTCTGACACATTGAGGTGTGTCTGGGGGACCCGACTTATACCGACTCATACCCTTCCTTCCACAGACAACGCACCGTGTGTACCTGCAGGACCCCCGGTTCTAGTAGGATGCCCAAGTTGGTTTTGGCGGGCCAAGCAAGCGGCGCCCACGTGTCAAGAGAAGCTCTTGAGACTTTCAGGTTTTGAGCTCCGGTTGCAGGCCAGAACCAGAACCAAAATGAAGGCTGTTCAAACCATGGGCATATGGAGTTGCTGACTTTAAGCCCCAGAAACAGCCACAAGCCGACCTTTGAGAGATTCTTGGGTTTCGCGGTTGGGCTTCACCACACTTGTTGGAAAAGCCTCAAAATATGCACTTGGACGCCCCCCAAAATTGTGGCGGTTCTCTTGGCTTCACTTTAAAACCAACAGAAACACAACTGAAACAAGGGCACTGCGCCTTTCCAGCGTCTCTCTCGGATTCAACAGGGCTCCCTACATAGGGACCCCTGACGTTTAAAACCACAAAAAACATAAACATACGGACCCCTGCCGTTTCAAACCACCCAAACAAGGGAAAGAGCTCGGGACCCCTCATGTGTTTAAAACCACCTCCCCGCCCAAAAAAAAAAGGAAAGAACTCGGGACCCCTGACGTTTAAAACCGCCAAAAGGGGAAAGATCTCGGGACCCCTGATGTTTAAACCACCCCCCCCAAAAAAACAAAGGACATATAGGGACCCCTGATGCTTCAAAACCACCCAAAACGGGACAGACCCCGCGTCCCCTCCCGGATCTCTCCCGGGCGCCGCGAAGTTGATCATGAAGACCATGGACTGCGCGGCGGCGCCAAAGGGGGGGAAGTCCGCCGCGATCAGCGAGGTCAGCATCAGCGCGAACTGCCGGAAGAAGGTGCCTCGATCAGATGGGTTTTTGCTCCCAGGGAAGCCCGTCTGGCGCGAAGCTCCATCTTGGGTGATTCTGTAAGGGGAATGCCATGCAAAGGGGATGCCCTCAAAAACAGAGAGGGCCCCATAATAGGCTTCCACGTGCTTTTTCGGCCTGTGGGAAAAATACAAATATGTCCAGTAGTGATAAATTCCATTAAGCAACTGACAGTAGGCGATTCTGAAGGGAATGCCATGAACAGGGGATGGCCTCAAAAACAAAGAAGCCACATCTGGCTGGGCTTAAGGGACGAGCAAGCGATTTAAGGGACGAGCAAGCGAGGGGAGAACGATTCTTCTTACCCACTAACGAATGGCAAACAAGCGGAATGGCTGTTTCCAATCACCAGCCTATAGGGGCGTGAGTGCTCTGTGCATCCTGAACAAAAGCACGCACCCACGTACAGGTGAAACAGGGTGATTTGCTGATGCGGTGTCCAAGTGTCCCTTCCCCGTTTCCATTTCAGACACACCAGGAAGGGCAAGAACAACACGCACACACACACACACACACACACACCCATAAGCTGGGTTAGAGGCAAAGCAGTTCACAAGGTAACTGGCAAAGCGCAGCTTGAAGCGCACCCTTCTGTCAATACCCTCCCAACAACAAAAAGATAATTACCTGCTGACGGTCCCTGCTGACAGTCCCTTTCAGGATACACCTCAGAACCACCTGATAGGCCCCTGAAACAGCAGGAGTCGAGGTGGCCTTCAATATGGCCAAGGTGTAAATCCCTGAAGGAATCCCGCCACAAGCACGAATGTCGACATCCCTTCCGAACTTCCGAGGGTCTGAAAATCAGCACCCAGCCGTAGGTCACATAGGAGCCGTCCAATTGGTCGGGCCAGCTTTGCTTCTCCGAAAAGGCCTCCTTGTTCTTCCACTTCAGCTTGATCTCCCTCAAGTTGACCTCGTCCTCAAGATTGGGCGACCCATTGAACGAGGTTCATGGGCTCAGGACTTCGGCTCGAGCCGGGACCAAAATCAAACTGGCACCCGGTTCGAGTCCGCCGAGTTAGGCTCCCCTTCTCCCGCCCTGACATGCGCGCCAAGGGGTCCCGCCCTGGAACGGAACTCGCGGGGGGTGCCCAAGTCCAAGGAGGGACTACCAAGGCAAGGACCCTCCAATCGCAAGCTTCAAACCGCTTGTCCAAGAAAAACCCGACAACTCTTCACCAGTCTGAACCTTGATGTAGCGACCCGAGGCCCATGGAAGCAGAACTGTTCTTGGCAGTTGATTTACGGAAACCCTCTCCGACATAAGGTGGCCTCCCCAGCAGCCCAGAACTTTCTGCAACCCTCCTGTTGAACCCTGAGAGCTGCCCAAGACCACCCCAAACGAGCCTATCTGGGGCTGTCAGCTTGGGGAAAGCCCACGTGACACGCCCGCAGCAACCAAAACATAGCGGGGGCAGAGGCGTCGATTCGCCCGTCCTCCAGCGTCGCCTTCCTCTTGCGCATGTCCGCCAGCTCCTGGAGCGCCCGAATCCGCGGCGATTTTGTCTTTACGGGATGCCCGACATCTCGCAAGTAAACAAACCTCAGCATTCAGGTATCTAGGGGTTGATCTCCCATTCTTTTCAACCATGGTTCTTTTCAAAAACCGGCTGTTTCCCCTGGGTTTTTGATGGTTTCCTGAAAAGAAGGATCCCTGGAAAGAATGGAAATGGAAGGTACCCCTAGAAGTTTACAGAGCTTGCAACTAGCAAGGCAATGTTTAGGGCAACCCTGGCATCTGCAAATTCGAGAATCCAAAACCTGAGCCAAGGCATTCCCAAAATGAGCTCGTTTCGGCGCTTAAGTCTCTACACCAAGCGGGGGGGTTCTAAATGGAAAGGTTGCTGGGAACCCAATCCCTGCCAAGTACCAGCACTGCTCAGGATCTACTCCCTTTTCCATGGCAAGTACCTCCTTTTTTAGTCAGTATCGCTAACCTAACTAGGTCCTCCAGCAGGAGAGGTTAGAACAAGGGTACCCTTTTTGGAACCCTCCCCCCCAAAAAAAAAAGGCAAAAGGGCACTATACTGGGGGACCTAGCTAAAGTCCCTGTTGTCCACCACCGGCTTCTAGAAAGTCTAAGCCCTGATTTAAAGCAATTCAGAGCCCAAGATCAGCTCCTTGCACCTCCGCCCCCCCAACAAAACAATATAGCGCCTTGCACCCCCCCCCCTGCCGAAAAAGAAAAACACTGCTCCTTGCACCTGCCCCTGCCCCAAACAGAAACCAATACAAACATAACACGAGCTCGTTCCATCACTCCAGCGAAACCCGAAACCCCACAAGCCGACAAGCCGGTTTCGGCTCCTTGTCTAGCTCCCGGCCCGCCTGCGGCACCACGGCAGCACCCCGCTGCTTCATCTTGGCCTCGCCACGGAAAACAAAAACGAGGATTCGCCCCCAATCCTACCGCTCTGCAGATTGGGACCACACAAATCCATGTGCATGTGGGGTTGTCAACTTTTTACATCCTCCCCCTGCAAATTCAAATGGAGCCCAAAACGGGGGCCCCCCAACAGTGAGTGTGTGTGTGTGTGTTGCGTTTTTGAGGTTCCCCGTAAACTGCCCACCCCGTTTATCTGCAAAAATGCGTGATTACAATACTTCCAGCTGAAAAACGGAAGGTCTCCAGGTCTTGTCAGACCTTCCCGGCTTTCGCTCGTTTCTGGCCCATAGTCAACAAGTCGCCCATAGCCAAATTCTGGACCGCACTTAGAGCCCCTGCCAAAGTTGTAAGAATGGTGCAAGTTTAACTAGACGACGAGTGGCCCGGAAGCATAGAGGCAAGTTGATGCAGGTGAGGTAACTCTCGCAAAGTTAGCATGAGGAGTTGGCAGGCGAAGCAATTCTCAAAAAGTTGGCATGAGAAGCTGGCAGGTTAAGTAACTCTCGAATAGTTGGCTGGCAAAGTTGGCGGGTGAAGTAATTCTCGCAAAGTTGACATGAGAAGTTGGCAGGCGAAGTAACTCAAGAGAAAAGTTGGCATGAGAAGTTGGCAGGTGAAATAACTCTCAAAGAGTTGGCATGAGAAGTTGGCAGGTGAAGTAACTCTCGAAAAGTTGGCGTGAGAAGCTGGCAGGTGAAGTAATTCTCGAAAAGTTGGCACGAGAAGATGGCGCGTGAAGTAACTCTCGAAAAGTTGGCGTGAGAAGCCGGCAGGTGAAGTAACTTTCGAAAAGTTAGCATGAGAAGTTGGCAGGCGAAGTAATTCTCGAAAAGTTGGCGCGAGAAGTTGGCAGGCGAAGTAACTCTCGAAAAGTTGGCAGGCGATGTTGGCAGGTGAAGTACCTCTCGAAAAGTTGGCATGAGAAGCTGGCAGGTGAAGTAATTTTTCGAAAAGTTGCCACGAGAGGTTGGCAGATAAAGTATTTCTCGAAAAGTTGGCATGAGAAGTTGGCAGGTGAAGTAATTCTCGAAAAGTTGGCAGGTGAAGTTGCCACGAGAGGTTGGCAGGTAAAGTATTTCTCGAAAAGTTGGCATGAGAAGTTGGCAGGTAAAGTAATTCTCGAAAAGTTGGCATGAGAAGCTCGCAGGTGTAGTAACTCTCGAAAAGTTGGCATGATAAGCTCGCAGGTGAAGTAACTCCTCGAAAAGTTGGCACGAGAAGTTGGCAGGTGAAGTAACTCTCGAAAAGGTGGCATGAGAAGCTGGCAGGTGAAGTAATTCTCGAAGTTTCGGCATGAGAAACTGGCAGGTGAAGTAATTAACCCTCAAAAAGCTGGAGCGGCGGAGGCGCTCCGCGTGCTACATTTGCAATTTACAGTTGCGATTTTCCAGCCATTTGTATCTAAAAGTTGCGATTTTCCAGCCGGAGCTGCGGGAGCACGCTCCGCGTACTACGTCTGTACTTAAAAAGTGCGATTTTCCAGCCGGAGCTGCAGCAGCCTCCGCGTACTACGTCTGTACTTAAAAGTTGCGATTTTCCAGCCGGAGCTGCAGGAGCACGCTCCGCGTACTACGTTTGTACTTAAAAGCTGCGATTTTCAAGCCGGAGCTGCCGCGGACCAGGGGGGAATCGAACCCGGGACCGCGGGATTGCGAAAGCAGGCGCGCACACCACGAGACAACTTCCAAAAGCCGTTTCGCGAGCAAGAAAATCGCACGGTGCCACAGCGAGAGCGCTTCGACACGCACGATCTCCGCAGAGGGTTCATCGGGCTCAAGACAGATGCGCACGGCGCCACAGCGAGAGCGATCCGACACGCACGATCCCCGCAGAGGGTTCATCGGGCTCAAGACAAATTCGCACGGCGCCACAGCGAGAGCGCTTCGACACGCAGGATCTCCGCAGAGGGTTCGCCAAGGTCAAGACAAATTCGCACGGCGCCACAGCGAGAGCGCTTCGACACGCACGATCTCCGCAGAGGGTTCGCCGCGCTCAAGACAAATTCGCACGGCGCCACAGCGAGAGCGCTTCGACACGCACGATCTCCGCAGAGGGTTCGCGGGCTCAAGACAAATTCGCACGGCGCCACAGCGAGAGCGCTTCGACACGCACGATCTCCGCAGAGGGTTCGCCGCGCTCAAGACAAATTCGCACGGCGCCACAGCGAGAGCGCTTCGACACGCACGATCTCCGCAGAGGGTTCGCGGGCTCAAGACAAATTCGCACGGCGCCACAGCGAGAGCGCTTCGACACGCACGATCCCCGCAGAGGGTTCATCGGGCTCAAGACAAATTCGCACGGCGCCACAGCGAGAGCGCTTCGACACGCACGATCTCCGCAGAGGGGTGCGTTTCGTAAGCTCCCGTCGGGCCTACCCCCGCCATAAAAAGAAGAAGAATTAAGAGTCGAGATGTGAAGGTAGAACAGAAAAGTTAGCTTGTGTTTTTAGGATAGTGAAGTAACACCCGACAAATTAGCTTGTGCTTTTAGTAGAATGAGATAACAGCCGAAAAGTTGACATGAGAAGTTGGCAGGTGAAGTAACTCTCAAAAAGTTGACATGAGAAGTAGGCAGGTGAAGTAACTCTCGACAAGTTGGCATGAGAAGTTGGCAGGTGAAGTAACTCTCGACAAGTTGGCATGAGAAGTTGGCAGGTGAAGTAACTCTCGACAAGTTGGCATGAGAAGTTGGCAGGTGAAGTTGGCAGCCGCTTTTAGAAGAAGAACCCTTCGCAATGCTTCCGGGAAAAACCAAGGCTGACAGTTGAAAAGCCTGCCATTTCTCAATTTGCAATCCCTTCTTCGATATTGTTTTTTCCTTTAAACCATATTCTATGTTATGCTATGCCTTGTCCTTGGTCGTTTTGTATTATCATTATATTCTGCTTTAAGACAAAACAACACATGGACATCCCGTCGCCCATGGCGCGTTTTTCCCGCGCCCCGGTGCAGCCGAGCCCATGGCCGGAGGCCCCGAACCCCGCCTCCATGAGGGCCCGCTTGGCCGCAGCCTCCTGGTCCTTGCCCGAGGGGTAGGTGCGCACCGCCACGATGTTGCCTAGAGCCGATGGCATCCACGCGTTTTGTTCTTCTTCTTGTCTTCTTTCCTCTTTTGTCTGTTTTGTTTTTTGGTTTGTTGTTGCTTTCCTTTTTGTTTCTCGTTTTGTTTTTTGGTTTTGCTTTTTTTGTCCTCTGGAGGGCGTTGATGTTGGCATTTTTGGCCACGTTGTGGCAGATGTGTCATGCCAGTTTTCGTATACAGGTCCCATGGTGGCAGATGTTTCATGAGATGTACTTCTGACGTTTGTGTGTATAGCCATCGTTGTGCAGGAATATGCTACATAACAGCTTTACACAACAGCAGGTCCCAGATGAGGTTATTTCCGTGGTACCTGCAAAATCCCCCATGGTCAGTTGGTGTCTTCGTTCAGCAGGTCATTGCCCATACAGGTTGGTGCTGCTTGGGCGGGAATGAACATGGGAAGAACCACGCGTATGAATCGCGACCTCTAGTCTAACCATGTTACAAGCAAACCACGACTGACAGCAACGACAACCAAAACCAAGAATGAAGGACCCAACATCTGTTTGCAATGATACGGTTGGGAACCCTCTGCGAAGCCGGCCCTTGGAAGCCAACACCTTCGCGACGCATGCCCTAGGCTGAGACTACTACCAGCCTTCACACGGCCGGCTCTGATGACACGTGGCATCCAGAGGAAAAACAAAAAATGGATTCCTCACGGATTTTTACTTATAGGGGTTCAAACAGGGTCGTTAGACATGTATTGTCATATGCTCTGGGCTTTGTAATGTTTATCTCTCTCTCTCTCCCCCTCTCCCTCTCTAGAATCAGGAACACATAATTACGCACTTCAGCGGATTCTTCAAAACAAATCTATCTCTCGCTCTCCCTCTCTAAACAAAAAAACCGGGGTTCAAAAGCTCCGCGTTTTTCACATGAGCCACTCGAGGCGAAGGCTTCAGTTAGAAGCGCCTAACAGCAGGCGAGCAGCTGAGAACTCGCAGGCGGACCACTTCCACCCATCCCCTGGCACGAGGCCAACGGCACGGCCGGCCGCTTTCAACTAAGGTGCTGAAAGCGGGAGAGAAAGAGAGGGAGAGAGAAATTCAAACAAAAGAAGGAAAGAAGGAAAGAAGGAAATAACACATAAATCAAGAAAGAAGAACGAACAAGAGAAAAAGAAAGAAAGAGAGAGAGAGAGAGAGAGAGAGCGAGAGAGAGAGAGAGAGCGAGGGAGAGAGAGTGAAGAAATCAGCCGGGTTGGTCAACATGCAGACATCCCAAATCCTCAGCAATTCGGGACACCACAAATCGGGAAATTGGTTGCTATCTGGCATGGGGATTGAGTGAAAGGCCCCATCTGAAGCCGCCCATGATTCTTTCCCTTGCACTCAATTGAGTAAAAACAGCTAAACCGTCAAAAGGTGGCTTAGCACAGCATGGAACAAATATGGAGTGTGTGTGTGGTGTGTGTGTGTGTGTGTGGGTGGGAGGTTGAATCTTCGTCAACTCCCAACTCCCAGCCATTCTCACCCAACCAAACAAGGAGTTGGTGTTTGCTGAGTGGGGGACATCGTCCGAGTAGAGCTTGATTTTGATATGACTCTAGTCCTGTGGGTGCCCTCGGGCTTAGCATACGGAGGCCCAAACGTTCCATACTAACCCGGAACTGCTTGAGGTGTCTCAAAAGGACCAGTTTTGGACCTGAATTCCAGCACGACCGGAATTCAAAAGGAAAAGGTGAGGTCGATTGCCCGCGTCCTGCGTTTTGTGGGGGTTAGGCAAGAGATCACGAAGGACAAATCTGGGGGTGGGTCAAAAATAGGAACCCAAGATGGAACCCCAGTAATTGGTTGGAAACAATGATGCGCTCCCGTGGTCGCTCCCCCCAACTTGCAACTGGTAGCGACCAGGATTCCGTTCGATGCGGGCTTCTCAACAGACCCTGGCGCCAGAAACTTGGGCCCCGAAAAGGGGGATTCCCTTGTATCACAGAAGTGGGGAGAAACCCCTTGTGATCCCACAACCCTGAACCCTAGTAATTGAATGAAAACCATGGGGCCCCGAAAACAAAGACAAAAGGAAGCCGCCGCCGCCGCAGGCCAAGGGCTGGGACTCGGAGTCCGAGCCGCTCTTGAGCGAACCTAAAGGTTAGATCCAAGCTGGGCTGCCCTGAGCCATCCGGTTCCCTAGCTTTCAGCTTGTTATTTTTTTAGTGTTCGGTGGGGATTTCCATGTCACCCACTAAAAGTTAAGCTTTTCGCGGGGAATCTGGGAAGCACCGAGAAAAGGGGCCCCGCCGGGCCTCATGTTTTCCACGCTCATCTCCACCGCCGCCACATAGATTGGGATGCGGTCTCCTGGGTCCGATTTTTTGTTGACAGGTTGCGGAATCGCACAAATCCATGGAAGCTATCTGTCAGACCCCTATGTTCCCTAGTTGTTCACTTTTGGAGGGCCCAATTCGGCAAATACACAAAGATTGCACCAAGTTGAAGCCCAAAGATCCGTTACCAAATAGCCAACAAGGGAACCCAACAGTACATGTACAAACTTTGATTTGGTTGGAAATCCAAAGCCCCCGGACCAACTCACTGTTTGATAGCTATAAAGTTCGCATAAACTTGGTTGACGTTGGAAAGGGAGCAACAACTCTGAAATTTTAGAAGTTGAGTGGTTGGATTCCAACCACTAAACCGCAATAAGCAAAAATGTAAAATGTTTCCCAACAACAACCATGTAAAAGAAGTTGGCCATAAAGTTGGCATAAAGTAAATTGCCCTTAAAGTTAGCCAAATAGCCATAAAGTTTGCCGGGAAGTCCCAAGTTGGCCTAAAAAGAATCCTCCAGCAGAGAGGTCAGAATAAGGGTACCCTTTGCTCTGGAGTCTGTAGTCTATTTTAGGGGGAACCCTCCCCAAACCAAAAAAGTTGGTAAAAGGGCACTACTGGGGGACCTAGTTGTATTTGAAGGAGAGCTGTCGGCTTGCCAGCTGAGGAGCGGGTCTTGGTACCAGCCTGCCAGTGGTAGCTCCAGTAGAGGCACACGTTCCTCACATCCGACGGACGGAGTTCCACGGCTCTTCCCGCTGTGCAAAACCCGAAGCGCTGAAAAAGAACAGTTGAAAAGGGGGAGGGACCTGGCAGGTAATTTTTCTGAAAAACAGTTGAGGGGGGGAGGGGGGGGACCTGGCAGGTGGTTTTCTTTTTTTTGCTCAGAAGGGAAAATCATGGAAACCCACAAGTTCAGGCTGCTGAAAGATGGAGCTTCATGATTCATGATTTGATGGGCTTTACAGGAAGGAAGAACTCCTCTTCCAGCAAACGCAGACAACTGCAAAAGTTCTCATATAAATGCTGTCGGAACCCCCAAAAAATCATGCACCGGGCAACCAAAAGAAGCCAAAGCAAAACGGCCCGCCAAACGAAAAAACGAAGCCGCCATGGCTCAGCGTGGCGAAGCCAGTGGCGAAGAGCACCCAGAAGAAGCAGGCCACCGAAAAGATCAGGAAGTAGCTCTCGTCCGTCAGGCTGCCTCGGATCGATGCTTTTTGAGGGATCCGAAAAGGAGCGACCGGATATGGCTTTGACATGGCCGAGCTCCTGGGTGGTGTTGATTATTTTTGTTTGGTTTCGTGTTTAGGGGCCGGGGGTGCAGCTTCTTCGACCGCGATCCGAAAGGCGGAAAAAGGGGTTCCTCTTCGTGCATCCCTCAGTGGTTTCGCAGCATTCCTCCAACTGGTGGTTCGGATTGGTTTGGAGGCATGGCTTCCTATACATCTCTACTCTTGGTACGGTGGCAAAAAACTGACTGTTTTTTGCAAACGCCCTGTAAAAACTGAACAGAAGCAAAAAAACAAAAAAACATCGCCAAGAACGGTGAAGTATAGCTCCCCTCCTGTCCACTTAATTACCCCCCTTTCGCTCCCACGCTGGAGTACCCCACGTCACGGGGTTCACATGGCGGCTTCTCAAAAGGGATCCCTTGGATGGCGGGTTTCCCCAGAAAACCCGCCGCCTAGCGGAGCCCCCAGCTTCCGGAGCCGATCTTCCCCCCGCACCCCGCACCAAAAAAAAGGAAGCCCCCCGAATGAATTGGATCCCAAACTTCCATTTGCTGAAGCACCCTGGAAAGAAATAGTAGTGATAGGTTCCCTTTAAAAGCAAGATAGGAAAATAAAACAAAGCTATATTTATAAAGCAAAGCAAAGGCCACAGATTCCAAGCCCCTGGAGGAGTTTGGGTCCGAAGCGCAACGGATGTCCTGAGACTCCAACATCACCGAAGACCCGTCCTGCAGGCAGCTTTTCATGGGACCTGGCCTGGATGAAAGTTGGGAACATAGTTGACTTTTTGATTGGAAAAGTAGATGGCAATGGTAAATGGAATGACACCCATCTAAACCAGTGCCATCTATTTCTTTCCAAACCTAGAAAGGACACCTATGCATTGGTTGGTTGTGGCCGACGATTCTCCAAGGTTCATTTTCCTGAGAATTGACTTGCCCCTCAGAACCCTGAAAATTAAAGGAGATCACCCTTCTGGGTTGCCAACACTTTCAATGGACATCCGGGAGACCGAAGGTCAGGCCGATTCACTCAGTGGAAGGTAAACTCTTTGGAACCTCGATTGGGCATGCAGAAACGCAACGGGTTCATCGGCAACCACGCAGCACCGCGCCGCTTGAGCGTTCGGGTCGGATCTGCAGGGCCAAAGCGAAGCAGTCATGGAGAGACACAGGGCTCTCTTCATTTCCCCTTTTCACATTACACTCAAAACTCCCCCAAGCTGGTGATGTTTAGACCCAAGCGGAGAAGGATTTTGCTAGTGGCAAAGCCGTCCATCCTTGAGGCTCTTGCACTGGAAGGGCGAGCTCAGTTTGCTCATGTGCATCCTTGGCAGCGCAGGGACCCCGGAAAGCCCCGTCTTGGGATTGATGGGGGGCATACTCCTTCCCATGGGTTGCAGGAATCCCTCTATGGGTTGCACACGCATTCGTGACCAGATGTTGCACAAGCAAACCAAAAAGCCAGGTCGCTTTGCTTCCTAGTCTAGCGACCTTGCTCCCATTTGCCAACTCTGCCCCTGTTCCCTTCCGTTTCTCAAAGTCCCGGCACGATCGAAACGGACGCTGGCCGGCTGAGAGGTCAGAAGTCGGCCAAAGGAGTGACACAACCATTTGGCTCACGGGAAAAGCTGACTGGAGACCCTCAAAACAACTGCCCGAACTCTACAATGAGTTCGAGAAGCAAACCACAACTACTCGAATTTGCAACCAGATTCGAGTAAGGGTGGTTGCAATTGACGCGGGTTCTATGCCATTGCGCCCCCGAACATCACCACCCAAAGGAATCCCATCAAAGTAAGCAAAAAGCAGATCCACAACGAGAAAAAATGGCACCCAAGATGCAAACTATGGGGTGTGTCTTTTCTTGAGGCCATCCCCCTTGCCCTGCTGGTTGGTTTTACATTGGAAAGCCAAGTTCAAGCCAACGATCTGTTTGGTCGAAATCCCATTTTGCAGGCTGAGCATCTGGATGAAGAGCAGCAGGATGGTGAGCATGGCGCGGCCCCAGGCGTTCTGAAGGAGCCAACTCTGCACGTCCTCAGCTCTTGTCCCGGGACATGGTTGGATGTGATTGGTTCGCTTGCAATATTTAGAGCGTCCGGATGTCCATAGGTGTCCTTTTGGAAAAATAGATGGCCCTGGTAAATGGAATAAACCCTCCCAACCACAAAAGAAACGGTAAAAGTTGGCACCTATCTGGGAAACCTAGAACTCCATCAGCCGCACAGTTTCGATTTTCCACTGGGCACCCCCGCGCGATACTGGGGGTCCCCCCGGCTCTCGCGGAAGGAGAGGTACCGGACCACTATGTAGGAGAAGGTGATGGGCATCATCATCACGTAGGGTGCCACCGTGAACCTCCGTCTTCTTCGGTTTCCCTTCAAAGCCACCAGAGAAAGGGAACCCTCAAACCCGAGCTGTCCTCAGATCCCCCGCTAAAAGTTTTTAACTTTTGGTGGGCTAAATGGAAATCCCCACTAAACACTAAAAAACTAAAAGCTAAGATGGATGGCTGGGAGCCACCAAGAAACGATGCCACAACCAAATAGGGAGGACTGAGCTCTCCCTGCGCTTGCCCTGGGCCCTCGCGGCAAGAAATGGCAAGAAGGCAAGAAGTAGTTCAATTCCAAGCCGCCAATCCAAGCCACCAAAAGCTTTTACTCAAGAACCCAAACCAAACACACGAACCACACAGCGAAGCTGCTGGCGTTCCAAAGGAGTGAGGGGCGAGCTGAAGGAACGCAGATATGGCGATAGCACAAGGAGCGTCCCGCGCCGAGGCAAGCAAATTTTCCGGATCGGCATGGATTGGCCCCTTTTGTAGCCGCTTGGATCCCCACCCCCTCCCCCCCTGGTAAGGACATGGCATGGCGATGAGGCTCCTTTGCTACCTTCAAGTCTTGAGGGGGCAACCCGGACAGAAAGGCCCCGATGCAGATAAAAGGGAGGGGGGGTGTTGAGGCCACACCTTTTGGAGCGGATTGAAATACAAGCCAACAGCAAATCGCCATTTTGGGGCGTCCCCGATATGTTTCAAGGCAACATGCGGACCCAGCGCGTTCGCGGCTCGATGGAACCCAAGGCACCCCAGCCAGGTCTGCCAAAAGGGGCTGGACACGCTGCACTCCGCTTTGAAGAAGTCAAAGTTGAAGGTAAAATTCCTTCACACCAACGGTATGGTCATCAGCAAAAGACTGACTGTTTGTTACAGCCCCCTACTAACTAAATATGAACAGAACCCACCAACACACACACACACACACAAAAAAAAAAAAAAACTTGCCAAGACAGTGAAGGCGCCCAAGGACCGCCATGACCTTCGTGAAGAGTTCCTGAGCCGAAGATTCGGAACAGGGTTCAGCTAAAATGCAAGGTGCCCCCTGGGGTGGAAAGCTGAATTTCTACTCCTCTTGATATCATCAATAATGTCATTATTAATATCTTTCTTTGGGGGGGATCATTCAACTAGAACCTCTGAGTCGATATCATTATGAATATTGTGGATGGACAAAAACCACTTCGCACCACCTAAGAAACCATGGCTGCAACCATGGTTTGTTGGTATTGACAGTGGAATCGAAGCATTCCAGGGTTTGGGGGTCATTCAAAATAGCACCGCTAAGACAAAGCCAACCCAGACCTACGGCGTCACGGTGGCCATGGGCAAAAAGAGGCTGCCAATCACCCAAGCCTTCCGATCCCCAGAGTTGGAGAAAACCTTCGACATGAGCCACTTCTTGGTTGCGAACTCTGCTCCCCTGCGAAAAGTTGACTAACTTTTGGTGGTTTAATACGGAAAACCCATGAGTTGGCAAGAAGTTAAAGTCCTAACAGCCAAGCAAAATGCAACAAAGACTTAGTTCCCGAAGCCAAAACGAGTCCTTCCCAAGAGCATCTGGCAACCCCACGGGCGGTTTGAACTTTCTTTCGGTGCGCCGAAAGCAAGATCCCAGTTTATGAAAAACAACTGTACCTGGGGCACAAATGATCAAAGCGAGTTGCGAAGCAAGCAACCTTTCTCGCATTTCTCACGGACAAAGCTAGCGCGACTTTTTCACCTCCACCCCCCTTCCCAACTCCTAATAAAGAGTCACCCATTCCAAAAACCTGCAAGCTTTGCAACTGGATGCCTCTCTTTATGTGATGAGCATCGGGCCATTCCAGGTCAATCTTCTTGATGCCGTTGAAGGACTGCATGATCCCTAGCGACATCGTGATGAGCCGCATTCCTGATGCGCTCAGCTCCTGGGCCCGGGGGAAGGGGGGTTGATCTACGGGGAAAATCCGTATGCGGCAAAATAGGGGGGCCTTCAAATTGTGGACTTTCCTAGCGGTGTCCCTTTAAACCAGCCCCACAAAGGGCACGCTCAAAAAACAAAACACCCACCCAACCCCAACCCCAACCCCAACCCCGACCCCAACCCCAACCCCAACCCCAACCCCAACCCCAACCCCAACCCCAACCCCCCACACACACACACAAACAAACAAACAAACAAACAAACAAACAAACAAACAAACGAACAAACAAACAAACAAACAAACAAAACAAACAAACAAAACAAACAAAACAAACAAAACAAACAAAACAAAACAAAACAAAACAAAACAAGCAAACAAACAAACAAACACACAACAACGCGTGCGAGCGTGCGTGGCGCCGCGCACACCAGATCTTGTCGTTGGGTCCTTTCCATCGCCCAAAAAGGCTCCGTCCTTGGCGTCGGAGCTGTCCAACTCGGCCTCCTCCTCATCCTTCTCCGTGCGCGGGGCTCGGAAGAGGCAATAGATCCTCGGCGCTGCTTAAAGTTGTCATGGGGCATAACCTATGGCGAGCCATTTTGGGGTGGATGAACATCCATTTGCCACCTATTTTGATGTTCACCAGGGGTACAGAGTTTTGACCCACAGCCAAGTTGGCATGGCTCGACTTTGGCTTGGCGGCGGCGGCACGTTGTCCTAAAATCAGGGGCTCCTCGATTTCCACTTGTTTGGACCAATGTGGGTGTGGCTCAAAATTAAACAGCCAGGGTTACGCAGGTTGTAGTCTACTCTTCCAGTTGCCAGGGTTCCATTGTGGACCCCTATTTTTAAGCCACATCCATGTAGCAAGCAAGTGTTGACATCACAGGTTGTAACTTTTCAACAGCGGCCCGCCGGCCGCGTTGGCTTCTTCTGGCCCAGAACTGCCTCTTCACATTCTCAGCTTCAGGACCCAAAAGCAACAACCGGTGCGTTCTGTCCTGATGGCGGGTAGAGAAAGCCCAAATGCGTTGGTTGCCCCATATGTAATTCCCTTAGGCAGCCTATAAGCAAACACACAACCCAACAGCCAACAAGGAAACAGAACAAGTTCACCTCAACTCTCCTGGTTGGATTTGTGCGGCATTCTACAGGAAACAAACAATTGGCAAACCATGTCTGGGCAAATCTTCTCTTCACCCGTCTGAGGCCGACCCTAAAATAACAAGTTAAACAGCTTCCATTTGCTCTAGCACCTGAAAAAACCAAACAAAAAACCGGAAAATCAATACACAACATTTCAGCAAATGGACAAAAGGTAAGTTAAGTTTGGCAAGGACATCTTGAGCGCCGACGGCCAGAAGCTCTCTGAGCAGCCCACGGCAGAGAGCAGCTCGTCATCTGGTCTTGCACATCCTCAGGATTCAAGCTGATCCAATGAAGAAACTTCCCTCCTCTACAAATCAACAAGCGTGGGGGTTCAAAAGGGGGGTCCTCTAGAAATCGTGTGTTTTTTTTGGGGGGTGCCATGTGAATCTGCAGGAGGGTACATCCATGCACATGTCTCGAAGGTCGATTCCCTCACGCCAAATACAAAGCTGACCAAGTGAGTGTTGTTTCTTGCCTGTAAATCATGTGGACTTTTGGACAAATAGATGGGTTTCCCTGGTAAATGGAACAAAACCCATCTAAACCAGTGGAACCCATCTATTTTCAACCAGGCTCACCTAAAAGGACACCTATGCCTTAAATTTGATTGGACGTATGGACCCCTCGGACCCCTTCCGCAAAGCCTTCTGCCAAAGCTTCCGCGCCGCCAGCATGTTCCTATGTAAGTGCTTCTGCGGGCCGGGAAGTAGCTTCCGCGAGGGCATTCGCGCGCAGATGCTATGCTAGTAAGAGCAAGCGTAACTCTGGAAAGAGCAAGTCAACCCCATCCCTTCCACGAGCTTGTGGGAAAAAAAGGCTTTCCGCGGATTCCGCGGCCGCAGTGGTGCTACTCACCTTGCTGTTGATATACATATATATCTATATACATACATACGTATGTGTTCACCTCTAGGCATGTCTGCCTGAGCGGGAAAAAGCTTCCACACCCATGTGGGAAATCAAGAGTGTAATCAAGACAACACCGGCAACATCCCAGCCAGCCGCCTTCAACAAAGCGCGCTGCTTGCCAAACAGACTGCGTGTGCCACGGCCCAGTGATTCAGCCGAGCGGCTTGCTCCTCAGCACGAGTTCGCACAAATACGAGCAACGCATCGTAATGGAGCTTTATTTATTTCTCGGCGACCCCGTTTCTGCTCTTTTTTGTGTAACACAAAAACGGGTGCATCGATTTTCAACAAGTACAGGATTCCCCCGAAAGTGGAACAAACCGCTATTGAGCAACCTAGAGGGTCATTGATCCATTCCCCTTCGAGACATGATGCTAAGACTTGACCACGCCCGACATGAATCGGCGAAAAAAGTAAGCTCAAACACCTTTAAGGCCGGTGTGCTCTCCCTAAACCTCTCGGAAAAGGGAAGTCAGCCTGCACGGGGATTCCGCAAGGAGACACATGTGAGGTTGTTGAATAAGTATGTGCTCTTTATGCTCTTGGTGGGAACGCTCCGAGCAAGTCGTTATCGTTGACGAAGGGTCCGAAACAGAGTCGACCGCCTGGACATTCTTCATCAGAACAGCATGCGAACAACCGAGCTGCCAAGGTCGATCCAAATGCCATCCGCCTGGTACGGGGATGAGCTCATGGTCACCAACCAAAGCACGGATTCGCTGCCAAAACACCCGTCAATTAGCTTGAATTGATGGAGACTTGATGCCCAGTTCCTCTGGAGCATAGGGAAGGTACCTCAGGACCGACGTGGTTCAAACCTGCACCCAAGGTTTGTCCAGTTGTCCTGATTCACTGATCTGCCCTTGTTTGAGCCGTTTGGGGTACCAACCGATAACCCTTGGAGGGTGCTGGAACCAAACCTCTTCGGTGACAAACACTTGGCATACAGCGGCACCCTCGCAAGTTTTGGCACCACATCCCTAGGCTGGAATTAGGACCCCAGCAAAGAATCAAATCTTTTCTAGGCCTGGTTAGTGGAAAAGAAAGGGACCCCAAAAAAGCAAAAAAACAAAAACAAAAAGGGGAGCGAATTCTGGGGAAGATCCAAGCCCCAGGTCGACCGAGTCGGCCAGGCATGCCAGGCACCGTATCCGCCCTCACGTGCTTTCCATTGATCACCTGGGCGTTCACATGGGAAGAAGATCTGTCTTTTTTGACGGTATCGTGCCATTTGCCGTGTCGTTTCCTTTTTTTCTCCGTTCTTTTCTCTCCTCCGGGGAACAAAAACGGAAGTATCCCGTTTGCGCTTTCGCTGAAGGAAAGCGTGGGTCAACCAGTTGCCACGCAAGGACACAAGCCGCAATTAAGTTGGATAATTCTTCAAAGGGCATGACGTTTAGTTGTTCAATCTTCAATGGCAAACTCACTCCTCAGTCCAGTGGATTTTCCATGGGAAACAGGAATCCTGCTTTGTTGGTTGGCTTTAAACGGGTTTACCCCACCCAAAAGAAGCAAATGGAAGCACCGGGCATCCGGGAGCTCAAACGCATCCCAAACCCAAACCATCCCAGCCCAACCCAAACTCAACGAAATCAAACCTAAACAGCCCACACCATCCCAGCCTCCTCCAAACCCAGCCTAAGCACCAAAAACCAAACAAAAACCAAGCCTAGGTCCTCCAGCAGAGAGGCTGGAATAAGGCTACCCTTTTTTCTCCGTGGTCTATGTTAGTAGGGTCCCGAACCCTCCCCCCAAAAAAGAAGAAACGGTAAAAAAGGAACGGCGCCAAGCTGGGGGGCCTAGAAGCCCGCCGCCCCAAGCGACCGGAAAGCCGCGGGGTTTTTGGCGCCAAGGCGCCAGCAGGCGCCAGGAGTGAGAGATGCCCAGGCGCGCGGCGGGGGACCCGGGCCGCACCCCGGCCACGTGCACCGTGCGGTCCCGGTCCACCCGGAAGACGAAGCCCAGGTCTTTGCTCTCGAAGTAGTGCAAGTAGCCTTCCGGTGAAATGCTACTTGGGGGGTGGGAGTGAAGTGGGGTGGGGGTGAGGGTGGGGGTGGGGGTGGGGGTGGGGTGGGGGTGGGGTGGGGTGGGCTGGGTGGGGTGGGGTAGGGGTTAAGCTGGGGTGGGGTAGGGGTTAAGGTGGGGATGTGGGGTGGGGTGCAGGATTTTAGGAGTCGGCCCCCGTCCTTCGTGTTCGTCCCCCCCCCCCCAAAAAAAAAGCCTTGCAGGTCAATGCTTCGTAACAGCCTACATCTTTGCCCTTGACTAAAATCATCAAGACATAGCAAACCATTCAATTGCTGGAAGTGGGGTTTAACGTTGACCAAACCATGGGGTTGCTTTGTGCGAGTTGGCACCCGCAGTAGCAAGCAGCCCTCGTAACGAAACATCCCAAAGAAAAGAACAAACACGGCCGAATCCAATCAAGAAATAGGCTTCAATTAAATAAGTATGTTTCGAGGACACCTTGTTTTCTGTTGTTGGAACGGGGAACCAAAAAGAAACGGAAGTTCATTTTGAGGGCTTCACCGTTTTTGGGGAGCCTCCGACCAAATGGGTTGCTGTTGTGGGGGTTTGCCTTTTTAGGTTTGCGGTTTGCTGGTGAAAGGAAACCGAGGAAAACAAGCAACAGATCTAGGGGTACCTTCCCCATTCTTTCCAGGGATCCTTCTTTCTAGAAAACCATCAGAACCCCAGGGAGAAAGGCTGGTTGTTGAAAAGAACGATGGTTGAAAAGAATGGGGAATCAAGCCCTAGAACAGAAACAGACCCTACTTCGAAACGACACTTTTGATACCAACGCAGGGCACTCAAGGGCCAAAGAAGGGTTCATTGGAGGGGTCAGACTCACCATCTCTCAGCTCCACTTGTACCTCGGCTTTTGCGCGCAAGCCAAACATGTCGCACAACCCTGGCATCTGCGGAGGACTTTGGGTGTCTTTTTTGAGGGTACCTTCCTTTTTTAGGTGGTTTTGAAGGGACACCAAAAGGAACACCACCTCATTTTGGTGGTTGTCCACCCTCCCACCACTTCACATGGTAGAGCTTCGGTCCCGGGAGGCCATCTTCGCTTGAAAGGGACCTGTTAGGTTCCATGTTCCAGAAGGCCCGGTCGTTCAGCTTCTCGCGAAAAGGGGGGGGGGTTGAGCCTTTTAGCGGTGGTTTGGCGGTTTGCTGGCGTGGTTTTCTCATCTACCCTCTACAAAAGACAGGGTTCAAACCCAAATCCAAATCCAAACCACCGAACTAAGGGTTACCTTTAGTGGCACGGTTGACCACGGTTGACCGCCCATCCTCTCCCAAAAGCCTGGCTTTTGCCATCGGGAAACCGGGAAAACGCCCCCGGGCCGGCTGATTGAAAGGGGTCAAATTTTCGGGGCGCAAGGCAAAACGGATTCCAGAGCTCACTTCCGTGCACATGGGTCCCTTGGTTCAAAAGATCTCGCCCCAAAATTGTTGCTTTCCTTTTCACCGCTCTTCAAACCATAAAAATCAGGGAACCCTCGCAAGAAAACACGCGCACGCACACACCCACAGACGCATTGGCCGAGCGTTTTCTCCGGCGGTTTGATCTTTGACTCGGCCGGGGCGCTGCACACGTCCTGCTTCCGGATCACCAAGGTCACCCGCTTGAACCGGAACTTGTCGACGATCTTCACCAAGGGGTTTCCACCACCACCTCCGCAAGAGAAGGCGTGGGAGCCAAGAAGGGGGGAAGCCTTAACAAAAGAAAGGAGTATCCCCATCTACCCGAAGCATGCACCCAAGTTTGCGGGCACAAACTGGCACCAGGTCTCCCGCAAAACATGGAACACCCCAGTTCGATCAATCCCAATTGGCAGGCAGAGCACTTTCGCAAGGTCGGTGGATAGAGAGATAGACAGATTGTAGCTATCTAACTATCCATCCAGCAAATCTATATTCTTCTTACTTTCCTCTCCCGCTATCTCTCTACCTGCCCATCCATCAATCTAAAGCTCTCTCTCCCTCTCTCGCTCTCTCTCGCTCTCTCTATCCATGTATGTATTGCTCCTACCTACCTATGTATATATATATATATATGTACATAAATATATGTCCATCTCTCTGCCTATATATCTATGTCCCTATATCAACCATATCTCTCCATCCCTCTGTGATTTTTTATCTCGCTCTCTCTCTCTCTCTCGCCGGCTCTATGTTAATTGTTTATTAAGGATCTCTACAGTACAGGGTGGATGACCATCATGGTCTTGTGACCATGTCACGAATGGAAGGCTGGCAACTGGCAACCGTTCCCGAACCCCAGACACTCGCCTCCAGAAACACCCAGCGCCGCCTTCATTCTGTCCACTATGCGACCTCGGAAAGCAAACCTGGCCCTCAGCTGCTGCTGATGTTCGATTGGTTTGGAGCTTAGGCTTCCCATTTATCGACTGGAACCGAGCGTTCATCCAAATCATTTTGCGCAGTAAGCACGCATAGAAGAGCAACATCTAGACTTACAAGCAAACAGGTTGGAGGCTGGTGGAAATGGAGGCGTTACGCAGCCTTGCTCAAAAACGTCGGTCCCGCACACCCCGTGCTGGACCACCAGTTCCTCTCACTTCCCTTTCAGTCACCCCGACCCAGACAAATCCACGTGAAGGCCGGAGAAATGCAGCCTGTGTTCAATTCAACCTGGCCGTGTGCTTCGAAAGGGGCCGCTTAACCCAAACGGAACACCACCATGTGCGGGGGGTCCCCCTATGGCACATCCGCACATCGCGCTCCTTAGTTTTTGCGTGCTTTGGGTTGCTCAGCTTCCCCAGTCTTTCCAGGGATCGACCCTTCTTCTCAGCAAACCATCACAAACCTAGGGGAAACAACTGGTTGTTGAAACGAACGACGGGTGCAAAGAATGTGGAATCAATTGCTCCTTAGCGTTTTGACTTGTAACCCTGTAGCAAATCCTTCATCCTCTCACTGGCCATCTTCGACAAAAGGCAGTAGAATTGGCAGGTGGCTTTTTAAGGGAACTCCCTCAAACAAATGGAAGGCCAACAAAAAGGCAGTAGAATTGGCAAGTGGCCTTTAATGGGAGCTCCCTCAAACCAATGGAAGCCAACTGGTCGTCTGCTTTGTCGATTTGCGTTGCTTCTCCAGCCGTCGTTTTGCGAGCTACAAGTGGGACCCCGCTTAGAGAGGCAGGCGAAAGGGAAACAGGGACCAAATAATGCTGACCCCATATTAACCAACCCCAGTTTATTAATAGGGTAAATGGGGGGTGTTCCCCTCCAAACTAAGAATTCCCCCACTAAATCAGGGACACCCGCCCATGAATAAACTGGGGTTGGCTAACATGGGGAAACACTAACCCTTTTTCAAGTCATGAACTTGGCGAGCGAAGCGCGGGCCACGTAGAGCTTGATCTGACCTTTGAAGATGGGGTCCGAGAGCATCTTCCTCGCGCCATTTTGCGCCCGAGGCGAAACGAGTTGCGCGAAGCGCGTCTGAAGGCCAGACTTGCTTAGGCGTGTGTCTTTGAGGGTGCCTTTTCTGGTGGTTCTAACGGAAACCACACGGAATACATTTTTCGGCAGGTTGTGCAAAGCCCAACCCCCAACTTAGGGGAAACATGAAAAGACATTTTGATTAAGTGGATAGACTCGAAGTGGTGGACATACATGTTGAATTGCATGGGAGACCTTGGTGCAAAGCAAAGCCACTCCCAGCGAAGCTGCTTGCAGGCGAGAAGCAGGTACAACCTCGGCCCAAAGGCTTTGCAAGGTAGAAATGGGTTCTACATTACATTGGCAAAACGAATGGTGGTTCTCCTTTCGGTTTCCCTTTCAGCCAACCCCGAAACAGGATCCCTCAACACAAAACGAGGCACCGATTTTCGGGAAAAAGCAGGACTGCTCTTCTGGCTCCGGAATTCGACAACAGACTTGGGCAGACCTTAAACTCCTGCCAAAGACACACCACACTTTTACCACGCTGCAAGCACACTCAAATTCGGGCTGTCGAAGCTGCCCTGGCAGGGCGAGTGGGCGCTCAAGCTTTGGGCTGTTGCGCTGCCCTGGCCCGGCTCACGCTCTGGGAATTACGCTTTGGCTTTTGTGGCGTCCTGCCTGGTCACGGCTGCCATGCCCCAGCCGCTGGTGGGAGCCAGGCTTTGAAGCTAAGTTTCACGCGTTGGGCTGTTGCGGCCCTGTCAAGCGTCAGTGGCGGAAGCCCCAGGCTTCGGGCCATCCCGCTGGCGGAAGCGTCGCTGACCTCATCCTTTGGGCTGTCACAGCTTCCGCCACAAGCTCTGTCACAGCTGCCCGTCTGTCACATCTATCTGCACAGGTCGTTGTCTGTTTGTGTCTCAGCTGTCTGTCACAGGCTCTGTCACATCTGCCTGTCACATCTGTCTGTCACAGGCTCTGTCGGCGGGCGATCCGGTTGCGGAGGTCGGATGTCACGTGAAATCTAACAACTCCAAACCTGCCGGACGGGAACTAGAATGCCGGCTTTGGCACATGGACGATTCTAGGGAAAACCACAAAGTTTGTGGGTGCAGGGGGCGGGGGGGTGCCCTAAAAACAAGACACACCTAAATCAACTTGTGAATCAACGACTTTAGGACTGGCCCCTGTCTCTCTCTCTCTGTTTTTGGGCCCTGAACTCGGCTGAGCGACAAGGAGGCAAAGAAGGCCCCGAAGGTGCCCATCATGCCCAGGGCAGCCATGATCAGGGTGCCCATCTGCTGCCTCTCCCCACACTTCAGGCAATCGTCGGAGTTGGTGTCCTCCGTGGATTGCGGGCCCAAAAACGCCTCAAAAACAAAAAAACACCAAAAACTCAGAGAGTGGGGGAGGGAAGCCATGGACGTGGACACCCCTTCCAAAGTCACGAGGTAGGGGGTGCCTTTTAAAGAGGAATCTGCCAAACATACACGTGCCACTAACTGGGGGTTGGTTTGTTTTAGTGGCTCATCAGAAAATCATGGTTGGATTTATGCCCAACCATGATGGGTGCTGCAACATATGGGTCTGGCTCCCATATCGAGCCGCGGAATAGGTGGGTCCTTTGAAACCCGATTGCTCTTGACCATCCTATTCTGGTCTCACTTTGGAGTGAGCAGGTCAGGACAACCCGCTGGCTAAAGCAGAAAAGAACATGCAGGGCAGCGACAGAAACTCATCTCAACGGATTTACCTAACATGTCCTTCCAGGCAGGTTAGAATAAGGGTACCCTTGTTTCTGTAGTCTATTTTAGTAGGGGTCCCCCAAAAAAGGGTAAAAGGGTACTACTGGGAAACCTAGTTATCAATCACTTGAACCCCGAAAAAATGAATGCCCTGAAAGGGAGAGCTCTCACTTTCCTAGTGGGAGTGAAGAGTTGAAATCGACAAGGACAAACCCAGAAACCGCCTTATTCGCATGGGAGCCTGCAGACTGCAAAGCTGGTACATTGGAAAATCCATCCGGAGCTTGCTCGTCAAGAAAACTTGGCCCCGCTTTCGGGCAAGTGCTCGTTCCCAGGCCCGTTAGGGATCTGGAAATACAAGGCTGATCTTGTGCGACCTTGACCACATAAGATATGGACCAAAAGGGAAGCACCAAAAGGAGAGATCTGGTCGATTCGCTTCAAGGGCAACTGAGAACAACGGTGTTTAATTTCAGTGATTAATCTATTTTTGGCCCCTCAAGTAGGCCCCCTCCCCCTGGAATTGCCCACAAGTCTCCCCCCCTACCCCCCCCCCAAAAAAAAAAAAAACAGGAACGGGGGAGGCGGCTGTGAGCGGGCGATCATTTTTGGACATGGATTCCATGTGTATGAGTATAAAATCATGGCTATAAGCAATGAATTGGTATCTTTCAACATGCGTAGTTTGCTGTGGCATATGGCAGCAAGAAAACCAGAAAACCAACAAAAATCCCGAAAACCACACAACGCACACGCGCACACACACACAAAACATTAGTCTCCCCCTGCAAAAGGCAGTTCTGGGTTGTGTGTTGATTGTTTTTGTGGCTGTATGGCTTTCTCGCGGGCTCTATCCCAAAAACTCGAGAAAACCAACAAAACAGAAAGCAATTCTGAGAGGCAGATCAAAGGTGTGTTGACTTTGTTCTTTTGGCTTTCTCGAGGTGTTCTCCTTTACGGTGTATCTGGCTTCATGATCCAGAAGTATGCGGATCCTTTATATCTTACCAGTTCTGAGGTGTGATTTGCTTGGCGCAGAATTATTCCCAAAAAGCGCTGCTCTGCAAAAAGGCGTCAACATCTCGGAGTCGAAGGCAATTGGCCATTATTCTCAGAGGTTATGGCTGTGGCTCAAAAAAGCCGGTACCAAACTGGAACCCCGGTAAGTGGAAACATGGACCAAAACCTGCGTAACCCCTCCTGGTTAATCTTGAGCCACACCCTTATGAGTCTGGGCAGCTCTCTCCACAAGGCTTGCCAAGCCGCAGGGTAGTACCCAAAGACGCAGTTTCCGCAGTTCGTGCCCTCGTACCCTGCGCTGCATTGATTCGCCTTGCAGGTTTTCGTTTCCATGCCTGCCCTGAAACTTATCACCCAAAAATTTCCCGTAGACAACAAGTCTTTCGACAGAACCCCTAAGATGGGTGGCGCTCCTTTGGTTTGTTCAGTTAAAACTCCCAAATGGGCCACCCTTTGAGTAAGCGAGTCAGGCTTTCCATCCTGCAATGATCTATGGCCATGCCTAGCTAGGTTCTCCAGTAGAGAGGTTAGAATAAGGTTACCAACTTCTTTCTGTGGTCTATTTTAGTAGGGAGACCCTCCCCCAAAAAAGAAACGGTAAAAGGGCAGTACTGGGGGACCTAGCCAGGCACTCCAAGCAAGCCTGCATGGCCCGGAAGCCCTCTCTACCCGACGCCTGCGCTCGAACGGTTTCTGTCAAGTTGACGCGCTGGCAACATGATGTGTTTGAGATCTCACCTGCGACTCGTTTTCCAGGAGCGCCTGCCGTTCCAAAACATGGTTTGTTCTGAGAGGCCAGCTCCTGTCCACAGGAAGGTGCCTAGCCGCCTCGTGAACTGAATAACACAAAGCTTTCCTGTGACGCAAGCATGAAGGGTTGCCGCATTTTTCACCTTTAAGCATCACCCTCCCTTAAAAAGCAAAAAACCGATTGAACCACGCGTCGGTTTGCCTAAAAGCCACCAAAGGGGACAAACTGTGGGGAACGCTTTCGCCCGTGGGTTGCCTAAAGGCAACACTTTCTGCTGAACCAAAACAAGCGCACTCTCACATTGCCAAATCAAATGCCAATGCTTTGACCACTGCTTACCAATACGGATTCCTATCATCGTCGCAACGGCCAACATTCCAAAATGGAAAGTAGCTACCAATAGAATCCTTTAAAACGCATATCCTGCCACTGTGCGCGTGTGTGACCACAGTCTATGTCTGACGAGCTTGCACCAATCACTGAGCTGACTGGCCAAAACGCCAAACTCGTGGGGCCTTAAACGCATGACGAACAAATCAAAGAACATCTGTGAAGTGCGTGAAGGTCACCCGGAAAACTCAAATGACTTTGATGTTTTCGCCTGTTACAACCGCGCCCTTCTGCGCGCCCTTCTGCGCGCCCTTCTGCTTTTGCCCCGGCACGTTCAAGCAGGCATAGAGGGGTGTGCATGTGTCGACCACCGGCTGGTACTCCTGCCAGGCGAGCAGGAAAGGCTTTTTTTGACAAACACAAATAGGCTGGAAAAATCGGACCCCAGCAAAAAATATGTCTGTTGCCTGGTTAGTGGAAGACACAGGGACCCCCAAAAAGCACAAAACGAAGAAACAAAAACAGGGGAGCGAATTCTGGTGCAAAAAAAGTCGTTCGGGAGGATTGTCAGAAACCAGCTACAGGAAGTCTACGCAACCATAGGTGGCGGAAAAATAGATGGGTTTCCCTGGTAAATGGAACAAAACCCATCTGAACCAGTGCCATCTAGTTTTAACCAAACTCACCTAAAAAGGACACCTATGTACGCAACCCATGTGTGGGTGGGTTCTTGGTCAGTTTGCATGAAAGTCTGCAGGAAGCCTATGTGTTGGGTGGGTGTATGAGTATCCTCCGGCTAGTTTGTAAACATAGGGGGTTTAAGAGAGAGGTTCAGCATCCGGCATCCTTCATAGAAACCAGCTCCAGGACATTCTACAGGCAAGACACGCACATAACCTGCGCAGGAACCGGCTCCTTTTAAAGGAACATGGCTTTTCCTGAACCCATGTGGAAGTAATGCGCGTGGATTGAAGGACATTGAGCGGAGACCCGTCCCCCTTCTTAGGGTTCTATTCAGCGATCGCTCCCTGATTGATTCCTTGCTCAGCGACCCTGGTGGAACAAGGGAAAGCTTGATTAACTGCTTTGTTCTAGGAGACAGCAAAAAGGGTTTAGAGGGGTGCGGTTGAATTAGGAAAAGTGACCTCCTCAAAACACACGTCTCTGACTGTTGGTTGCACGGGAACCCACCGGAACCCAACATTGATTCTGAGAATACCTCAAAATGTCAAAATGGTACTTGTGAACAGGTCCTTAAAGACTACATCCCAAAGCAACCTGCCTCATAAGGTGCATAGGCGTCCTTTGGGGAATGTAGATGGTCCTGGGTTTCATGAAGCAACCAGGTCAGCCGGGCCCAAGTGTGTGTGTGTGTCCTGTTTTTCTGGTGCTTTTTTTGGGGGCCCTCAAACAAACACTCCCAGCTTTATTTTCCACGCGCCAGGCCCCTCCTTCTGATCCTTGTTGGTCACCGTCGCCACCGCCTGAATCCAAAACGTATCGACCCAGCTTGGAGGAAGCCTTGAGTGCTCAAATGTGCCTTCCTTCTTGCTGGCGCTCAGTAGGGAATGAGAAATGGAATGGCCCCTATAAACCATCCCTTGTGGTTTCCTTTGGTCGGGAATCCCAGGTTTGTTCCTGCATTTACCTATCGCACCAGCAAGCCTTTTCATCCTCGGTTGCTCACTTGCTGAGTGGATGGCCCAAAAAACAAGAGTTTAAACTTTATATTTACCACTAAAATGGTCGTCCCAAAAAGTTTAAAGTTCATGAACTCAGGAAGTGAGGTTGAGGTGTGTCTTGTTTTACTGGGTCCTCAGCACTGTGCCTCCAACAGGCCTCTCTCGGAAGAGCCGCCTATGGTAGTGAGTGACTTTTTCTCGGTTGCTTTCTGCTCCCCTGCCAAAAATTTAACTTTTGGTGGTTTAATGGAAAACCCAGTAGTCGTTGGCAAAAAGTTAAAGTCCTAACATCCAAGCAAAATGCACCAAAGTTTTTCAGGGCAGGTCTTGGGTTTGTGTGCGGTTCAGTCGGCCCCACATCACCAACCCTAAAGCAACCCTAAAGATAGCGCAAAGCAGCTCCAAGCCGCGCCACACCGACCCAGCTCTCAAGCAACAGCCCGGACATCTCTCAGCCCTCTGCCAAGCCCAAAGAAATTAAATTCCACACAAACCTTGTGGAGATGGAAACAAGAAGCTCGCTCCAAGGTTTGCTCCGCTGGGATCCGCTGCGATCCGCTGGGGGGTTGTTTCCACCAGAGGTAGATGGCGCCATTTTTTGTGGAAAGGGCGCTGGCTTGTTTCCACCAAGGCCAAGGTAGATGGCACCGTTCCCTTCACGTGCCTAAGGAAAGGCTGGGGGGGTTGTTTCCAAGACCAAGATAGATGGTGCCCAAGGAAAGGAGACCACTGCATCAAACTCCCCCAGCGCTCGGGCTCGTGGCTCGGCCGCGTCTGGCCTGGCTCTTGGAGATGTAGAAGTAGGGCTTCGACAGCGGCCTTGCTCGAAGGGGAGAGATTGGCGTCCGGTGGAGTTAGGTCCTTCGAAGGGTTTGGATAGAAACTGGCTGAAACAATAAACTGCGGATTGGGGGTTGGATTCATCCATGGCTGAGGTATTGCTTCCTTCACTTTGAGGTAGAACATGTCTACTGAAAAACAAGCTCCTGCTCATGAGCAATCCGTCCAACCAAAATCCAAGCCTTGTTGTTTCGTTGCACAACGGGGGCTCCACTTTTCAAGTTGGCAAATCGGCAAACTGCTGGGGGGAAAAAAACAGAAGAAGAAACACAAAAAAACAACAACAACGCCAACCTGCGCACACCAAGTTGCGGCCGACCGCGGCCGCTGAGAAAAAACAGCCCGCCGGGTCCCCGGCAGCATGGTGCCCCCCGCGCAGTAGATGGTGCACAGGCGGAAGGTGGTGGAGCCCGGGCTCTTGCGCACGCAGGTGGGGGACACCGGCTCGTCGCCTTTGGACATATGCGGCAAATTCATCAGTCTCACCACATTTCCCGGGAAGGAAAAACAAAAACGAAACGGGTTCCTCATATTTCCCTTCAAACATGACTTCGCCAAAAGGGAAGCTGACCTTTGCCAAAACATCCGTCCAAGGGGCAAAGCCCGAAGGTCAGCGGGGAATCAAGATAAGGGGTTTGCAAATGAACTGTTTGGGATCCCCCTTCATGAAACTGCAGGAGATGGTGAAGAGTCTTTCCCTCATGTGTAAGGGTTCCTTGACTGAAAAAACAATTCCCAGAAATCCCCACTCAGCGATCCTTAACTATGTTCAACACTGTTTCCCCGGGCCTTTGAAAAAGGTGCTCTAGAAAAGGAGCCCTGGAAAGAATGGGGGGCGGCTAAGATCCGGGTTTGTTCGTGGGTCGCCGTCCGAAAGCTTGAAAGTTGGAAAAGTACAAAGGACCGGATCTGCACTTATCACCCGTGTGGCTTGTTTCTTCTCTGGGCATTCAAAACAGGGATCCTTACACCTGAACATTGCTTGTATATCGTGGTTTCCCTTTATTTTTGTGTTAAAAAAGCAACGACGTGTTTCAAATGGTTGCAAAATGTATCTTTTCAGGAGAAACAATTAGTAGAAATTGAATCCAACCACAAATCTATGCAAGTCATGGGTGGCGTCGCACCCCCCCCCCCTCATTCAAATTTCTGAGATTCCGAGCAAGCCTGAAAATGGCTGAGGTGAGCGCCAAGTGGGATTGTCTCAAACTGAGGAAACCAACAACGTGGCGTGTTTCCCTTATTTCCTCTTGACTTCTCTTTCGGATCATCCCAAAAAAGGAAATCTGTGAAAAACCTACAATTGGTGGGAGAGTATCTTTATCATTATTGTTTTTGGGGGGTCCTTTGACAAATGGCGGGGCCCAGTTCAAAAGTGGTCTGAATCCCCACCACCCCCCGTTCAAGTTCAACCAGGCGGGTTGTTCATCCGGGGCGATTTGATCCCAAGTTGACACTTGGAGTGTTTGTCGTGACTGATTCGAACCGAAGACCAAACAAAACTTAGCCGCCTCTTTTGCTACAGACAGGGTCGCTCCTGAAAAAAATAAAATATAAAACACCCCTAGGAGCTTGGCAACAGCATTCACAAGGAAGCCTCTCGCCGGCTCGGCGGCTAAGAACTGACTTGGACGAGCTGCAAAGGTCCCGGAGATTTGATAAGTCGCAGGGCGCATCGTCCAGGTTCTTATCCCTCGGCTCGGACTCATGTGAAGATCTCTTCGGTACCCCGCGCTCTCGGGGCGGAGAAATGTGGGGGGCCAACCTGTCTAAACAGGTTTAAGCCGCCATTTTGCGAATACCATACAAATGGGCTTCCCTTTCAAGAGTACCACGGGCTGGTTGTCAAAAACTATGTTGGGTGCAAGCAATAAAAAGGACCATCTCAGTTGCCTATTGTCCATGGCAAAAAAATGAATCTGCAACCTTTTGTTTTTGGTTGAGTTTGAAGGGAGCCCCTACCCAAAAAAGGAAAAAGTGCACCACTGGGCAACAAAGCCATACTTCTGGCAAAGCACGAATAAGGCGCCGCAACCAAGAGCTTCGGTCATGTAAAGCCCAGAGCCACTGCCACGCTAGGGCAGTCGACGCTCAGGCCAATGCATGTGGCGCTTTTTGAAATTCGCGATGAGCAAAAAACACAGGCTGGATGGAAGCAACGGTGTGATTCAGTTGCTTTTCTCGGATAGGACTCCCCACAAAACAGCATGTGTTTTTTCCGTGTGGTTTCCCTTGAAATCACCCCTGTTTCCTTTGAAACCTCGCACAAAACCCAAAAGCGGCACCATGGGAACGTGGGCAGGAGGGTTGATTTCAAACAGTGTCCCGAAACAGGGGGTCAGCATACGCAAGTGAGCCCCAACTGTCAGTCTGTCTGACAAGATGCAGTGTGAAAGTCTCAGAGCTACAGGAGACACACGCGAAGCCGGGCTGGCCATAGGTCTGGGAGTCGTCATAGACCGGAGAGTAGTAGCCCTTCTTGCCTGAGTTTGGCCCCAGACTGGGTTAGTGTCTTGACTGTCCGTGTGAATCCTTTTGTCCGTCTGGCTCCTGTTGATCGAAACTAAATCTGGGTGGCTTGCGAGAAAAAAACAATATCTCGGTTCAGAGTCCAGACACTGGGATTTCCACACAAACCTACACCAAGTCTCTACATTCCGATTGCCACCCAGAATGGAACCAAACATGCAAAACAAATCAAAACAGTACCTAAAACATGCCAGCAAAGGTGAAGTTTGAAGGGTGTTCCGAGTTCCGCCTCCTCAAAGCAAAGGCTGAACAAAGGAATCGCCTGTGGAAGTTGAGTGAACCGACGGGGGTCACCCTCAGCTCATTGAGTGGATTGGCGCGACAAAGCCCGAACCTCTTGCTTCCAACTATAATCATCCTGAACGTCTCTACTCTTGGTATGGTAGCAAAAAACTTATGTTTTTTGCAGCCCCCAGTAAAAATGAACAGCCCCGAAAAACTAAAAAACAAAAACATGCCAAGAAAAGTGAAGTGTAAGTGGCCAAAGCTCCACCTCTAAGCCCCCAAAAAAAGCCACATACCGTGGATGGACGAAATCCTACACCACTTTGAAACCATGACAAACCATTGCTTGTTGAGGGGAGTCATCATTCCAGGGTTTCTTATAGGTGGTGCAGGATTGCGTCCATCCACAGTATGTCCGGTAAAAGATGCCCTTTGAGACCAGGGAGATCACATCGTGGCAAGCAAATGCAAGTCTGGAAACATGAGAGTTTCTCAAATCGGTGGACCCCCTGTTGGTTGATGCCTAAAGGGCGCTCAATAGGACGCCTACCATTTTCGGAGATGGACCCTTTTCACTTGAGAAACACTCATATATGGGCTTGTCTCAAAAGCCTTGAGCGGATGTCTTGTTGTTTGTTTCCCATCAAGCCAAAACCACAAAAGGGTACTTTCATAACCCCAGACCCCCAGTGGTCATGGTCAAACCAGGGTACTCTCTCTTCTTGTTAGTAGTACCCAGGGCCGCGTTGATATTTTATCGGTTGCTTTCTGCTCCCCTGCTAAAAATTTAACTTTTAGTGGTATGGAAAACCCATTCGTTGGCAAAAAGCTAACTAAAGTCCTAACATCCAGGCAAAATGCACCATGGCCATGGGTCCAAATCCAAATTGTACCCCCAGTGAACATCCCAATCCCACACTAAAGTAGGGTGGTGAATTCACCTACCAACCAAAATGGGATCCCATTCGTTTTGAACCAATGGATTTCCCATTTCAAGACATCAACCACCCCTGGGCAAAAGACGGAACCCAGGGCCGCGCCGCGTTCATTTTTTCTTCGCCGGGCCGCAGCGGCAGTCCTGCAGGCCGGCAGCTGGCGGCACGGACTCCGTGTTTGCCGGGCAGGCGGTGCACGCAGTCATCCCCACCTGACCCACTGACCGGCGTCGCCGGCAACCCGGTAAAAAACCCAATGGGCCCCTGGAGGGCCCCTCTGTTTCTTGGCACTTGCATTGTTTTTTCGCCCCCTACATGTTTTTTTTCGCCCCCTAGAAAAACATAGATAAAATACGGTGGATGGTTGCAGAATCCATGTCGCGCCACTTTGAATCCATGGCAAGCCATTGTTTGCTGGTATTTACAGGGGAATATTCATTCCAGGGTTTCTTAGGTGGTGCAGGATTTCGTCCATTCACCGTATGTCTAGTAGTGATAGGTTCCCTTTGAAACCAAAAAGGGAGAATCAACAGCATTCTTAAGCCCATGGACGTTTTGCATAGGAATAAAGATGTCATAACGTGTTCTTCCCCTAAAATGCTCACATCTCCTGCTTCATGACTTCTACCCTGGTTCCAATTTATACAAACAAGGCTCGGTGGTAGAATTGGCACCAACCCCCGAATGAGCGCGGCTCTAGATGGGCCTGGGAGCACTTCGGACCTGTAAACACTCGTTGTGCCAACTTGCGTTTGGTTCTTCTTTGTGCGCGACCCCGTTTCTAGACTTGGACCAAAAACTTCCGGCGAAAGGTCTTTTTGCTGGCAAGGACAATACGTAAGAAACCGCCCAGTGACGCGGTAGACATTCCGGGACCCCTTTTTCGGGCTTGACCCTCGTCCGCAAGGCAACCACTTTTAGTCAGCAGCTTGTCCTCTTGCAGCTCCACGTCCCTTTGCGACATTCGTGTGGCCAAAAAAGAGAAAAGGAGGCGCTGGTGTTCCACCCAGGCGCTCATGGACCCCTTCTAGGGTCCGACAACTCTCCCAGGGACACCCCAGGGCCTGCAAATATGTCAACCAAGGCCTGAGTTGGAAGCGTCAAGGAACAAGGGAAACCAACACCAGGTCCTCCAGATTTGAGAGGATAGAATAAGTGGGTACCTTTTTTCCCGTTTTTTTTTGATGTGTTTTTTCCCGATTGTTTTTTTTCTGTAGTCCATTTTAGTAGGGTCCCGAACTCTCCCCAAAAAAAGAAACGGAAAAGGGCACCAATTGCTGGGGGACCTAGAACAGGAGTGGCTCAAACATGTCGCAAGGGCCAACGGCCTCAGCCTGCAACTGGAGATGGGGGAAGGTGGGGGGAGGGTCTCCGGGAGTTGACCATTTGACTCACCAAAAGAAAATGGACTTCCAAACCAACCCGTCTCAAAGGAATCTCCGGTTGGGGGACTGTCATGTTCGGTTCACCCCGCCTTCCCCTCAGATTAATACGCCCCTGTTTACTATGGGGGTGTCCCCGGTTTTGGTGGGGATCTATCACTTTTGGAGGGGAACACCCCCATATTAATAAGCAGGGTTTACTAATCCGGGGTCAACACAGCTGGGGTCTTCCCTCCTCACCCGCCAGACTCACCTGATCCTGGTAGGAGTCGGAGGCGCAGAAGGTGCATCCCAAGGGCCACTCCGTGGTGAAGCGGGTGGAGTAGGTCCCCTTTGGGCACGCCTCACAGGCGTCGCTGTCCTGCCGCAGCATAGCGAAGGAGTGTTGGTGTTTTGCGCGGGAAATGAGGAGAAAAAAAGGAATCGGCGATTGCGGGGGGCACGAAACTTGGAACGTGGAAGTGAATAGATGTCATGCGGGTTCCGCTTGTGTGTGCGTGTGTGTTTACACAGGACAAAAAGGTTCGAGCTACAGCGCCTGGAACAATCGGGAGAACGACAACCAAGGCATGTTGTTGGGAGCCCATTGAAGTGGGCTCAAGCGAGTGGTTTCGAATGGAGGGTTTGAAAATTCCAAGGAGATGGTCATGATAAATCAAGGGTCTGGACAAATCGAATTCCCAATAAGGCACAAGGCACATCAAACCAGGCGGACACCTACTTGCAACGGGCAATAGGACCCAAAACGAGTGTCCTCGTTGGGCCTGTAGTAGCCCTCCTCAGCGCGACAAAACAGAAATTGGTTGGGGGGGGGGGGCGGCGGATGAGGAGAGGAGGGGGGGGGGGGACCCTACGCCACAACACCCCTAAAGGAGGGGGGGAAGATACACCCACGCGTGTCCACCATTTTCGGGGGGAAGAAATCCCCAGAGATCCCCTTTATTTCCATGGCTTATCATGGCCCAAAGCGAATCCACCTAAAATCACCTGGTCATTTTGGTCCATAGGTCCCAAAAGGTCGACCTTTCAATGTCCAGCTCCTTTGGGTGCAAAAGAGTTGGCGATGCAAACTTTGCCTTTTTTGGACAAATCAAAGTGAGCTTCCTTGAGGTGAGTTTGGGTTGTCGAAAGCTCGCCTTGAATTGCAAGCAAAAGCCCAGATGGGTGCATGCATTGTTGAGGGTACCCTTCTTAGGTTGGCATGAAAAAGGAAAAGGACAGCCCAAAAGCACAAGCGCAGAGGAAGAGGAATCTCCAGTCGGAGCATCGGTTGATAAAACCTGGGCCGGCCAGCTCCATCACCAGACAGATTCCTGGCCCTCCATTTGCCCCGAACTTGACACCGGATGAAACCGGCTTTCTTTGTGCTTTCTTGGGGGTGGTGCCCCCGCCCCCCGCCCCTCAAGTGGTCTGAATCCCCACCAGCACCATCTCTCAACATCAGCCAAGGGGTTCTACTTCGATGCCCATTTCTGGGCTGTCCTCAGATCCCCTGGTAAAAGTTTAACTTTTGGTTTAGTGGAAACTACCGCTAAACAAACTCAAAAAAGCAACTAAAAAACAAAACTAAGGAACCGCACGATTGGCTGGGGGCCACTTACCCGTTTCGGGGTTCCCGGCGTTCTCACACTCCGCCAGCTTGGTCGGGAGCACCGGGGCGTTCCTGACCGACCCCCCCCAAGAAAAGACTCTGCCGTCTTTGTGGGCTCCCAGTAAATGCCGCAATTTGTCCCATTTGGGATTAGTGATATCCCATTTCCCCACACAAAGGGAGATGTGCTATCTTCTTACCCTGGTGCAGACCCCTTGCTTCGCAATCCTAGATGGTTTGTAACCCACTGCGGCCGCGATTTATCAGCTCCACTTGGTGGTTTGGAGCCTGGTGGCTTTGGTGAAAAAGACCCTGTTCAGGCTTCCCGTTTCTCGTTACTCCTACCACCAATCCAAACCACCAATCAAGGGTTACCTGATTTTAGGGGCCCGAAGAGAAGGGCCACGAGGCATCTGGGTAGAACCAAACCGACCGAGCCCACGGCAAGTGATTTCGCTCCGAGCAAAAAATGGGAGGTCAACTCGAGAGACCTGGCAGCTTCTCCAGTTTGAGGGCCCCTTTTGTCTCACTGGCTGAGTGGATGGCCCAAAAAAAGTCCAACCTTTGTATTTACCACCAAAACGGTCTTCCCAAAAAGTTTAAAGTGCATGAACTCAGGAAGTGAGCTGTGAGGAAAGCTAACGGCCTGAACCACCGGAAAGAAGGAGGTGGGCCAGGGGAAAGAGACGGTCCCAGTCCCAATGAAAGGCCGTGCGTTTTTCGGCCGCAGGAATGGTCTGGAATCGGTTTTTGGGTCGCTGAGCTTCTGAGATTTGAAGGGACCCCTCAAAAAATGAGAGCAAAGAGCAGTGGCTGGAATCGAGACACGTCGGAGCAACACTGCTCCAAGGACAAATTTTACTTCGAGGGACTCCCAAAGCATCAGCAGGGCTGTGGTTGACATGAAATCCACTTCTGTGATACAACAAAAAGGGCCTAACCCCAAAGACTAACCCCCCATATAAAGGGGGAGAGTCCCCAAAGTATCACAGAAGTGGTTGGATCAAACCCCGAGTGATCCCACAACCCTAATCAGCAGCAAGGCTCTTCTCCGGGATCGACCCGACCTTCAAGACCACGCTCACCTGAGCCGGCTTGCCGAGGAACCTCAAACCCAACACGAATGGGGATGCTTAACGCCAAGCACTCCCTCGCGCGGAGAAACATATGCCACCCAGAACTGGGAAAAACGGGGCAGCCCCTCCCTTAATACATGTGCTGTGCACCCACGAAGGAAAAGTGATTGGGACAGGCCCCTGTACTGGAGGTACACCTCCACCTTTCCATTCATTGCCCAAGACGGGTGGAGATGAGCGGAATTTTCCCACCTGGACGTGGAGGTACGCTCAGGGGCGGCCACAAACCGGCTGCCATTCATCAAATCAGGCAGCTACAGTAGACGTTGCTGGACTGTTCAAGTCACAGGTTGCCGCCATCAATCCGAAAAAGCTTCAGCCCACCAGGAAGGTAGCCCCAACGCCAGGATGCTTGCGACATCTTGTGACCCTGGACCCCTCTTTCGCCCCCTTCGCCCCTTTCGCTGGCAAGCCGCATCCACGTTCCTGGGCCGACCGCGCCGGATTGCTCGCCCTGACCCTTCACTTCACTCACACCAAACGGATGTCTTCTAAAGCTACGGTAGATGCTCTGAATATTGCAAGGGAATAAGTTAGAAACTCTGCAAATTTCATATTCCCATGGCCCACGGTTTGTGGTTGATTTACCTATCATAGCCCAGGTTTTCGTGGCGCCTCAGCCCCTTAGCCTCCTAGGCCCAAATTGAGCAAACCCGCGCAACTCTCAGGCACACCAAATCTACAATCTCTGACTTTACGTCACCCGCCCTTTAAAAGCGCACCTCCAACAAGTAGCGCCTATGGGTCGGTAGGAAGATCAAATTCCTCTGAAGCAACCTCATGTCAGGTGCCAAGTTAGAGGCCCAAACTTGGGATCAAAGGCCGCCAGCGAGGTCTCAGTCCTAGCTTGCTGGCTCTCACTCGGAGAAAAGCTACGGTTCCACCCAAACACCTGGCGTTGCCTGGGATTCCGGAAAAGCACAGTCCCTCCTTCTTGCTTTTTGTCCCTAATTTGACGCATCAGCCTTTTGGGCCCATTTGTTCGGTGAGTGTCCTTTGATGATGTAAAAAGGTGGCACATGCCCAGATCCCCAGTGGCCATGGGGATAAAGGGGCGCTCCCTTGGTTGATGCCTGATCTTGAAAAACACATGCAGCTAACCAAAAGCTTAGAGCTTCGTGCAGTGCGTGAGCATACGCTGAGAATAGGTTTGACTCACTCAAAAATAGGGGACCAAATTGTTGGTTCTCCGTTTGTTCTCCTCTAAAACCACCCCAACCGAACCCCCCACCCCCTCAATTTGTGTGGCTTTGGCACTCGGTCCTCCAAGGAAAAACCAGGCGCAAAACATAAGACGCCTGTATGGCCGCAACAGTCTAAACGTTTTGTCTGTCGCTAAAATGGTCGAACAAAGTGACTCAAGCTCCGAAATGGAACTCGGGCTCACTTGCCCCCAAGGACCTGGAAACAACAAGGTTATCACCTTTTGGCACCTCGACTCACCCACCAAAATGGGAAGGCTTTGGACAACTTAGGTCCTCCAGATTTGAGAGGTCCTTTATTTCTGTAGTCTATTTCAATAGGGGAACCCCCCAACCAAAAAAGAAACGGTGAGAAAGGGCGACCTAGAAATGAAAGCTTTTCAACCCATGGGCATATGGCATGGGGTTGCTGACTTTAAGCCCCGCACAAAACTGAGCGGGGAGTGGTGCGGGGTCGTTCCGTTCGGCCCTCTCGGGACGGACCGACTTTTCGCCCGGCGGCTCCGAGATGATCTGGCCCCTGAGCTCTCCTTCCTCGGGCTCCTTCCGTGCCGCGCGCCGCGGGGCGCTCATGGCGCACTTCACGTAGCTGTTGTTCTGCACCTGCCAGCGTCTTCGGGGGTCCTACCGGGAAAAAAGGAAATAAACACTGCAGCTTTTTGGGGTCATACCGGAGAAAAAAAACAACAAAACAACTGGAATGACTCGATTCCCCCTGAACAAAAACTGGAATGACTCGATTCCGGTGGTATATGCAACCAACCAGGTTTTCCTGTGGTTTATGATCATAGGTGTCCTTTTGATCGGCGAGCCTGGTTGATAATAGATGGGTTCCACTGGTTCAGATGGGTTTTGTGCCCCATTTAACAGGGAAACCCATCTGCTTTTCCAAAAGGCCACCTATGAGAATGATTCGACTCCCCTGTAAAATGCTAACCAACCAGGTTTTCCCATGGTTTCTTAGGCAGTGCGAAGTGGATTTTGCAACCATCCACGACTCCGAGAGCCAGCAGAAAGGGAGAGTCGGAAAGTCTACATGTTTGTTTCTGTCTTTGCTTGGTGCTTGGCAATGTCGTGACATTCCTGCGGTGTACATCCAAAAACCCGCTTGCTGCACAAGGATTTA